GATGACTTTGAGAGGTTCAGGACTTCAGTGGATGTGGGCTAAACTCACAACTAAAGGATGGAGAGTGTACTGTATGGGGGAAGGGCACACTTGTAGCCCTGGCTTAGATGAGGCTAAGGCATTATATGTAACCAAAATTTTTGTACCACCATAATATTCTGAAATAAAAAAAAGAATTAAAAAAAAAAGGACTTCAGTGGAGGAAGTATTTGCAGATGTGGTGGAAATAGCAAGAGAACCAGAATTAGAAGACGAAGATGTAAATTAATTGTTGCAATCATGATAAAACTTGAATGAAAAAGGATTTGCTTCTTATGGATGAGCGAAGAAAATGGAGTGGATCTCTAGAGATGGAATCTAACCCGGTGAAGATGCTGTGAACATTGTTGACATGACAACAAAAGATTTGGAATATCCCATAAACTTAGTTGATAATGCAATGGCAGGATTTGAGATGAGTGACTACAATTTTTAAAGAAGTTCTACTGTGAATAAAATGCTATCAAACAGCATCACATGCTACAGAGAAATCTTTCATGAAAGGAAAAGTCAATCGATGTGGAAAACTACTTCATTTTCATCTTATTTTAATAAATTGTCACAGCCACCTCAACTTTCGGCAACCACCACCCTGAGCAGTCAGCAGCCATCAACATCAAGGCAAGATCCTCCACCAGCAAAACGATTATGACTTGCTCAAGGCTCAGATGATCATTTGCATTCTTTTTTAGGAATACAGTATGTTAAGATATACACATTTTTTTTTTAGACAGAATGCTATTGCATACTTAATAGACCATAGTATAGTATAAACATAACTTTGGGAAAGCAAAATATTTGTGTGACTCACTTTATTGTGATAGTCACTTTATTGTGGTGGTCTGGAACTGAATTCACAGTATCTCTGAGGTATGCCCATAAATACCATTCGTGGCAGCTGCGTTATGCAGAAAATCATGATTACGTTTTGTACTCTGCATACTAGTTTTGTCTTCTCTGAAGATAATTGCCTCTTTTTTCAGTTTGTTTGTTTGCTTGGTTTTGTGTGTACTTAACACTAACCCAACACTCAAAGCTTTATCAAATGTTCTATTTGCATACATCAATTGCTCCGTGTCTTCCCCAGAAAGGCTTTCTCAGAGCCTTCCAACCTGCTCCAGTCTGGGCAGATGGCCCCGACAGGATACATGGCTGCCATCCTGGAGTCTCACTTCGCCACCATCCTGGGGATTCGCTTTGCCTCTATCACAGGTTGGAGCTCCTATTTCTGCATCACAGGCCTTTCTCTTTCTTGCCTTAATTCAACTTTGGTGGAGTTAACCTCCAGTAATTTACTGAAAAATGGGCACACTGAAGGTAATTTTTTGAGAACTTGCAAAACTGAAAATTTCTTCAATCTAACTTGACCTAATCTATTCAAACTTGATCAAATTTAGACTGATGATAGAATTTTAGGTTAAAAAATAAATTTCCTTTATAATATTGAAGGTTTTGTTTCATTTCATCTAGCTTTCATGTTATTGTTGAGAAGTTTAAAGTCATTCTGCTTTTTAGATTCCAAAATGGTCTCCTTTACTTTCAGCTTTATTCCTTAAAAAATAAAAGTTATTTTAGTGAGGTTTTGAGAGAGAACAGAATTAAATATATATCCAGTTTACCATTTTTAACTGGAAGTCTAAAATGTTTCTTCCTTCTATTCCTTACCTTTGCTTTTCTTTGCTTTCATCCTGGGAGGGCTTGCTCTTGCTGTCTTTCATTGGTTCTCTCTGGGAACTTACCTGGCCTGTGATAGAGCTTGTTGCTTTTATCAAGCCACTAACTGCCTCCTAATTGTTTGCCACCAAAATCTCCATTGTTTTTGGCAGCAGGTTTAGCCTTGAACTTCCCCACACTCTATTCTAAACAAGTGAGTGACCTCTTGGCCACATTTACCTGGAGTTTTGTCTCTGGCTGCATGGAGGTAGGGAGATGAGAAATGTTGGCAGCTGCCCCTCCCAGGGGAGATACCATTGCTCTTGACTGAAAGGGGGAGTGCAATCCCAGTGCTCTTGGCCACACCCTCCCCCAGTGGAGCTTCCCACCTCCTGAATTCGGGGGGAAGGGAGGGAGTGGGTCATGGTTTAAGTGCCACAGACTCTCACTCTTTTCATTGGGATTTAGTAAATTTTCTTGAGTGAATGTGTTTTCATCTGATGTCCTTAGGACAATTTCATGAGACTTTAACTGGGTTTTTCTAAAAAATAGAATTTTTGCCAGTTTTTTTTTTCACTAAGGAGTGGGAGAGGAGCTCCTCAGACTCCTCATTCTAAAAGTGGATCTCTGTTCATTTCTTAAAAAGAAATTTTAAATTAAAGACTTCATTTTTTAAGAGTGGTTTTAGGTTCACAGCAAAATTTAGAGAAAGGTACAGAGATTTATCATATTATCTTCTAGGAAATTTATAGTCTTGCATTTGACATTTAGGTCTATGATTCATTTTGAGTTAATTTTTGCGAAGGGTATAAGGTCTGTGTATGGGTTTGTTTTTTTGCATGTGGATATCCAGTTGTTCCAGCACTATTTCCATTGTATTGTCTTTCCTTCTCTGTTAAGGATCATATGACTATACTTATGTGGATTTTCTTCTGGGCGCTCCATTTTGTTCCACTGATGTATTCTTTTGCCAATACTACACCGTATTTGATTACCATAGCTTTATAGAATGTCTCGAAATCAGGTATTGTCAGTCCTCTTACTTTTTCTTCATTATTTCGTTGGCAATTCTGGGTCTTTTGCTTATCCATATAAATTTTAGAATCAGTTTGTTGATATCCAAAAAATAAATTGCTGGGATTTTGATTGGGATTGATCTACAGATATATTGAGAAGAACTGACATCTTGATAATATTGAGTCTTCTTACCCATGAACATAGAATTTCTTCCATTTATTTCTTCTGTTTATTTACTCCATTTATTCAGTTCTTTGATTTTTTCATCAGAGTTTTTTGTGGTTTTCCTCATATAGATCTTGACATATTCTGTTAGATTTATATTTAAGTATTTAATTTTGGGGTGCTAATGTTGATGGTATTGTGTTTTTAATTTCAAACTTCAACTGTTCATTGCTGGTCTAAAAGATAGCAATTGACTTTTGTATATTAATCTTGTATCTTACAATCTTGCCATTATCACATTACTTCCAGGAGTTTTTCATGTTTTTGATTCTTTGAGGTCTTCTACATAGACAGTCACGTTATCTGTTCCTTTCCCTCTTTCTTTTACTTCTGGCATTTCCATTATACACTTTACACCTAGTTGCCCCTTAGTTGTTGGACATGCTGTATTTTCCATTATTTTCTTCTCTTTGCATTTAAGTTTTGGCAGTTTATATTGGCATTTCTTCAAGCTTACTGATTCTTTCCTCAGTTGTGCCAAATCTATTGATGAGCCCATCATTCATTCCATTACAGTGTTTTGATTTCTAGCATTTCCTTTTGTTTCTTAGAGTTTCCATCTCTCTGCTTATGTTACCCATCTGTTTTTGCATGTTGTCCACTTTTCCCATTAGAACTCTAAGCATATTAATTGTAGTTGTCTTAAATTCTTTAGGGTATCTAGGGAAGGTTTTTCAGAGGAGATAGCACTTGAGTTGAATCTTAAAGAAGTAGGGGCTTGCTAGGTATACCACTAGAAGTGGAGAATGCTAGACAGAATAAGTGAATAAATGGGAATAAATGAGAATAAATGGCCTTTATGATAGTGGCATGCTCAGAAAACTAAAAGTTAAGTATCATAGCATGAAGTACAGAGTGGGGAAGTGGCCTACAGATACTCTTACTTTAGGTAAAGCATCTTATACGATATTTGTATCAAATGATAAGATACAGGGATAGCCAGTACGGGTGAAGACCCAGGTAAAATTATTTAGGCAATATCTATGTACCCCTAAATATTTCAAGAAACAGTTTTTTTCACTTTTTTTGTTATTCACAAAGATAATCAACACTAGAGCTTACAATTTCAAACTCTCAGACAACTGAAGGTTCAAATGATATTTCACTGAATTAAAAATCAAGGTTTCCCTGGAGCTCAGGCTTTTGTCCTAATAGATGAGGATAAGGGCAAACTGAATTTTGAGAGCTCATATTCCATCATGATGTCAGCTGGAATAAATGCTATAATCTAGAACATTATTCTCCTGCTTTTCCACGCCTGAGCTCCTGTCTAGCAGAGGGTATCCCAAAAGGGAGTTGATCTCTGCTCTTGCCCCAGAGAATCATTGAGAATGAAAATTTTGAGCCAAAAAGTTGGGGGACCCTCTGACAGCCAGGATATTTTCCTCCAAAGTACAATCTAATTTATTCAGAAGATAGCTATTTTCCACCAGTTTTTAAAGATTCCTGGGTAAATCTATAGTCAAGTTTCTTTAAAATACAATGGTTACTCTTTTAATATTCCAACAGGCTCTCCTTGAATCCTCCTTAGCTACTGAAAATATTTTTGCAAGTAGATCACCCAACCTAGGTCTTCCTAGTTCTGTCCTGCCTTCATTAGGCTTGTGGCCTGCACTTTTAATGTACTGCACCTGCCTCACCCTCCTTTTGCTTAGCCTCACCCTGTGATGGATGCCATTGTTAACCCAAGACTATAGGCTGGTTGACTCTGTTTTCTCACTTACCACATTCATCTTGACCTGACATAACTGTTCCTTGGTGTGTCCTTCAGGAATGCTTCCCAGTGCTCATCGCCTTTATAAATGGCAAGCTACGAGGTGCTGGACTTGCTCCAGGGTGTTCACATGAATAAACAGCTGGAGACGTACATTCATTTGCTCTAAAGGAAATTGCACATCTAATCTTTTACATCTTTGCTAAATTTGGGGAAATAAAATGATTTTAAGCCATAGTCTATGCATTTCAGTGTCATTTGGTGCCACACTTTTTCTCTGTGCAATTAGCACCTTTTAATATATAGTATTTTCTCTAATTGTTGGAGGTGCACAACTTAACACTCTACTATGCACTTTTTAATTCTGTAATCATTTTATTCATGTATATTTTATCTGTAAAATTTTATGATAATCTTCTAGTGGAGAGAAATGTCTTTTATATCACCACTGGTTCCTAATATGCCAACAATATAACAGAAATTCAGGAAATCATGTTTGTTGACTGATTCATTCAAATGCTTAGTAGGGAGATTAAAATCAGTGGTATAGTGCGTGTCATTCCTTCCTTGAGTTCTTAGTTTCTGGCATTGTATGCAAAGTAATTTTGAAAGAAATAAAAAGTTCAGAGATTTTTTTCCATGTTGACAAAAATAAAATATGTAGGCATATGTTATCTTTCATCCACAATTTTTAGAGCAGCCTAAAGCTAGATTAACTGTCCCTTTCCAACTTCAGACGGAAGATGGATTGTCCACCCTTCTTATTTAGTTTCTCCTCCTTATTTTTAGTTAGATGGGGGGTTACATGCTTAGAGCTTTGCTTGTTGGATGCTCCAGATTGAAGACGCTCATCTTTTATATTATTTGCATCTGCTCCAAAACTTGAAGGAGCAGTCTCCCGTTTGCTGGTGAGAGATTTCATGTCTTCATTCTTTATGGCCTCTATTCGAGAATGTTTTTTCCTCTTCTTGGGGCCTTTGAGAGGTGACAAACTTTCAAACGGCCTATAGGACATAGACTGGAACCATTCTGAAGAGTTTGGCGTAAAAGTACTTTGGGTTATAGAAGGATGATTTTTGGGTGGTGTCCAAGATGTGCTGTATCTCTTTATATTTATGCAAGTAGTTGGCTTTAGTCTAGAAAAGAAATGAAATATGTGAGTTTTTGACCAACATGTACCTACTTTGTGGTCTTAGGTATATCGACTTAGTATAAATCACATTTTTTGCTTTTGGTGAATTCATCCTTAAGACTTTTACCATCATTTCTAAGTCTTTATTTCTGATCATGATTTTACAGCACTACTCCAATCTTATATTCTAAATGCCTAGAGGATATGTTTATTTGGATACCTGGTGTGATCCTAGCCTTTCTGATACAATAGCCACTCTAGGCCTCAGCAGTTTTTCTGTACATCTAGTTGTAGCAGATAGTCTGTAAAATTCTGCTTTGCCCCAAAAACATTTTCTGTTTATTCTATTAGAACAGATTCAGTACACATGCTATAAGGTGTTTTTCTGTAACCAGTAAAATGATCAATGTAAGTCCAAGAGAGAGATTTTCCTCAAGAGAGGGAGGTTTTGTAAATTACGAATTGCAGCCATTTAAAGTATCTCAGGTTTTTTTTTTGAATTCTACTTTTTTTTTTTTTTTTTTTTTAGACAGTGTCTCCCTTTGTTGCCCAGGCTAGAGTGCCATGGCATCAGCCTAGCTCACAGCAACCTCAAACTCCTGGGCTCAAGTGATCCTTCTGCCTCAGCCTCCCAAGTAGCTGGGACTACAGGCATGTGCCACCATGCCCAACTAATTTTTTCCATATATTTTAAGTTGTCTAGCTAATTTTTTGGTAGAGATGGGTCTTGCTCTTGCTCAGGCTGGTCTCAAACTCCTGAGCTCAAACGATCCACCCGCCTCTGCCTCCCAGAGTGCTAGGAGTACAGGCATGAACCACTGCACACGGCCCAGAAATATATTTAAAGGACGTAAATCCTCTTGCTAGCATGCTATTGATTAGTAATATACCTAGACCCTATTCATTTTGGCTTAAGAACAGAACAATTTAAGTTCCAGTCCTAGAATTATATTCAAATGTTATATCCTTCACTATGATAATTCTGCAATCTGTTATGGAGCATTAAACATTTTCCCCTTATCCCAACTTGATGTCCAAGATGGTTTGCAAAGGTGTGATCTTCTTATTCTTTGCTTATTCTTACTTTATCCTGTAATCACTTACTATAGGTAATATTATGTGAGAGTATTGAGCCAGTCAGACAAAGGATATATAAAACAGAGAAAAGGCAGCCATAAGGAAATAAACTGTAAGAACAAAAAAATCAACTTAATAATGTTTAGGTATGCTGTGAAATCATTTGTTAAGATTGGTTTTGCCTGCTGCTTTCTTACTTTTTAATATTTCCATATATACCTATATACTTTTGGGAGTGCCTGCCCCAGGAACAATTTCTGCCCTTCTCTGGGGACTGCCTCTAGATACACAGGGTAAGGCTTCCAATAGCTGTGTCTGTAACTAGGTGAGCTCTACCCACTGGCATGGTTGCCTATCAGATTATCTTTCCCTATAATTTAGAATTGGGAATGAGAAATAGGGAGTCAGTCTTGTAAGTGAAACTGCTATAGGATGCAAATTTGTGAGCTAAGGGATGTGAAAACATTTCTGCAGAGAGAGAAAAGCAGAGACTGAAGATGGATAAATGAGTAGGTTTCCATTCCCTAGTTTCAGTCCTTTCCTGAAGCCTGGCTGCATTCCTTCTCCCTCTGTTTCCATGAATAGTCTTGTATTTTCTTATAATTCTTCCCCTATACTCTACCTTATGCTTTTTGATTAAGTTAGCTTGAATTGGTTTCTGTTAATTGTAACCAAAGATGTCTTAATTAATATAACCTACTATTTGTCTAAACCTTCATGCTCAGACCAGTCCACACTGAGTGCATTTCTGGGTTCAAAGTATATAAGAGATCTTTAATGAAAGTAATGACTGAAGATCAAGCTATATCCTAATTGTCACCCAGACCCCTTGCTTATCTCCACATTCTCAACTTCTTGGCTCCTTTGCCTAGGTCTACTGTACTTTGTCATTTGTTTCTTCATTTCTGATTTTGCTGATATTATCATACTTGATCCCTTGTTTGCCTGGGCCTACACTATTTGCTTCTCTCATATTAGCTGACCCATTAGACTCAATTCTGGTCAGGCACTGCCTTTCCCAGCATGATAGCTACCCCACTCCACTAGAAATTGCCACCAATTGCCTATTTTTGTAATTTTATTGACTTTTGACTATATAAGAAACCAATTCCCATTAATAAACAATTAGGAAAAAAACATAAATAGAAATATCATCTGCTAATACTTTATCCAGAGAAAATCATTGTTGGGAAATGTGCTTCCAGAGCTTTTCTAGGTATATATGTGTTTGAGTGTATATTATATGCACATACATATAAATGCAGACATACCAAATCAAACTGTTCTGTAGCCTGTTTTGAACCACATATCTATGATGAACATTGTTCCATGTTAGTTAACATATACTTATAATATTTAATAGCTATATACTATTTTATTTTATGGATACACCATAATTTACTTAAGCAATCTTCTGTTGTTGGACATTTAAGTTCTTTCTTTTTTTTTTTTTTTGACTCTTTTAATCAATACTGAAATGAACATCACTCTACACAAACCTTTTAGCCTTTATTTAGGTTTATTCCTTAGAATCAATTTCCAAAACTGGAATTTTTTAGTTAAAATGAATATATGATATTAAGGATTTTTCACTTATATTGGATTGCCTTCCAGAAACTCTATACCAGTTTATATTCCCACAGTAAGAGAATTAATTCTTCCACTGAGAAGAAAAAATGAATGGTATTGCATTATGGTTTTACTTTGCAGTCTTTGGATTTAAGTGAGCTTGAACATTTCTAAATGTTCATTGGCCATGTTTTTTCTTTTGTGAATTGCTTAATCATAGCCTTTGTCCATTTTCCTATTAAAATAGTTATAATTTTCTAGTTGATTTATAGACACTCTGTATATTAAATACATTGATTCTGTTTTTCATTTGTGTTATAAAGATAAACGGCAAAACATAATGATAAAATTCAGAAAGACGCTGGAGTCAGAATGTCTAGTTAGATTTGAATATAGATTCTGCTACCTACTGGCTTGTGTGGCTTTGGACAAATTACTGAAACCACTTTGCACCTCAGTTTTCTCATATGTAAAATGTGAAGTGTATATGCATACATAACTTAGAACAGTATCTAACACATAGTACTTTATAAAAATTTGTTGATAATATTAGTATTATATTTATTACTTAGCTTGTTACTTTTATTTACATGGGTTTCCTTTTGGCCTTAGAGATGTTTTTGTTTTTTGTCTTTAGAAGAAATCTGGCCAGGCACTGTGGCTCACACCACTTTGGGAGGCTGAAGTGGGAGGACTGCTTGAGGTCAGGAGTTCAAGACTAGCCTGAGCAAGAGTGAGACCCCCATCTCTACAAAAAACAGAAAAATTAGCCAGGTGTGGTGGTGTGCGCCTTTAGTCCCAGCTACTTGGAAGGCTGAGGCAGGAGGATCACTTGAGCCCAGGAGTTTGAGGTTGCAGTAAGCTACAGTGATGCCACTGCACTGTAGCCTGGGTGACAGAGTGAGACTCTGTCTCCAAAAAAAAGAAAGAAATCTGGTCACATTCCCTTCTGCTTTCCTCTGAGTATCAAAATAAACCAAGGTAGTTCAGGTTAAATTTTTAATCCTGGTTGTCCCCTAGGATTATAAAGTTTAAAAACACCTGAACCATTTTCAAGTCAGGCTGTGATCATATTTATTTATGCATACTTTTATTCATAGATCCAAATTAATGAATAATTTCATGCAAATAACCAATCTACTAAGGCCTGATGACTTCTTCACTTATTTAGTGTTTTCCGATGGCTTTAGGCCTTTGTCCCTTTGTCAAATGAAGTGTAGCTGATACCATTTTCAAGAGCCTATGTTTGTTTCTTAGGATAAGGAATTAATAAAAGAATGCTTCCTTATAAAAGAATGTATTAAATAGCTAAGAATGATAAAATATGACTTACTGATGCTGGATTTGGAAGTTGGTTCTCATACTGAATAGCTGTTTTATCTGAGTGGTTTGTATGTTTTTAGTGCTATCAATGATAGGGAGCAAATATTGTAATATTTCTTGAGTTTGAGCTATTCTTTTATTTCTGTAGATTCTTTTTTCATCATCTGTCCAATTTCTGCCACTCTTCTTGCTTTGGAAAGATGTACATTCTTTCATTTTGCTTTTTAAGGTGTGATGTGGATCTGGGGAACAACCACAAAAATATGGACAGATATATTAACTGTATTTATTCAACAATTATTTATCAAGCATTATTATATATGCCAAGGGTTTTATCTAAAATTCCTTGCCTATCTTATACTTTAATGACAGTGGGCAGAAAATAAACAAGTAAAATACACAGTATGTCAGATAATAACATTTACAGGATAAAATAAAGCTGGGGAGGGGAATAGAGAATTCTTGGGTGTTTGATTTCCATTTAAAATGATGTTAAGAGAAGGCCTCCCTGTGAAGCTGACGTGTCATAGGAGTTAGGAAGTCAATCAAGCAGATTTCAGGGGAAAGAGCATTCTAGGCAAGGGGAAGAGTAAGTGCGAAGGCTCTTACTGAGACAGGAGCATGGCAGTGTGTTCAAGAACACCATGATGGCATCAGCAGCTGAAGCAGACTGTACTCAGGGGAAAAGTATAAGATAGGAGTTTAGGTAGGTAACTTGGACTCAGCTCATGTAGGGCCTCATAGGCTACTGGAAGGACTTTGATATTTTCTGAGTGTGAAATGGCGAACCATTGGAGGGCATTGAGCAGAGGAGTGTCACAGCCTCAAATTTGTTTTGACAGGATTGCGCTGATTGCTGAGTTGAGAACAAATTGAAGAGAGGCAAGGGTGAACAAGCATGGAGATCTGGAAGATTCTTGAAACAATCCACACAGGAAAGAGGACGGTAAGTTTGGGCTAGGGTAGTGGAGATGGCTGGAAGCATGAAAAGTAGGGGGTGTCCTGGGTATGTTTTGAGATTTCCTAAATATTGGATGTGAGGTGAGAGAATTAAGAGAGGAATAAAGGGTGGCTCCAAAGATTCAGATTTAAGGAAATGGCAGCATAGGGATTATGGGGAAGACTGTTGGAAGAACATGTTAGAAATCCTTTCTTTATTAGATGATATGGAGGAATTATTGTTAATTGACACTGGAGTATAATAATGTTTTTAAAAAGTGTTTATCCTCGCCCATACCCATTAGGATGGCTGCTATCAAAAAACCCCAGAAAAATAACAAGTGTTAGCAAGGATTTGGAGAAATTGGAAACCTCGCGCACTGTTGATGACAATGTAAAATGGTGCAGTCATTGTGGAAAACAGTATGATGATTCCTCAAAAAATTGAAAATAGAATTACTATATGATCCACTAATTCTACTTCTTGGTATATATCCAAAGAATTGAAAGTGGGGTCTCAAAGAGACATTTGTAAACTCATATCCACAGCAGCATTATTCACAATAACCAAAAGGTGGAAGCAACCCACGTGTCCATTGTCAGATGAATGGGCAAACAAAGTGAGGTATATTCATATGATGAAATGGTTATTCTGCCTTGAAAAGGAGGAAAATACTGATACATGCTACAGTGCTCAGAAACCTTCAGGCCATTATGCTAAGTGAAATAAGCCAGTCACAAAAAGACAAATACTTTATTTGTCTTCTAAATATTTGATTCCACTTATATGAGGTAACTAGAATAGTCAAATTCATAGATACAAAAAGTAGGATGGTTTTCAGGGGTTTTGGGGAGGGGAAGTGAGTTGTAGTTTAATGGGTACAGAGTTTCACTTTTAATAGAGAAAAAGAATTCTGGAGCTTGTTTACACAACAATGTGAATATACTTACTACTACTGAACTATATACTTAAAAACAGCAAATTTTATGTTATATGTATTTTATCACAATTAAAAAAAAAATCAGCAGTCGGCCAGTGCGGTGGCTCATGCCTGTAATCCTAGCTCTCTGGGAGGCTGAGGCAGGCAGATCATTTGAGCTCAGGAATTCGAAACCAACCTGAGCAAGAGGGAGACTCCATCTCTACTATAAATAGAAATAAATTAATTGGCCAACTAATATATATAGAAAAAATTAGCCGGGCATGGTGGCGCATGCCTGTAGTCCCAGCTACTCGGGAGGCTGAGGCAGCAGGATTGCTTGAGCCCAGGAGTTTGAGGTTGCTGTGAGCTAGGCTGATGCCATGGCACTCACTCTAGCCTGGGCAACAAAGGGAGACTCTGTCTCAAAAAAAAAAAAAAAAAAAAAAAAAATCAGCATATTCAGGAAGAAAGAGGGGGAAAAAATCCCTGAATAAAGCCTGAAGCAAGACTAGTAAAGACTGAAGTAAAGACTGAAGTCAGACATTTTAAAGAATGTAGCAGGATTATTTATAATGCCTAAATTGGTACATAGACAGCATAGGAAAAAGTAGGACACATAAAAGCAAGAAAATACATTGTGCTTTGTCAAGAAAAATTGTTTATCTAGTTAGAGATATACACTGAACTATTTATGAGTAAAACAATATGATTTGTGGAATTTATTTTAAAATAATCTAGGGAAAAAAGTGGTGGGAAAATAGATGAAACAAGAGTGGCAGGATGCTGATAAGGATGGGTGTGGGTATCAGTGGGTTCATTATTCTCTACTTTTGTTTATGTTTGAAAATGTCCACAATAAAGTTTTTTTTAATAAAGGAACTGTCAATTCTTAAAAGAAAAATAAACAGATAACTAAAGTACTCATTGAATTGAGCTAGATCTGAAAGATAATTATATATCTGAAAGATATATAATTATATATCTGAAAGATAATTACAATATCTGGCAACGCTGGCAAATGAAATGAATTTATCTACAATTTCTTGAGAGGCCATTCCTAGGCCACTCAATAAACATTTACTGAATGCTTGTTATGCATCTGGCACTAGGTTTGGTTTGGCAAATAGATATGAAATACTTATTCCTTGCCTTCCATATGCTATGAGTCAGGACTAGAGAGAGCAAAGCAAAATATCAATTAGAACATATTTCTGTAGAGGTAAACCATGGTACTTATTATAGAATTACAGAAGAGAAACTGGATAAATACCTATGAGTATTTAGTTCTCTTCCAGAACTCAAGAAGTCTGACTGGGCCCTTCATTAACCTTAGACAGAAACCATATCATTCCTTTATTGGTAAGTTCAATAATGGGAAAGGACAGATATCCTTCTGTAAGAAACTGAGTGATAATGAAAATTTGACATTTTAGAAGAAAATGCATAGCCTTAAGTGCATATATTATAAAAAGGCTGGCAACACCAAAGAATAAAAGTGAATAACTTCCTGTGAAATAGATTTACTTTCGTTGAAAGAAAACTATAGAATTATTATTAATGTGTCACCAAGATTTACCAGAACATATGTCTATAAGATAAAGTAGTCAAGAAGAAATGAGGCTATAAGCTTAGGAAACATTGGATAAGGCTCAAAAACACAATTTTTAAATTAAATACTGTGGTGGAGCCTGTGGGGAACATTGTGAAGGAAAAAAACACCTTTCCTTTTTGCATCAAAATTCCATGAATACTACCTGTCTCCAGGTCTTCTCCTCCTATACTAAAATGCACATCTCTTAGATTTGTACCTCCATCATCCTACTCACATTCCACTGATCAAGCTCCTCAATAGCCTCTGTGTTGTAAATTTCAGTAGTCAATCCATCTCACTCTGCCCATCAGAAGCATCAGATTCAGTTGATCATTCCCTCCTCTTTGATACACTTATCTACTTAGCTTTCAGGACAACACATTCTCTTGGTTTTCTTTCTACCACACAGGGTTTTCCTCCTACCCCAAAGTCTTCTTTGTTGGTTCCTACTCTCCTCTATCAATGTAGCAGTTCCTGATGACTTGGTCCTTAACTCTCTTCTGTCTCTAAACTCACTGTCTTAAGAATCACATCCAACCTCATGCCCTAAAATACTATCTATATGCTGAAAATCCCCACATGTATCCCCCGTCCAGATCTCGTTCCTGAACTTTGGACTTATATCTATCTACTTATCCATACATACCTCAACATCAATGTCTAAAAGATATCTCAAAGGCAACGTATCCATATTGCCGCTCCATGCTTAGTCTTACCCTTTTCAGCAGATGGTAATTCAATCCAGCTAGTTGCTCTGGCTCCAAACCATAAAGTTTCTACAGTTCTAAAACCTGTGAAGCTGTCACCACAATCAAGATCTAGAGAAAATCTAGAAAAGAACACCCTTAAAAGATTCCTTGTGCTTCTTTACATCCATCTGTCCCTTCATCCCCTACTCCAGGAAACCTTTATCTGCTTTTTGTGTCTATAGATTAACTTGCATTTTATGTGAATGACATAATACAGCATTTTCTTTTCTGTGTCTGGCTTTTCACTTAGAATAATGGTTTTTAGACTCATTCATGTTGTTGTGAGTATCAGTAGTTCATTACTTTTTTATTCAATGGTATGGAAATACAACATTTCATTTATCCACTTACTTGTTTAGGGATATTTGGCACATATATATATAATCTTCATTTTGGGGTATTATAAATAAAGTTGATAGTAACATTAATATACAAATCTTTGTGTGGACATATGTTTTTATTTCTCTTAGGTAAATACCTATGAGTATTTACCTAGAGTTACATGATAGGAATATGATTATATGCTTAATTTTTAAGAAACAGTTTTCCAAAGTGATTGTATCATTTTAAATTTCTGACTTTAATATATAATAATTCTTGTTCCTCCAAACCCTTGCCAACACTTTGCACTGTTAAACTTTTAAATTTCAGGTATTATAGTGATTATGTGCTAGCAGTTCATTATAGATTTAATTTACATTCCCTAATAACTTATAATGTTGAGCATGCTTTCATATGTTTATTTGCCATCTATATATGCTTTGGTCAGGAATCAGTGCAAATATTTTGACCATTTTAAAAATTAGTTTGTTTGCTGTAGTATTAAGTTTTAAGAGTCTTAATGTATTATCAATGCAAGTTCTTTATTGGATGCACATTTTGTAATATTTTTGTAAATATTTTTCCCTATATGTCCCATGCAGTTTAAGCTTTTAACAGTGTCTTTTTAGAAGAATGATTTTGACGAAGTCCATTAACCCATTTTTTTCTTTTATGATTTAGTGTTTTTTGAATAGTTTGGTATGTAAGGAATCTTTGACTATACCAACATCATAAAGATTTTCTCCTATGCTTTCTTCTATAAATTTTATAATTGTAGCTTTGATATTTAGATCTATGATCCATTTTGATTTAATTTTTTGAAATGGTATGAGGTAAGAGTTAGTGTTAATTTTTTAACACTGGATGTTAACATGGATATTTAAGAGCCAAATAGATGATTATGTGATCTGGAGATAGGACAAAACCTTCCCAGCATTAGAGCAATGAAAAAAAAACCCACAAGAGAAATGACCAAAATAAATAAAGATAATTGAAATGTTACATATAAAAATATGCTAGATAAAATAAATGAAAGCAAATAATAATTTAGGGATAATATCTACAAAACTTAAGATAGAGGGGGATTAATAGTATGTTAGGCATTCTTATGAATCATTAAGATGGAGACTTTAACAGAAAAAGGAGAGCTGGACGCAGTGGCTCACGCCTATAATCCCAGCTCTTTGGGAGGATTGCTTAAGTCCAGGAGTTAGAGACCAGTCTGGGCAACAAAGTGAGACCCTGTCTCCACAAAATATTAAAAAATCAGTTCTAGACTACAGTGAGCTATGATTATACCACTGCACTTCGGCCTGAGTGATCTCTGCCTCACGAAAAAAAAAGAAAGAAAAATGAAAAAATATATGAAATGACAGTTCATAAAAGAAGAAAATCAAATGGCTAGTAAAATGCTAAAAAAACTTCAGCACTAAGAATACTCACAGATATTTCTCGTATAAAATTCTCTAACTTTGAGAGCAATCTGGGTGAAAATTTAAGCCTTCACAAAATGGTCTATTGGCTTGTCATAGCCACATAAAATTGAGAACCTAAATGAGCGTGGTACATATTTGAGGTGCATTTTTTTGATACTTTGGATTATGTCAATAGAATATAAAATTCTATTGACCAATTATTCCATCTGGTTATCTTTGAGATTAGAAAACTTTTTAAAGAATCAATGAGAAGAATGGCTCCATTTTTGATTAAACACTCTGGGGAAGACAAATTAAAAATGCTAATTTATTCCAGAAATAAAAGGAAATATCAAAATAAACATAATTTCCATGGGAGTCCAATTTTTAAGACCAAATGAAGAAACTCCATGGTCCACTGACAGTCAGCAGGTAAGATTTAAGTAATCACAGATTTGGAGCAGGTGAATTTAACTTTAGTTTTACTTACTATAATTTAAACTAACATGAATAACTGTGATAGAATTAGAGTTGGGTCAATCTTCTCTGGTCTTCTATAGGGGCACTTCAGTATAGACACATCCCAGGATGGAAACCATGAACTACAATAGGCTTATTAGCTAGGCACACTCTAAAGACTTCTAAAGTGATTTTCAATGGAAAAAATCCCATGTCTAGGAAGCAGAAGCTACCAGAATATGGTAGTGGTATGTCTTTTTATTTTCTTGAGGAGTAGTGGTATGAAGGGCATCAGTAACAGGAAGATATTGGGAATAGGCAATCAAACATGTTTTTCAAGTTGTATTAAATCAAAAAATTTTCCCCTATATTCAACTAATAGGGATTAAATAAGGCAAGTATTTGTCAGATAGGTCTAAAATGGCTATTAATCCCCTCTGTTTACAAAAGCAGTTCCCATAATCCAGGTTTCTTAGGATTTATTAATGATGATATAGTGAAAACCATCTTTGTATTTATTAAAATTCTAAATAATAATAATAAAAAAAACCACCTTCTGTTGGTATTCTTGTTTTCCCAGTCCAAGAGGAAGATTGTTTGCTCATAGAACACTTCAAGGATGTCACTTTGAAAGCATTTCCATACATATCAGTTCCCTTGAGCTGAATTGTTTCCTGGAATGGCCTCTTACTTGTTTCTAAAAAATGTCTTTGTTGGTCTTTGCTATGACTCTGAATCATACTTTGGGAGCTGAAAAAAATTGGGTACTCTCATTTCAATGTTGACAGTAAACTACCCATGCAAGAGTAATGTAATGCCATGTTATATTTGCATATCACACCTCAGAGTACACAAAGTCTTTTTAAATGTATTATCTTATTTGGGGTTCTCCCCAGTCCTAGGATGGCCTTTGTTATCCCCATATTACATAAGGGGAATCAAAGAGGTTAAGTTATTTGTCCAAAATCACATAACTAATAAGAAGCAGCAGCAGGTCTAGAATTCACATCTCCTAACTCTAGTACTTTTTCTGTTACCTTCTTTTGTCTTGATGTATCTTTCAATTTATTTCCATAGAATATGATAATATATTTTTAAAAATTAAGTCTTAGTTTAAAAAAATCAATTGTAGATCCAAGTATGGGTATGCCCAAAGATGCCTCACATACTGGTCTCCCACCTAATTTGCTAGGTTTCTGGGGCAAGAGAGTCTACATCTTTCATCAGAACTCATTTTATTTAACAGAATCAAGTTCTTAGAAGAGAAGCCAAGTAAAGAAAAAAGGACATACCATGGTGTCTCTGCAAATTTAGTCAGTTCTCAAATACTCTACCTATGGATTCCTACTGTACTGTCCAGATAGTTGTTCATATTCCTAAAGACAGGGAAACTTACCAAGGGTGACAGAGATATGATTGATTACTAGTTTAGACAAAACTACAACATTTGTTTATGTTATCTTTGACTTCCTTTTCATTCTTTTCTGGTTTTAAGTACTAGTTTTATTCCCATGCAACCAATGCTCCAGTTGATGCTACAGATAGTAAAACATTTGATTATCATTCATTCTAAAGTCCAAAATAATTGTCTTTTGCCACAAGTATTTGTTTAAAAAGAGAAACTTTTTAAAGATAATGAAAAGTTTTAAAGATAATGCAATGATAAATGCATAGAAATAAATGTCTAACTGTGGTTTTAAGGCATCCACTGAGGATGGTTTGGGAATACTGAAATATTTTCAGAATCCATCAAAATTCATCTTATGGGCATTCCTATGTATGACACTGACTCAGTCACAGAGACTATGTCGACTATAAGGAGACTTCTGATTATCAATGGTTATCAAAAAGCTACTTTTGCCTGTTGCTTTAATTTACAATCAAAATCTTATGAGGCAGAGGAAGAGAAGTAAGGTAGTCAGGTAGAATAAATCAAGTACAGTTCTCCTACCTTAAGTATTTTTTTAGAAGCCAATAAGGGACTCGTTCAGGTATTTTCACTAAAAAGAATATACCATAAAATATCTGGTTACATTTTTAATATCAACAAAACTTGATTTTTTACTTTCTTGATAATTACTTCATCTATATATTTAATAGCTAGATTAATTGAGCTTATCTTCAATTAAACTACCATCACCTCATTCATATATATGACATATATGAGTACATACTTCCCCTGGAATCCTTTTAATGAAACTGTTTCAAGAATAGCGAACAGTAGAAACACCTATCTAATAACTGTGAAACAATTCAGAACTGATTATATGTATGTTTGGATCTGTGAAGCACATCTACATGTACACTAAAATGATCAGCATTTTTATAGAGCTAATCCAGGGCACAGTTATATACCAGACCAAAGAAAATAGTTTAATATGTAATAATTATATGCACATATGTTATTTTAACATAAAATAAAAAAATAGGTATTTAAAATCATATATTATTCTAGTTCAACCTCTGTGGAAAGCAATATGGAGATACCTCAAAGCGATACAAGTAGATCTACCATTTGATCCAGCAATTCCACTACTGGGCATCTACCCAAAAGATCAAAAGTCACTTTATGAAAAAGACACCTGCACTCGAATGTTTATAGCAGCACACTTCACAATTGAAAAGCTGTGGAAACAACCCAAGTGCCCATCAATTCATGAGTGGATTAATAAAATGTGGTTATATGTATACCATGGAGTACTACTCAGCTTTAAGAAACAACGGTGATATAGCATCTCTTGTATATTCCTGGATAGAGCTGGAACCCATTCTACTAAGTTAAGTATCTCAAGAATGGAAAAACCAGCACACATGTACTCATCAACAAATTGGTATTAATGGATCAACACCTAAGTGGACATATAGGAGTAACATTTATCGGGTGTTGGGAGGGTGGAAGGGGGGAGGAGGGGATGGGTATATACAACCAAACTAGTAAGATGTGCAATGTTTGGGGAATGGACACACTTGAAGCTCGTACTCGAGGGAGGAGGGGGGCATGGGCAATATATGTAACCTTAACACTTGTACCCCCATAATACATTAAAATAAAAAAATAATAAAAATAAAAATAAAATCATATATTATTCTGTATTATTTGCTTTGATGTTACATAAATGCTATTATTCAAGCAAAACAACAATAGGACTATTTAACAGTGGTAATTAGTAGTAATTTAATAGTAAAATAAATTAAACAAATAGTAAATGTGAGAAAAATACAATATTTTTGTAATGTTTCTTTCTCTCCTCTGATACAGATTTTAACTCTTTATTGTATATTTAAGTTTTATAGGCCACATTATTATTGCATATTCTTAAGAGATATATAAGACCTTTAAAAAGTTGACTGTAAATACAATGGGGATAATTAAATAGATATTACCTGTATTTATGGCCCCAGAATGCTTCCACGGCATGACTCTGCTATCTTTACCTGTATTCAATAAAAATTAACAATTACATTTGCTTTTGTCTTATGATAAAGAGGAATATTTTTGCTCTTTCTATTTTCTTTTCCAACAATACTTCTCTGAACTTCTTGTAGTCTTTAGGATATCTTTCTTTTCTTTTATGCAATAGTAAAACAATGCACTTAAGTGTCAAATTCCCTTTGACCTGTAGGTCTGCTCTTATCAAGCTTGCATTACACTGATCCTGGTGTCAGTTTGATTCAGTGACATCAAGTTAGATAGCCTGTCAACAAAAATGTTTTGAGCATAGACTACAATCAGCCTTCTGTATCCATGGGTTCCACAGCTGTGGATGGAAAATATTTGGCAAAAAAAATGTGTCTGTACTGAACATGTCCAGACTTTTTTCCTTGTCATTATTCTCTAAGCAATACAGTATAACAAATATTTACATAGCACTTACAATGTATCAGGTATTATAAATAATCTAGAGATGATTTAAAGTATAGGGGGAGGATATGTGTAGGTTATATGCAAATATTAATACTACACTATTTTATATCAGGGACCTGGACAGCTGGAACCAATCCCTTATGATACCAATGCATAACTATACTTTGGGCTTATTAGCAATGGCAGGTGTTTAGACTTGTAGGAATTAATTTCCAGCTTTTCAAAAATGTCCATGCACTTTGTATCTGCAGACTTATTTTGGTAGACTAGCTGTTTGCCATTTAGGACCTTGGTGTCTATAAATTCATCATGCAGGGGCTCCATATCTAAAATATCCTGTTTTTAGATGCTCTAAAGCATGTAACTTTAACTTATATTTAACTTCTCTTTCTCAGGGAAAATGTTTTTCCCTGAGCACTGCGGTAATTTGAACTTAATCTGAATGTGGATTCCAAATAAATTATAGTTTTAGTGCTATTTAACATATGTGGTGCTCCTTTCTGGTGACATATTTTTGAGTCCTGAGTCAGTCTTATTTCCCCCAACATGTCTTTTTTTTTCACCATATGAGTTTTTGTCACAACCTATGTATAATATCAAATGACTCAGGTGCAGTCAGTTCATCCTTTTCTTAGATCCTTATGGACCCTTCAAAGATCATCAGAAAAAATTCTTTTACTGTAGTCCTTTCTTCTATTCTTATTTTCATCCTCAGAGTGTTTCCAAATTAGAGAAGGACATTCTTCTTGTCCCATATGTTAAAAATGTGATTTAATGGCAGACCAACATTTTAACATCTTCTCTATGGCAGCCAACAATGATATGGCTGGCTTGTAGGCACATATCTAAGGAGGCTATCTTCTTCCATTTATATAAAGTCAAAAATCTCATTAAGTGCTTTTGCATGTTTCTGCACTTTTTAGAAAACTAAAAAGTGACCAAAAACTTTTATTATGAAAGCCTCAATGTTATAGGTTAATAAATCATACCCTTTGTGGTACAAAGTGTGAAAGATATTTAGCAGGTAAGATCTTTTCATTTTCTTTGGTAAGACGTTTTCATTTTCTTTGGTAAGAATGAAACTTGCCAAAATTTACATTTTCATTGCCAACTTTGTAGATGGATGAGCAAACTCTAGCTTGTATTTGGACAAAATATTAGCGATATTTGGTTTTATTAAAATATTCATAGAGATCAAGATTATATGAAACACCTATTTTTCAAATCAAAGTACCTACGACCCAGGGGGAGTGTGTTTTTTGCTGCATGATGCAGTGTGTCACTTGATACACTTTTAGAAAACATTCTGTAAGATCTGACAAAATGAGCTCTACTCTGTAAGAGGCCAACACTTCTGTTATCAAAGTTACCTCTTTTGTTGACCCACAGAATATTTTATTGGAAACCTCTGAATCAGGAAACATAAATTTTACTCTGTTTCATCAAGAGGTCAAGAGAATGAATTATGTAATGAGTGTGCATTTGTGTGGTACGCCCAAGTGAATTCACCAGCTATTATTTTTGATTGAGCATTGGTGTTTTGTGGGGTGGTGAAAAACTTTCAGTTGATATAGAAGTATTTCTTTGTCCTGTGCTGGACTTGTGAGATTCAGTCTCCATCCTGGACTTGTGAGATTCAGTCTCCATATGTATTAATAATTTCACTTCCTTTCCTTTATGATGCCCAATCCCCAATCTGCATATTGTGTCATATGCCCCATTTCAGTTATTTATAACCGTTTATGCTGTTATAACTGTTATAAACTGTTTCCGTTGATGCTTTATTTCAGTTATTTATCTCCGTAAATAAGTGTATGTGCCCTTCCATCTGTCATTAAAATGTAACACAGTCTCTCTCCTTCCTCCCTCCCTCCCTCCCTTTCTTCCTTCCTTCCTCTCTTTCTCTCTTTCTTTTTTGGTGGTATCTGGGTATGCGGCATTGGTATTATACTCATTCCCTTTTCCTTACCTGAACTCTTAGAAAACATGGTCTCAATAGTCACAACATTAAAATTAAACTAGCACCATCTTGATACAAGGCCCAACCTGTTAATTCACAGGTTCAAAGATGAATTTCTAACGCTCTGGATTGCAACACACTTAAGTTGCACTACTGGATGCTACATTATTGAGAACAGCAAATCACGGTTGCCAACATCAGCAGTCAAGGGGAAAAAACAATGACAGTTGACTAAGAAAAGTAGATAATCTATGCTGTATCTATTTGATGTAAAAAAGTGTTGCTTCCAGTCTCTGTTTTGGGGGGACTAAAAGCAAAGATGGCAAATGGGATTTGTTCTTTCTTGCTTTTTAAAATACCTTATAATTTTTTTGTTAGGCACAGAACAGTGAGTAACAGGAACTCACTGTTAATAGGTCTTAGTGTGGGGCTTTACATTAATCTAACAAGAATTTGGACTGTGCTTAATGTTTGTTATAGTCACTGGGACCAGTGGCTTAAAATTCCTTTAGGATTTGATTTTGTCTCTCCTGTTGTCTTTGGGGTTCCCTAAGAACTACTTATCAGACAGAATCTTTGTCTTTCTTACAGCTTTCAGTAGTAAAACACTGTTATTATATTGGAGCCATGTTGGTGTGGTGGTAAGGCATAGGGGAGAGGAAGCATTTTATAAGTTTACTTAAATCTTTTAGTAGGCCTGTGTCCCTGGGCTGTGACCTTAATAAGTATTTCTTAGCTTTTCTTCCCCTGGCCCCTCAGTGAGACAGGAAGGCTAGAGGAGGCTAGAGTTGGAGAAATACTCTTCTCCAGATGGGATAAGACTCTGGTAATGCCTTTTCTTCTTGTGAGCTTAGCAACGTTTCAGGCTTAATTGACATTAGTGACTCCATTTTGGCTACTGACTTGATATTGAACTGCTGTTGAACTTTGAGACCCACAAAGGAACTATGAAAACCACATTCTTTTACAAACATCTGTGCTCTCAACAATGCAAGGAAACTGATCCCAGTCTTTAAGAACATTCTGTATATAGCTTTTCCTTGCCAACTGATGAAAATGCACCATTCTTCTAATGAGTAAAAACTTGTTTGATCAACTAATGAAATAATCAGACAAACAATTTATGTAATCTGAACAAATTGATATGAATGTAAGCCCTCTTACCCCTCTCGTGTGGTATAGTCTCTGACTACTCCCAGGTTGCAACTCCTATTTCTGAATAAATGATTCATTTTTCTCTGACCTATTGATTTTCTCCTTTTTGAGTTGACATCCTGGAGAGTAGGCCTTTATTATAGAGTATGTCCTAGGTGTATTTCACAATGTTTATTCTTCCTCTCCCCCTGCCAGAGCCACTAGGAGATTGTTCTAAGCTCTTTACTTTGAGAATCTGGTGAGGTTCTTGGAGGTAAAAAATCACAAAAGTGTGATGCTCCCCCTAAGACTATGGTCCCCAGGAGTTGCTCACTTTCAAGCTAGTGCACATAGCCTCCAGCAATTTGTTAAAATTACTGTTTAAGTGTTCCTACCAGTTTATGACTCTAGCAGCTTCTGCTTCAGGTTTAGCTCTGACTTTGTGGATTCATCTGCTTCTTCAGATTTTAGGGTGGTGTTTTAGCCAGCAGACTCAGTTCTCTGATGGATCCAAAAAGTTGTTGATTTTTAGTTTGTTCAGCTTTTTCTTGTTGTAAGGATAGAAATTATGACTTTCAAGCTTTACTCATGTTGGAGCTAAAACCAGAAGTCCCCTTGCTGTGTTTGAATAGTAAGTCTCTGTTTTTTTCTAAGAGTAGTTTTAGCTCTTACATTTGGGCCTATGATCCATTTTGAATTATTTTTAGTGTGTGGTGCAGGAACAAGTCCAATTTCATTCTTTTGCATGTGGATATCCAGTCATCCTGGTAGCATTTGTTGAAAAGACTATTTTTCCCCATCAAATTGTCTTGGCACCTTTGTGGAAAATCAATTTACAGTAAATGTAAGAGTTTATTTCTGTTTTTTCAATCCTGTTTCATTGATTTATATATTTACCCTTGTGCCAGTACCACACTGTCTTGATTACTGTAGGTTGGCAGTCACTTTTGAAATCAGGAAGTGTGAGTTCTCAAACTTTGTTTGTCTTTTTCAAAGTACTTTTGGTTCTTCTGAGTCCCCTGCATTTCCATATGAATTGCAGGTTCAGTTTGCTAGTTTCTGCATAAAAAGTAACTGAGGTTTTGACTGGAATTGCACTGAATCTGCCAATTTGGGGAACATTCCATCTTACCAATATTAAGTCTTCTGATCCATGAACATGGGAATATTTTGCACTTATTTAGAGCTTTTTAAATATATTTCAACTGTATTTTGTAGTTTTCAGTGTACAAGTCTTGAACTCCTTTTGTTAAATTTATTCCTATGTATTTTATTCTTTTTGATTTAAATGGAATTGTTTTCTGAATATCATTTTAAGAATGTTCATTGCTAGCATATAAAAAATATAATTAATTTTTATAACAGATTTATTGAGATGTAATTCACATATCATATATGTCATCAATCACAATTGATTTTTGTCTACTTATCTTTTATTCTGTAGCCTTGCTGAAATCATTTATTAGCTCTAATAGGTTTTTTATTTTAGGGAATTCCCAAAGATTTTCTATATAGAAGATCAAGATCAAGTGTTCTGCAAATAGAGAAATAGAGAAATTGGATTCCTTAATTTTTAATTCTTGCCTAGTTTTCCTGCCTGAACCTCCATTATAATGTTGAATAGAAGTGTTGAGGGTGGATATCCCTTTCTTATTCCTGATCTTAGAGAAAAAAGCATTTAGTCTTGCACCACCAAGACTTAGTTGTGGGATTTTCAAAGATGGCCTTTTATAGGTGGGGGAAGATTCCATTTATTTGTAATTTTTTGAGTGTTTTCTTTTTTAATCATGAAAGGATGTTGGGTTTTGTCAAATGCTTTTTCTGCATCTATTGAGATGATCACTTTTTTCCTTTTAATTCTATTAATATGGTGTATTATTTTGTTTAATTTTCATAATCTCATATGTTAAACCAACCTTACATTTCTGAGATAAATGCTACTTGGTTATGGTGTATAATCCTTTTTATATATTGCTGAATTTGGTTTTCTTGTATTTTGTCTTACTCTTTTGTCTTAATTCTTAATAGATACAGAACTTGGTAAAAAAAAAGTTCTATTTATATGGCTCCTAGAATCTTAATAATTAATTACCTTTTCTGAAAAATCTTCTCTGATTCATCCCTACCCCTAACTAACTCCTATGTAATCTCATAACACGCTAAGTGGCATTCATCCCATTATATTGCTTTTGTCAATTTACTTGTCACCTTCTTGGCTTCTTGAGAATAGACTATATTTTATATATCATTGTACCCCAGTATCTAGCACTATTACAATTTGGGACCTCTGGGAATCAGATAAGCATTGGATTTTAAAAGAACATGCACAATGATAGAAAGGAGATTATGTAACAAAGATCGAATATAAGAAAGTGAAACAGAATAGTGTTAGGATGGTTAACCCTCAAATGAACTATGATTTGAAAAAAATATTAACAACAAAAGTTTTACTTAGCTATATTCAGAATGAAAATATATCAAGGAATGTTTAGATTTATAATTCTGGGATTATTTTATGCTTATGGATGACAAAGCAGAATTCCTCAGATTTTAAATTACTTCTATCTTTTCTATCAAATAGAATTTTCTTTTGACTGAAAAGGGGAGACTAAATATTGAAGGAAATGACAGAAGTCAAAACATTGTGAATGAGTTATTTTCATCCCTGTGGTTTTGTGATCTATATGTCTATATTTCACAACATATATATATTTTAGCTTTCATCCACAGTTTCTGGCTCATAACTCCCATAGCCCTAGTTATAATGTCAGGGTACTTTAGGCCTCAGGAGAAGCTCTCAAGAAACAGAATCTTTGATCTTCTCCTGTCCTCCTTTCACCTGCCCAAGGCAGGACTCTAATCTGATTATGGGTCAAAAGACCCTCATTCCACAGAAGGTCCTGTCCCATATACTGGAGGAAGGAATGTTACACAGAGAGGCCAGGAAGAATCTGAATACATAGGCCTTGCTGAGTTTAGATCATTAGCTTTTTGTTCAATCACATTTCTACATGGTTGTCAATCATGTCTATGTAGTGAAGTCTCCATAAAAACCCAAAAGGACAGGGTTCAGAGAGCCTCCGTATAGCTGAACATGTGAAGGTTCCTGGAGAGTGGTGCACCCAGGGAGGGCATAGAAGCTCCATGCTCCTTCCACCAGACCTCACCCTACATATCTCTTCATCCATATCTTTATAATAATTCAGTAAATATAAGTAAGTGTATGCAGGAGTTCTGTGAGCCGCTCCAGCAAAACCCAAATAGGGGGTCATGGGCTGGTCCCAAACTTCTGGCCTCAAACAATAGTTCCACCTAGGACTCCCAAAACACTGGTATTATAGGCATGAACCACTGTGCCTGGCCAAGAAATACTCACATTATGGGACTTTCAGAAGGGGAAGGGAATGGCAAGGTATAGAAAACCTATCTAATGAAATAATAGCTGAAAACTTCCCAAGTCTGGGGAGAGATATGCACATCCACAGCCAGAAAGCTCAAAGGCTCCTAAATAGAATCAACCAAAAACATCCTTCCTGAGGCATAGTATAATTGAATTGCCAAAAGTCAAAGACAAAGACATAATTCTAAAAACAGCAAAAGAAAACTGTCAAGTCACATATAAGGGAATTGTAATTAGTCTAACAGTAGATTTCTCTATAGAAACCTTACAGGCAAGCAGAGAATGGGATAATATATTCAAAGTGTCAAAAATATTATACCTAACAAAGCTATCCTTCAGAAATGAGGCAGAAATTCACAGATAGGCAAAAACTGAGGGGATTCATTACCACTAGACTGGCCTTACAAGAAATGCTCAAGAAAATCCAATATATGAAAGCAGAAGCATGATAATCACTATTACAATAACACATACAAGTATAAAACTCACTAGTAGAGAAGATACACAAAGAGAAAAGAATCACAACTTATCACTGCAGAAGACCACTATACTGCAATGATAAACAATAAGAGAGGAAAAAAATATATAATAAACAACCAGAAAACAATTAACAAAATGATGGCTATATATCCTTGCCTATCAACAATAACCTTGAGTATAAACAAATTAAATTATTCACTTAAAAGATATAGACTGGCTGAATGGATAAAAAAATAACCAAACTATATGCTACCTACAAGAAATTTACTTTACTGTAATGACACAAAGATTGAAAGTGAAGGTTTGGGAAAAACATTCCACACAAACAGAAACCAAAAGTGAGCAGACATTGCTATAGTTATATCAAATACACAGACTTTAACTCAAAAACTGTAGAAAGAGACAAAGAAAGTCAATATATAATTATAAAGGGATCAATTCAGCAAGAAGATATAACAATTATAAATATAGATATACCCATATGCAATAGTGAAGCATCTAGATATGTAAAGCAAACATTATTAGATCTAAAGGGAGATACAAACTAATACAATAATAGTTGGGGACTTTAACACCCCACTGTCACCATCAGACAGATCATCTAGACAGAAAATAAAAAAAAAAAAATTGGACTTAAACTGTACTTTAGACCAAATGGACCTAACATTCACAGAATATTTCATCCAACAGCTGCACAATACACATTCTTTTCATCAATACATGGAACATTCTCCAGGACAGATCACATGTTATGCCATGAAACAATTCTCAACAAATTTAAAGGCCTTGAAATAATATGAAGTATCTTTTCTAGAAATCAATAACAAGAAGAACTTTCAAAATTATGTAAATTTGGAAACATGGAAATTAAGCAACATGCTTATGAATGACCAATAATTCAATGAAGAAATTAAGAAGGAAATTTAAACAATTTCTTAAAACAAATGTAAGTAGAAACACAACTTACCAAAACCCATGGGATACAGCAAAAGCATTATAGCAATAAATGGCTCCATCAAAAAAGTAGAAAGAGTCAAATAAACAACCTAAGGATGCATCTCAAGGAACTAGAAAAGCAAAAGCAAACCAAATCCAAAATTAGTAGAAGAAAAGAGATAGTAAAGATCACAGTAGAAATAAATGAAATTGAGTCTAAACAAACAAAACCAAAAAGTTGGTCTTTGAAAAGATAAAATTGATAAACCATTACCTAGACTAACCAAGGAAAAAAGAGAAAGACCCAAATAAATAAAATCAGAAATGAAAAAGAAGACATTACAGCTGATACCACAGAAATACAAAGAATCATTAGAGATAGTTAAGTGAACTAATTTCCCTGATTTGATCATTACACATTATATTAATATATATGTGTCAAAATATCACACTGTACCCCATAATTATGTACAACTATTATGTGTTATTAAAAATGATAAAAACAAAAAGTCTTTTGAAGAAACAGACCATTATTGAAAGAAAAATTGTATGAGGAAGCTATTCAGGATGAAAAGGGGTTAGATGGGCTAGCTCCCAACTGTTTGGCCTCTGACCAGTTCTCATTGTAGCCCTCAAAGTGGTAAGTTGCAAATTGTGGTCTGCAGATCACCGATATCAAAATTACCTGAGGTGCCTTATAAAAATGCAAATTCAAGGAGTGACACTAAGACCTACTCAGTCAGAAGCTGAGGTTTTCATAAATTCCTTAGGTAATTCTCGTGTCCACTAAAACTGAGCCTGAATCCTCTAATGCTGTGGTCCCCAACCCCCAGTCTGTGGCCTGTTAGGGACTGAGCTGCAGAGCTCTCCCGCCCTAAACCTGCGCGCCCCTCCCTACCTTTTGTGGAAAAATTTTCTTCATGAAACCAGTCCCTGGTGCCAAAAAGGTTGGGAACCGCTGCTCTCATGAGTAGGAGGTGACACTAGAGTACTTTAAAGGTCTTTCTCTGCTCTAAGATTTGGTGAGATGGGAATGAAAAGATTAGACAATTAGATGAATATTGTTTGGGTTTTGTTTTTTTTTTGACTGGGTAAAATTACAAAAATGCAAATTGACGTACAATGATATCTACTTATTTTCCCTATGTATTTCTAGAGCTAGAGAGAAAAATAACATATCATAGGTGACCATTCATTACTGTCTATGTTCATATTTTACTCACCCAAACCTTGATCAGTCAACTGTCTTCTAAAATAATCAACCATATAATCATCTGCTTCCTTTGGCCTTGTATCTAGAGGGGATAGTAAAAGATCATAGCACCATGAAAATAATTCATTGACTCATTTATATTCCATATTTTTAATCTTTTTTCAAAGTAAAAATGCTACTAAGTAATGTATAAGCAGTAGTTTACCTCAATGAAATTAATATAAGCAGTATTCACATCTCATGAATTTTTGTTGCATTTTAAATGTTCATACCTTTTGGGCCTACAATTCCTTTTCTAGGAATTTATTATAAGGAAATAATTAAGAATACATACAAATAGAGAGTTATAAGGTTTTCACTGCTGTTTACAATAGAAAAATATTGGAACAAAAAAAATTTAACAATAGGGGTGGCTAGATAAAGATTCACTAATAGAATGGAATACTTTGCTGCCATTTACTCACATGCAAAGGGGTTTACATTATAATATACTATAATTTAAAAAATTTTTTTAAAAAGTAGGTTGCAAAATAACATGAAGATTATATGATTCATTAACATGAGTTGTATATGTATAGACACAGGAAAAAGTCTTAAATAAATATTCTGAAATGTGATTTTTACTTTCTTTTGCTTATCTTTATTTCTAATTTTTGAAATTAAATTTTCAACAAAAGAATATATAAAAGTTACATATAAAAAGCAGCTGAATTGCTTGGCCGATCACAATCAGAAAGAATAAAGTTCAAATGAAATAACCATCATAATTATAATGCTATGCTTCTCTGTTCTTGATGTAGTTCTTATCTCCATTTTTATTTTTAATTGTTCTGCTATATCATAAATCAAATAGATTTATAGATGTTTATATATATTTTTTAAAATTTGGTTACCTCTAATCCTTTTGGGAAGTAGGTATAGTATAAATGTATAATAAATTACTACATATATACATACAATTATTTTAGATAAAATATTGCTTAAATTATGTGCTTTTTTTCCCAAAGTGCCTCAACTAAAGATAAGGTATAGAAATTAAGGAAAAAATACCAGAGATGCTAGAGAGTCAAAGATTTACATCAACTTAGGTTGCAACAGAAGCCTATGAAGAGTCCATAAATTAATTTCTCTTCTGGGCTCATCCTCAAATTATGGAAGGAGAGGAATAAGACATTTTTTAAAACATAAAATCCCTATACTCTGTTTGGGGAAAAACCTTTCGAAACCTTGGGGATATCCCTCAGATATTATACATGCACCTGTCTCCCTCCAATGTAATTGATCACTCTTTTTTCTGTGCTCCCTGGGACCCCTTAAACAGATTGCTGGCATTGCGTCTGTAGCACTGTGCTTAACTCATTTGCTTGTTTTTATTTTATGATTAAGAGATGAGCTCCTCCAGGGAAGAAATGTATATATATATATGACACTTCTTTAATATCCCTAGCACCAAGCATAACCGCAACCTCCAGGTTGTGGCACAAAAAAGAATGTTTGCTGAGTAAACAAATTAATTGTTTATGAGAAGATAGTAGCAGGAACATTACCTTTCACATCAGAATTTGATTCTATGTGTTTTTGTAGTAAAGATTCTCTGTCATACACCTAATGGAACACAGAATCAGAAGTAAAACAATGCTATATTATCAACATGGAAACAAGGTATATTTCCTATATTGTTTATGGTATTGTGGATTTTCAACAAACATTTCCCATTTTATCCTTATAGGTTTAGAATGGCCAAAAATATCTCATAAATCAGAATCTTCCAATATCTTTCACAACAATATTTTTCTTTTGCATCAATGAAGAAAATACTAATATTATATTTTGGCACTAAAGGGAGTTAAAAAATTTTCCAGGCCACATAAAACTTATTTATGATGAGAAAGAGACAATAAAAGATATGCATGTAATCTCACTTACTTAAATAAGAATAAAGATACAGGAACATAAGAGTGTAAAATGGGTGAAAACATATAAAATCTTTGTAAGCTTCTTCAAATACATTTTAGAGTAAAGTAGGTATAAATGAAACTTAAATATGTCACCTTAATAAGTCCACCTCTCATCTGTCAAGGACCTTTTGTGTTTTTATAAACAGTAAATAATATGAGCTAAATTTTAATCATTAATTTTTCCTGGGGAAAAATTAGGATATAAGGGTGTAAGAGAAAATAACTTGCTATTCTCTTACATTCATTATTTTTCAAAAACTATTAACAACCCAATAAATGAAGATTTACCTCTTGCTCTTCTCTGGCATCATAGTGCTTTACTATGGTAGAATTCCTTTCCTTCTTTGTTTTAAGATATCTTTTCCTGGTTTTCATCTGGGTAAAAGAATCATATTTAAAATCAATATTTAATCAATGCATCAAAGACAGTATATATACATACATGAAACTATCTTGAGATTCCCCAGTTCTAATTGGAGCCCCTTAGGCACTTATCCCCATTTAACACATCATGCATTTTACCTCTTTATCTTGTTTATTGTGTATCTCCCCAACTAGAATACAAGCTTTTGTTTCATTTTTCTTCACTGTTCTATCCCCAGTACCTAGATAGTACCTGATATACAGTTGGAGCTCAATATATAATTGAGTGATAGATATATAAATGAATATTGCGCTAACAATCAGGTGATATATGTTAGGCAACCACCTCTGTGCTACACAAGTGGTGTGGCTTTTGAGAGGTAATTTAATCTCTCTGAGTCTTAGGCATTTTCATCTATGAAGTAAAGGTGTTAGAGTAAAAAACCCAAAGGTTAGAAAATTCTATGATTTAAAGATATGTACATACTCAGAAAATAACAACTATTACAATACAATAAATATACATCTGTAAACATATTTTTGACTGCTTGTTTGTCACAATAAGTACCTATTAGCATATTCATACCATAAGCAAAAATATTTAATCATACCTGAGAAGCTAAGTTAGGAAGATAAGTCGGAGAGTCATTGGATTCTGAACTGTCAGAGCCTCGGCTACTACAACAAATTAATAGTTTTAGCTTATATAATGTTTTGCTGGCATCTTAAAATTTCAACTTTTGCTTTTACTTTATTATTTTATTTGGATGGTTGAAAAGTTCTAATTATAAGAAGAAGTTTTACAGAGGTGGGTTATGTGTGGTAGTTCCAGACATCTTAGAAATAGAGGTTTTTGTTGAATGTGTTGAGAGATACAAAGGTTTGGGAATGTGTTAATGGAATGTTAGCTCTAGAAAAGTAGGAGTTTTTTCTGTCTGGGTCACTGCTCTATGACCAGAGCGGAAATAGTGCCTGGCACATAATAGGTATTCAATACTATTTGTTAATAAGTGAATGAATAAATGATATATCTGGGGGGTTTCCTAGCTCTGAAAACTGAAATCATACTAAGTGTTATTACTGACCACAGTGGAGTGGAACTAGAAATCAATAGCAGAGGGAAAACTGGAACATTCACAAATATTAGTATGTTGAAATTAAACAGACCCAACGAAATTGAACAACCATTGGGTCAAAGAAGAAATCAAAAAGAAAATTAAAAAAATACTTTGAGACAAGCAAAAATGAAAACAACATACCAAAATTTATGGGATACAGTAAAAGCAGTATTAACAGGGAAATTTATTGTGATACATGTCTACATTTTATTTTATTTTATTTATTTTATTTTGAGACAGAGTCTCGCTTTGTTGCCCTGGCTAGAATGAGTGCCGTGGCATCAGCCTAGCTCACAGCAACCTCAAACTCCTGGGCTCAAGCAATCCTTCTGCCTCCCAAGTAGCTGGGACTATAGGCATGTGTCACCATGCCTGGCTAATTTTTTCTATAAATATTAGTTGGCCAATTAATTTCTTTCTATTTATAGTAGAGACGGGGTCTCGCTCTTGCTCAGGCTGGTTTCGAACTCCTGACCTCGAGCAATCCGCCCACCTCGGCCTCCCAGAGTGCTAGGATTACAGGCATGAGCCACCGCGCTCGGCTGATGTCTGTATTTTAAAAAGAATAAAAATATCAAACACCTCAAGGACCTAGAAAAGAACAAATTAAGCCCAAAATTAGCAGAGGGAAGGAAATAATAAAGATTAAAACAGAAATAAATGAGACAGAAAATAGAAAAAAAAGAAAAAATCAATGAAACTAAAATTTGGCTTTTTGAAAAGATAAAATCAATAAGTTCTTAGCTAAACTAATTAAGAAAAAATAAAGACTCAAATCAGAAATGAAAGAGGGAACTTCACAACTGATACCACAGAAATAAAAAGAATCACAAGATACAATTATGAAAAGTTGTACACCAACAATCTGAATAATCTGAAAGAAATGGATACATTTCTAGAAACATACACACTACCAAGACTAATTTAAGAAGAAATAGAAAGTCAAACAGATCTATAACTAGTATGGAGATTGAATCAGTAATCAAAAATCTCCCAACAAAGAAAAGCCCAAGCCCAGATGGCTTTGCTGGTCTATTAAATTCTATTAAATGTTTAAAGAAGAATTTATGCCAGTTCTTCTCAAATGCTCCCAAAAAATCAAAGAGGAGAGAACTTTTAATTCATTTTATGAGACCCACATTAAACTGATACCAAAGATCTAGACAAAGATACTACAGGAAAAAAAGCCAGAGGCCAATATCCCTGGATAAAGATAGATGCAAAAATCCTCAACAAATACTGGAAATCTGAATCCAACAGCACATTGAAAGGATCATCCATCATGACCAATAGGGATTTATCCCTGGGATACAATGATAGTCCAACATATGAACATTAATTAGTGTGATATACCACGTAAACACAATAAAGGGTAAAGATCCATGATCTCAATAGACGCAGAAAAAGCAATTGACAAAACTCAACATCCTTTTGTGATAAAAACTCTCAAAAACTAGGAATAGAAGGAAAGTACTTCAACATAATAAAGGCTTCATATGAAAAGCCCACAGCATACTTAATGGTGAAAAACTGAAAGCTTTTACTCTAAGATTAGAAACAAGGCAAGGATAGCTACTCTCCCCACTTCTATTCAACATAGTACTGAAAATCCAAACCAGAGCAATTAGACAAGAAAAAGAATTAAAATTTCCACATTGGAAAGAAAGAAGTAAAATTGTCCTTGTTTACAGAAACATGATCTTATATATATAGATACACAGGAACCCCTAAAGAAGTAATAAACAAATTCAGCAGAGTTGCAGGTTACAAAATCTACATGTAAAAACCAACTGTGTTTCTAATAGAGTGAAAAGACAGCCTATGTAATGGGAGAAAATATTTGCAAGCCATATATAAGGGATTAATCTCCAAAATATATAAGGAACTCCCATAACTTAACAGCAAAACAACAACAAAAAACCAATAACCCAATTTAAAAATGGGCTAAATACTTGAATAGATATTTCTCTAAGGAAGACATAAAAATGGGCAACAGGTGTATGAAAAGGTGCTCAACATCATTAAACATCAGGAAAATGCAAATCAAAACCACAATGAAACATCACCTTATATGTGTCAGAATGGCCATTATAAAAAAAAAAAAAGATAGCAAGTATTGGGGAGGATGCTAAGAAATTGAAACCCCTGTACACTATTGAGAGAATGAAAAATGGGGCAGCTGCTATTGAAAACAGTATAAAAGTTCCTCAAAAAACTACAAATAGAACTATCATATGATCCAGCAATGCTACTTCTGGGTATTTACCCTCCAAAATTGAAATCTAGATTCTGAAGAGGCATTAGCACTTCTACGTTTATTGCAGGACTATTCCCAATAGCCAAGATATGGAGACAATCTTAATATTCACCAATGGATGAAAGGATAAAGACAATGACCTTTCTACATACAATGGAATACTATTCGGCATTAAAAAAGAAGAAAATTCTGCAATATGCAACAACGTGGATGAGCCTAGGAGACATTTTGCTTAGTGAAATAAGCCAGTCACAGAAAGACAAAAACTGCATGATTCCACTTATGTGAAGTATCTAAAATAGTCAAATCCATAAAATAAAAGAGTGGAATGCTGGTTTCTAGAGGTTGAGGTGGTGGGGGAAATTTCTAATTATGGATATAGTATTTCAGTTAGGCAAGATGAATAAACTCTAGAGATCTGCTCTATAACTTTGTATATATAATATATTGTACACTTAAAATTTTAAGGGGGTAGATTTTATACTAAGTATTCTTACCACAATAAAATAAAAATAAAACAAAATAAATAACAATCTACTGCAATGCTGGGGAAAAAAACACTAAACATACTCTTATCTTATGATCTAGCAATCATGCTCCTAGGTATCTACCCAAAGGAGTCAAAAACTTACGTCTACACAAAAACCTGCACACGGTTATTTATAGCAGATTTATTCACAATTGCCAACACTTGGAAGCAACCAAGATACCCTTCAATGGGTGAATGGATAAATAAGCTGTAGTGCATTCAGACAGTGGAATATTACTCAATGCTAAAAAGAAATGAGCTATAAAGCCATGAAAAGACATGGCGGAGACTTAAATGCATATTCCTAAGTGAAAGAAGCCAATCTGAAAAAGCTACATACTATATGATTCCAACTATTTGACATTCTGAAAAAGGCAAAACTATGCAGACAGTTAAAAAGATCTGTGGTTATCAGGAGTTAGGGGAGAGGCAGGGATGAATAAATGAATTCTTAGGGTGAATTCATACAGTGAAAATACTCTGTATGATAGATACTTTAAATGTGGATACATGTCATTATACATTTGTCCAAACCCATAGAATATACAACACCAAGAGTGAACCCTGTGGCAGGGCGTGGTGGCTCACGCCTGTAATCCTAGCACTTTGGGAAGCTGAGGCAGCAGGATTGCTTGAGCTAAAGAGTTCAAAACCAGCCTGAGCAAGATAGAGACCCTGTCTCTACTATGAATAGAAAAATTAGCCGGGTGTCATGGAGCATGCCTGTAGTCCCAGGTACTGGGGATGCTGAGGAAAGAGGATCACTTGAGACCAGAAGTTTGAGGTTGTAGGGAGCTATGATGATGCCACTGCACTCTACCCTGGGCCACAGAGTGAGACTCTGTGACAAAAAAAAAAAAAAAAAGAAAAGAAAAGAAAAGAAAAATAGAGTGAACCCTTTGTATATTTTGAACTTTGACTGACAATGATGTGTCCATGTAGACTCATTAATTGTAACATATGTACCAATCCGGTAGGAAGTGTTGATGATGGGAATACTATGCATGTGTGGGGTTAAGGGATATATTGGAAATCTCTGTACTTTCCACTCAGTTTTGCTGTGAACCTAAAACTGCTTTAAAACTAAAGTCTCTTAAAAACTAAAGTCTATTAAAAAAAAGAGAGGGAAACAAAAACAAAAGCAAATAAAAAACAATTTGGTTATGTCTTTTATATGCAATTAGTACACTATACACAGTAATGCTCATATTATTTGAATAAAAGAATAAATTAAATGAACTCTTGAAGTCTGGCCAAAATAATGTGCATGGGAAATTTTTTCCCCACTTATAGTCGGGATTTTCAGTTGAGAATTGACGATAATATCTTATTATTATAAAGAGCATAGTAAAACAGCACAACAAATTGCATTACTTCACTAGCCTTGAGTTACCTAGACTCTGGATCCAATGTAATTTCTACCAAAGAAGTATCTGAATCATCAAAGACTTTTTCCAAGCTTAAATGTTTTTCCATTTCTTCTAATTCTTTGAGGCACTGATAATACTAGGGGAAAATGATAAATGAGTTCATTATAAAATAACTTTATTTCTTAATTAAGCTATTTGAATATTTATAGACACCTAGTACAATAGGTATTGGGACATTAAGTACCCAAAAGCAAGAACTCTGTTAGGAGATTAACAGGAAAAACTGCCATAGGCCCACAAGCAGGTTATGTTTATTTGATAGGCTGGAATCTGATGGAATTACCAAATGGACTTTACTTACCTTGGTGCGGTCAGGGTCACAATAGTCCAAGAGAGAATCACAAAAATGGTATCCCATTGACTCCAAGTCTTTTGTGTTGAAATGAGTGCCTCGTTTATTACCTAAAACATCAATAAGTTTATCCACCCTTGAGGATGAGTTAATTTTTTCTTAGCAGGTAGGCCTAAATTGCAAAACAGAGAGTATAAACAAAACATTAATATGATTCCATATTCTGTCCTTTGGATTTTCTTCTCTGGGGCAGGTCATTGTACAGCTTATTGCTTTCCCTTTTCCACCAACTGGACCAAAGCTGACTCAACACAGATTAGTCTATGTTGTAAGGCAGAAGAAGATTCAATAAGACAGTTATGGAATATTTGGTTACCAGTTATACATAGCCCTAACAATCGCTTTGAGAAAAACGATTTTATGAGAAAATGTTTTCTTCATCATGAATAATGTTACATCAGTTTCAAGGTGTTTTAAAACTGGCTGGAAATTACATATATGGGTTTCTAGCACTTTCCTTTGAGTTGATACATTTTCTGACAATGTGACAATTATCTTAATATGCAGTATTATATATCCATATATCCGAACAGTGATATGTTAGATGTGACTAAAAGATTTCTTAAATGAGACTACTTAAATGAGACACTTTTATTTTTTGTTCAGGGAACCAAGTGCTTCCATTTAAACATAAATTGACAAAAAAGCTGTCTGGTTTGCCTTGCAAATAGCAAATCCAAAAAACTCCCCGTTTCTACCATGTATTTTAGGTATGTGCATTGCTTTTTCTTGAAATCATTAGGAATTTACATTTTTTTAAAAAATCTGCAGCAACACCCTTAAAAATAACAAGCATTTAAAGATTAGTTTATTATACAACTAATTAGAGTATTCTGTATACAAACTAAAGCTTTCCTTTTTAAACAAAAGGAAATGATGAAACAGAAATACTATATAGTAGGAGTTTAACTATTCATTCTATTTATAGAATTGATTAAATATCAGTATGTATTTAAGTAGGAAGAAAGTGCTCACTATCAAATTGTCTATAGTATTAATTTTACATTAAAAATATCTTTGGTTTAAAGCTCTGAGAGCTGAGAATGAGAACACTTGGTCTTACCCAGAGTAGATCCAGAAAAGGTGGCCTCCATGGTAAAGCTGTTTCTGATTCCCATTTTCCACATTACTACCCTTCCTGTTCCTTCTTTGCTCTTCTGAACATTAAACTTGCAAGCTGAGAATGAAAACTGAAAAGAAGCAAATAAAAATGAGACTCATTGTCCTGGTACCTATATCGTTTTTAGGAATTAAGATTGAAAATGAAAAAGTAGTTGTGCGAATCTGTAATTTTCACTAAAACTTCAGGAGCTACTTTTTATTTTCTGACCAGTGGAAAAATTCATTTGAAGGATGATATATCTACATTTCTGAAAACTATAGATTCTAATTCCTGCAATTTAAAATTTACTTTTTATCTTTATGTAACATATGTATTCAAAATCAGTTGATTAATTTTTGCTACTGTTGGGATAAGTTCTTATATTTTTAAAAAGTTCTAGGAAAGGGTTCAAACATATTTAGGAATGATATTAGTATTGGAGATCTCCATAAATAGAATAGAGGTTCTTTATTTTCATAAGAAAGACCATTTGAAAGATGTCCTGAAAGAATGCTACAAAGATATCAATATCTACAAAGATATTTTTTTGGGTAAATTTATTTTTTAATTAACCTACAATAAATTGATGCTTTTATGTTTCATTCTATGTATTTCAGCACATGTACAGATTGGTGTAACCACTGCCACAATCAGAATACAGAACAGTTCTATTGCCCCTGAAAAACCTCCTCATGCTACCCCTTTGCAGTCACACCCTCCTGCCACCTTTAACCCTGGGCAACCCTTGATTTGCTTTCTGTCACTATTTTTTTCTTCAAGACTGTCAAATAAATGGAGTCATACAGTATGTAACACTTTTAGACTAACTTCTTTGACTTAGTATAATACTTTTGAGATTTATTTAAGCTATTGCATGTATGAATATTCATTCTTTTTTATTGCTGGGTACTATTCCATTGTATGGATGTACTAAAAGTCACCAGTTAAAGGACAGTTATCCACTCACAAGTTAAAGAACATTGGGTTGTTTCCAGCTTTTGGTAGTTATGATAGAGCTGCTATGAACATTTGTGTGTACATGTTTACATATGAATGTAAGTTTGCATTTCTCTAGGGTAAATACCTAGGAATGGGATTACTGGATCATATAAGTGTACATTTAACTTTATAAGAAAATGCCAAGTTACTTTCCAAAATTGTATACCATTTTGCATTCCTATCAACAACATGCAGTATGAGGGTTCTGGTTGTTCCAAATTCTTGTTAGCAGTTGGGATTGTCAGTATTTTTTATTTTAGCAATTCTAATAGGTGTGTAATTGTATCTTCTCATGGTTTAAATTGCAGTTCCTAAATGGCTAATGATGTCATACATATTTTCATGTGCTTATTTGTCATCATAGATCCTTTTTGGTGAAGTGTGTATTCAAGATTATTGCCATTTTAAATTGGCTTCTTTGTTTTGTTACTATTGAGTTATTCTGGAGTTATTACAAGTTCTTTGTTAGGTATGTGATTGCAAATATTTTCTCCTATCTGTAGCTTATCTTTGTATCCTCTTAAGAAGATCTTTCACAGAGCAAAAGGATTAATTTTGATCAAGCCCAGTGTATCAATTTGTTAGGATCCAGTGGATCATGCTTTTGGTATATGTTTAAGAACTTTTTTTTGCCTAATTCCATGTCATATACTTTTTCTTCTATGATTTCTTATAAAAGTTCTATAGATTCACATTTTAAATTTAAGGTGGAGGATTTTTGTTTTTGTTTTTCATAAGGATGTCCAGTTATTCTAACACCATTTATTGAAAGTTTTTTTCCCATTAAATTTCCTGAGTACCTTTGTCAAAGGCTATATATGTGTCCATCTATTACTAGACTTGCTATTCTGTACTATTGCTCTAAGTGTTTATACACTTCCTATTACCACACTGTCTTGATCACTGTAGTTTTATACTGTCTTAAAATTTGATAGTGTGAGTCCTTCAATTTAATTTTTTTTCAAAATTGTTTTTTTTCAAAATTATTTTAGTTCCTTTGTATTTCCTTATCAATTTTAGAATCAGCTTTTTTATATCTACAAACAATTATGCTGTGATTTTGTTTGGAATTGTAGATCTATAGATCAAAATGGGGAGTTGATATCTTACTGTGTCCAGTTTTCCAATCTATAATACAGCATGTTTCTCCATTTATTTGGTTTTTTGATTTACATCATCAACTTTTTTTAGATGTCGGCATATATTTTGTTAGATTTATAACTAAGCATTTATTTTGGAGCTATGGTAAAATAAGATTATTTTTAATTTATTTATTGTGAGAATATAGAAATGCAGTTGTTTTTTGTAGGTTGACCTTGTATCTTATAACCTTGCTAAACTTATTAGTTCTAGGAGTTTTTGTGTGGGTCACTTTGGATTTTCTATATAGACAATTATGTTACTTTCATTACTTCTTTTCCCAGTCTGCCTTCTTTGATTTATTTTTTTCTTTTTTTTTTTTTTTTTTTTTTTTTTTATAATTTTTTTTTTTTTTGAGACAGAGTCTCGCTTTGTTGCCCAGGCTAGAGTGAGTGCCGTGGCGTCAGCCTAGCTCACAGCAACCTCAAACTCCTGGGCTCAAGTGATCCTTCTGCCTCAGCCTCCCGGGTAGCTGGGACTACAGGCATGCACCACCATGCCCGGCTAATTTTTTTATATATATATATCAGTTGGCCAATTAATTTCTTTCTATTTATAGTAGAGACGGGGTCTCGCTCTTGCTCAGGCTGGTTTTGAACTCCTGACCTTGAGCAATCCGCCCGCCTCGGCCTCCCAAGAGCTAGGATTACAGTCGTGAGCCACAGCGCCCGGCCTCTTTTTTCTTTTTTACCTTATTGCACTGATAAAAACCTCCAGTACAAGGCTGCATGGAGAGGGTAAGAGTGGAAATCCTTTTCTTGTTCCTGACCTAAGGAGGAAAACATTCAGTCTTTCATCTTTAAGTGTGTTGTTAACTATAGAGTTTTTTGTAGATGTCCTTTACCAGGTTGAGAAAGTACCTTGCATTCTTTATTTGCTGAAATGTTTTTATCATAAATGGATGCAGAGTTTTGTTAAAAGTTTTTTCTACGTTAATTGATGTGATAACACAGGGATTATTCTTTAGACTTTTAATGTTGTGGATTACACTGATTAATTTTCAAATATGGAACCAGCCTTACATTCTTGGAATAAACCTCATCAGGTCATGATGTATTATTTCTTTTATGTATCGGTGGACTTAATATGCTAATATTTTATTTAGGATTTTTAAAATCTATGTTCATGAGGGCTATTTGTCTGCAGTTTTCTCTTCTTGCACTGCGTTTGCCTTATGTCAGTATCATGGTAATCCTGGAAAAGATTGTGTCTTTAAATTTTTGTTAGAATGCTTCAGTGAATCTATATGGATCTAGAGATTTCTTCTTGGAAAGTTTCTTTTTGAAATGCTTTTCAGGACTATTCAGATTATCTGTCTCACCTTGAGTGAGTTTTTGAGGAATTGGTTCATTTCATTCAAGTTGTTAAATTTGTGTGCATAGAGTTTTTTCTTATTGTCCTTTAATGCCTGCAGTCTGTAGTTACACTTCTTTTTCATTTTTGATATTGGCAATTTGTGTCATCATTGCCTTCCCTTCCTCCTCTTCTTCTTCCTCCTACTCCTTCTGGTCAGTCTTGGTAAAGTTTTATCAGTTTTACTGATCTTTTCCAAACATACGCTTTCTGTTTAACTGATTTTCTCCATTATTTTTCTGTTTCTAATTTCATTGATCTGGTTTTATCTTAATTATCTGCTTCCTTCTGCTTGTTTTGGGTTTACCTTGTCTTTCTTTTTCTAGTTTCTTATGGGGGAAATTTAGATTATTGGTTTGAGACCTTTGTTCTTTTCTAATATAAGCATTTAATGCTATACATTTTCTTGTAAGTACTACCACTTTAGCTGAATTTCACAAAACTTGATGTTGTATATTTTCATTTTCCTTCAGTTCAAAATATACTCTAAACTTCCTTTACAGTTCCTTTTTGGTCTATGGATTATTTAGAAATCTGGTTTCATTTCTACATGTTTGGAGATTTTCCTCTTATCTTTCTTTTATTGATTTCAAGTATACAAAGTACAAAGTATGTATGATTTTACTTCTTTAAATGTGTTAAGGCTTCTTTTAAACCAGGATATGATCTGTATTGGTGACTGTTCCATGTGCATTTGAATATAGTGTATATTCTGCTGTTTAGTATAGTGTTCTGGAAACATGTCAGTTAAATCCAGTTGGTTGATGGTGTTGTCTAGTTATTATATATCCTTGTTTATTGTCTACTTACCAATTACATATTACTGAGAAAGGAATTTGGAATCTCCAACTATAGTTGTAGGTTTGCACAAAGAGATTTCAATAAGAAGCACTTAACAGAAAACCTAGATATGGAAGCCTCTATATTTCAAGCAAACTTTATATTATGTGAAGACCTGTTTAAACGGCAGACTGGTTGTTATGCTGACGAAATTGGTCGGTTTCATCTAAAGCACAATAGGTTAGAGATCTAAGACCCAAGAAATATTTCAATAGACAAATATTAAAATAACTTAGTAACATGGGATCATTTTATAGGAGAAATAAACTATATCTAAGAGTATTGAGAGAAATAAACTACCGTGTTTCCCCGAAAATAAGACCTACTCATAAAATAAGCCCTAGCAGGATTTCTAAGCATTTGTGCAATAGAAGCCCTACCCGGAAAATAAGATATAGTGACGGGAGTGACTACCCAGCAAATCTGCACAATCCATGCATTTTGTGGCGGAGAGGTAAAGAAGATGAGCAGCCCTTCTCATCTGTCCCATCGTGACAGCTACTATCCCAGAGGTGACCGGAAAGGTGCGGACAGCCCCACCAACAAGGTCGGCTCCCCCTGCCAGGCTCCCCCTGCTCCCTACCATCCTGTGCATGCTGCAAGCTGAGGCTTTGAGGGGAAAATAACACATCCCCTGAAAATAAGCACTAGGATGTCTTCTTGAGGAAAAATAAATATAAAACCATGTCTTATTTTCAGGGAAACATGGTATATGGGAAATATATAGGAAGCCATTCCTATATAAATTTGGTTTATATAGGAAGCTATCTTATACAAATTTGGTTTCTCTGATCTTTCTTTGTGAAGGAATGAATCCTATTTGGGCAATAAAACTGTGCTTCCTGTAAATAGTTATTTTTACTGGATCAGCCTTTCTGTTTTATGTCTTTGGACTCCAACTATCCCTGGAAGACTATGAGTACTTCCCAACAAGTCCTTTATGATTTAATTGGTTGGTTGAAACATCTGCAGGAATTTTCTGTGCTATGTTAAAATATTTTCTCTAAAGAATTATTAAAATAATTTTCACATCTTTGTAAATGAATGGCTCCAACATTTCCACAGTCTTTGAAAATAATAATACAACTATTCTTTTCTCATTTTAATTTCTATGAATTTTTGAAATATTGGTTATCGAATTGAATTTTTTCTTGGTAAAATTTTAATAGATACTTTAAAGAAATTATTACACATTCCTTAAGAGCATAATCTGTAACCTGTATAATTTAGGCACTCAATAAATATTAAAACAATACAAAATAAGGCCTCAAGACTGACGAAAATGACTAATCAAGGAAGCTTTCCAAAGGTAAAATGGTGGTGGTATTAAAGTGGTAGGATTTGGGGCATTTTTTCCTTTGTTTCCCCTCATATTTTCAAATTATTAGTCGCTACGCAGTTCTATATAGTTGCTTTCTTATGGCCAATTATATAAACCAGTCAAAATAACTAAATGAAAAAGCAGCTTACTGAACAGGATTATACATTCTACTGTCCCACATGGGCAACATTTAGTAAAGGAAAAGTTATAATCTTAAAAGATGCTTACTTTATCAGGGCAATTTTTGCTCAACATAAGTGGAAAGATTCGTTGCTGTAAGTATAATGATTTAGATCTCTCACTACCATCACAGCCATACATGAAAATATTCTCTTTTCTACTATGGCCATGAAGATCACAATATAAAAGAACCTCTCGTTTCTCCATCAATCTGTCAAGAACAAAAAGAATAAATTACTAAATTTTACTTCTGCATTTTATAAAACCATGGATTTATAAATGTAATATCCAAATAAATAGAATTTTTATATCCTAGCTTTCATTTCATTTTTCTTCATATCTATATGCCTATTATTAATATACTTTTTATTTAAAACTCTATAATAATTTACTATTAATTATATATAAAATTTGAATGCTGTCATTATTCATTATAAGGACAAAATTTAATTTACTCCCAAGACTTTCTTCAATAAGATCTCCTTGCTTTATTATTCCAGTTTTCCCACTCATGTCTTTGCCCATTACCTTTCATATAAATTCTGACTAAAATACCTTCTTTCTTCATCTTTGTAAATGTAAATATTATCCTCCATCTTTCAAGACTGACTTCACTTCCTTTACAACTAGTCAAGCCCATAGATTTTTTTCTCACTGAACTCCTATAGCATCTAATATTGGTACCATTTACTTGGCACTTGCCTAGGAAAATTTTCATATTTTTGATATATAAGCTCCTTAAGGATGGGGAATGCTTCAAATCAGTACTGTGCACATAATTAAGTGCTCAAATATTTGTTAAAAATTGAGTGCCTGATGACTTGGTGCTGAAGCCAATCAATATTTAACCCTTATTAGTGTGGCCACTAAATATCATTTTGAGAAAAATGGTACTAAAGTTTGAATTGATTTTTTCCAGTAGGTTTCTAATAAATATTTTAAAGAAATTATTATACATTCCTTAATAGCATAATACATAGTCTCTATAATTTAACATTCAATTAATATAAAAATAACAAAAAATAAACCCCCAAAACTGATTGATGAAAATGATTCATAAAAGAAGCCTTCAAAAAGTAAAAGAGTGGTGGTGTGTTAAGGTGGTGGATTATTATGTTAATTGGATAATCAAAATTGCATGTACTACTTGTTTTATCTGGAAGGATACATGCTAAAGTATGAGCAATGGTATTTATACTAATATGCAATATATTACATTTATAACAAAATAAAAAGACTAAAACCTAAAAGCAAAACATTCAAAGCATTGTTTCTATTAGAAACAATATTCCTTTAAACTATAATGAAATCCCAAACTAAAATTTGTTACATGTATTAATTTATTGCCCTTTCTCATTTGGTGCCTAATAAATTCTAATTGATAACATATGACTAGCATAAAACCAGTAAATGATCATTACGAGTTTTTAGAAACTTAGCTAGATTATAAGGCATGGATATCAAGTTAATTTCTTGAATCTAAAACATGCTATACATTTTTTAAACCAAAAATTCCCATTTTAGTGATCTTCCAACTTCTTGTGAGTCAAAAGAAATATCTATTTCTAAATAATCAATTCCCAAATAAATGCTATACTGCTGAAGTAAAACAGGATATTAGGCTCTCTCATCTTACATTAATTTAAATAACTTTAGAAACAGTTTGGATTTTCTTCTTACCCACAGGTAATTAAGATATTGTAAGTATTTTATATCAACTACCCTATACTAAGAGCTACACACTCTCTCATTCTAATATGCTTTAAGTATACTTAATCTTAGATATACTTATAGCTGCTCACCTTTCCACACATATGTGACTGACTTCTTATCCTACTTATCTCCCTATGATTAATTGTATTAAGGTATTTCTCTTTCTTAGAAGTCTTTTTGAAACTTGCTGAATTAGCCTCAACCTTCTTTACAAGGCAATCTGAGAAGAACTGAGACATTTAACATAGTTTCCACAGAGACAATCCAAGGGGCCTTGACCTGTAATCCATCACGTGTCAGACCAGGGACCCTTAATGTCAAAGAGCATTAAGTAGACATTATAGATATTCTAATAGACATTCCATTGGTGCCACATATATTATTTATTATTTATATACATATAAAAATATATTACTTCATATAATAAACGCCAAAGAAATGATATACTGCTGAAGTGAAACAGGATATTGGGGTCTTTGGTCTTACATTATATTACTTTATATATGTGTGCATGTGTGTGTATATAAAATAAACTTTACTTTGGAATAATTTTAGATTTATACAACAGTTGCAAAAAGAGACAGTTCTTGTATATCCCTCACCCAGTTTTCCCTAATGTTAACATATTGCATGAGCCTGGTACATTGTTAAAAATGAAGAAACCAACATTGATACATTACTATTAACTAAACTACCAACTTTATTTGGATTTCACTAGGTTCTTTTTTTTTTTTTATTAATGCCCTTTTTCTATCACAGAATCCAATCCAGGATTGGATTGGATTGCATTTATTTAGTCAGCTCTGTTTTTATTGTTTGCCATTGCTGGAAAAATGAAATCACCAGTTATTTATTTATTTTATTACTTAAAACATTTCCTAGATGCCTTCAAGGAATCTTGGAATCCACATTTTTGAGGGGTATAAATCCAGGGTTTTCATTCTGTATTGTGGGGCTCTGCACTTTACTCCCTATGTGCCTAAGCAGATAAAAGGATTGATATGAAAATAAAAGTTAAGGCTGTATTGTCTAAGACAGTAGGAGCCATGACAGGTATTAATACTTCTAAATATTGTCAGCTCCTCTGAGGACCTGAAGGTATCCTTGGGATGCTTGGCTTTGTAACAGGGTCCTTTTGTGCTTGCCCCTGTGAGATGCCCTGGTAACAAACAGCTGGATAAGGATGTAATCATTCTCTACAATAGTACTAATTACTGTGACATTTGAATAACCCTAAATTGTTCACAAAGAGTTTTCACATCTATAGCTGCTTAAAATTAACCACTTTTTTTTTCTTTATACACTAAGGAAACACTGAATATGTTTAGAGCTTTTAATGTTCCAGATCCTATTCTGAATACTTTAGTAATAATTTTCACATTTAATTCTACCATCTTTGAGGCAAGTATTATTGTTCCTATCTTATAAATGACAAAACTGAGACTTATATTGGTTTTTAAATTGCACAACAAGGTCACACCATTAATACATGATATACCAGGAATTCCAATGTGATATGCTTAACTCCAAAATCCAAAAAGGTTAAGAGGCTTTGAACTTGAAATGGATGTTCTCTGATGCCAATAACTCTTTCCGCTGTAGCACATGTCTATTCTTGATTATTATTACCTGAATCTATCAAATAATTCACCCATTCAACAAATAATTGTATGTTATGTGCCTTTTACTGTGCTAGATTCTTACATTCTAGAAAATTTAAAGCTGTACAATTTTTTAGGAGCAAATGAAACTATTGTTCATGAAGTTTAAATAATTATGTAACCTGATAATCAAAAAAGTCTCATAGAACAATGTATGAGCAACACAGTGCCAGAAGACTCTGTGAGATGTAATTAATTTTCACATATAAAGGATTCAAGGATCTCAGTGTAAACGTCAGTGGCACTGTTAGCTTCATTGAGAAACCAAATTTGGGATATGCTAGTTTATCTATTAGTTTCATAGAGCCATCAAAACATTCTGGAGTCTACTTCATGATTTAAGAGAAGGCTAGTGAATCCAGTGGCACAATGCTAGAAGGGTATAGAATAAGACTTGAGAAGAATGGGGAAAAATAAAGTAGTTACATGGTAAAGTGTCTTAAGAAAAGTTACAGTAAAATGAGTGGGACTGTGGGAGCAAAATTCTTACTACCAAGTTTATTAAATAAGCAGAGAGGTAATCTAAAGCTTATTTTACCTACGGATCATGTTCCGGGTATACCACACAGAAGGAAAAGATTCCTTCAGGAGAGATGTGTAAGTACGGTTTAAATCCCGTCCAGCCAAGGAACACCGATAATTTCCCACAATCACACCATCTGGATTCAGCATGGGTACCACCTTGAAGACGAAAGTGTCCCGAAGCAACTGTGCATCCCTTGAGTCTCCTAAAATATAATCTAGGAAGCCTTTCATGATCCAAGAGCTGTTGGTTTCCCCTGGATGGACCCTCGCAGTCAGAATCACAGCCTTTCGGGTTCTGGAGTCAGTGTTCTTCAAGGGGGTGGTGATCGTTAAAACATACACCATGTTCCTAGCAAGTGTGTGGCACAGGACACGTATTTTACAAAACTTTGACCGTACTGGGTCATTGTTGATGCCAGAAAGGTATTCTTGCAGGTTGGTGTAAGTGTAGGGATAGCAGTGAGCAAAGTAGCACGTATCTTTGCTGTGTGGAAATTTAAATGTCCACGTGAGAGAGAAATAATGGCGCCCATCTTGCCCAGGGTTGTTCCTATAATATTTGATTTGCTCTCCTATTCTCTGCCAGCCAATACGATGAGCCTTGGCTTCTTTTTCAGAATAGAACAGTGGGCGCATACCCCGATTGTAAAGACTAGCAGGCTTGGTGAAATTGACAATAGTGAATCTGTAGACTATTCCTGCTTGGGTGTTAGTGACTTGGAAATAGTACCACTGGGTGTGTTTATGCGTGAAGAGGTCAGGGCGCAAAGTCAGCTGGTATTCGTGTTCTTCCCTAATACACAAGAAAGGAAGGGAAAAGGAGCACATGAGAATGTAAAAATGGCATTCATGTTTAAATTAAATAAGGAAAACTATTTTTACCTATTCATAGAAAGTTTTTTAGAAAACAATGTTCATTTAGGCAGTATATAATAGCAAGTAACTCAAAAGATAAAGCTTTTAAAATTTTATACTTTATTGGGTGAGAAACTGCTTCTATGCTAATTCTAAAGCCTTTGTATCTCTTTGTAATTCAAAACAGCACATAAAACATGGGTATTTGATAATAATTTACATATTTCAACCCAATTATGTTTTCTATAAAAGAAATGATTAAAGAGTTACCAAAACTGAAGCAAAGTCCAAGGTTTCTTTTTTTACTTGGACATATATTCCTATTTTCCATTAAATTCTAATTCTAGGGATATATTAATAAAATAACTATCCTGGAGAGGTTAAAAAACATATAAATTATTAAATAATATGATCACATATATTACAAAATTCGAACGTCTTGAGGACAAGAACTGCATTCGATAACTATTTTCATCCTCATACTCAGTCATTGGAGACGTTTAAATAAAGGCAAATATAATGATCTCACTAGAACATTATTTATATACATAACAATCTTGCCTTGGTAGTTGTGACTCTCTTTCTTTACCAAGTAATTTTCTATTCTGTCAGCACTATGTACTTAGTATATGTGCATGTGTGTATAGTTGTAAATAATGACCTACCAACAGATGAAACAAATGTTGCAGAGCTTGACAGCTGTTGAATTGAGGTGATGGGTATATGGTAGTGGATGTAGAATTTTATTATTCTCTATACTTAGGTGTATGTTAAAAAATTTCCATCATAAATATTTTTTAAATAAATGAAGCCCTTGGGATATTTTATGGAATAGTCATTACAAGAACTATTCCATTAAAAAATTTGAGAAGCACTGTGTGTGTGCATGTGTGACAATTCATACCGCCATATGGAGAATGTACAGTACAGAAACCTGCTTAAATTTAACTCATATTTTTCAAAATTATTTGAATTCAGAACCTTTTATACACACCCCTGGAATAATCTCTAAATAGCATCTATACTTCAAAGAATTACAGTTTAATAATGGATATTAAGAACTTTAATGTACCTGATACAGAAAATTATAAATGGTTGATGGTCTAGCTCCTTGAATAAAAATAATTAAAACCTACACTTTGACTACCTTCTGTAGATTACCACTCTCAAACCTTGCTTCAAACATCAAAGTGTTGTCACAGGAATCCACAGGTTGCTTCAAGGGTGTTCGATTGCCCCCAACTCGAGAATACACAAAACAGGGCTCTTTGTAAGCTGATGAAAGAAGAAGACCATAGAGATGTCAAAACATGCCTACAGTACACAGGCATAGAATTTGGAGCAATAGTCTATGGCCATACCATCCTGTTCATGCTGGATCTCATCTAAGCTAGGAAGAATTTGGAGCAATAGTACAAGGACTGTAAATTTTAAAGTAATTTGACACCAATTTATATAGATTTATGTTGAAGTAACAGAGTCTAGGAGTATTTAGACTATAAAGGCAATGCTTAAAATAAATTTATATATATATCTCATATTAAAATATTCATTCTACTTTTGGTCATGATGAAGTAGGTCTGAACTTGCCCTTTCACTGTAAATGATTATAATGCAGGACAAAAAATAAGAGCTGTTGTCATGCATTTGGACAACACATAGAATAGAACAACATAGGGTCATTGAAAGAAGAGTCAACTTATGTGGAAAACTTCATTGCTTTCTTATTTTAAGAAATTGTCACAGTCATTCCAATCTTCAGCAACCAGCACCCTGATCAGTTAGCTGCCATCAATGTTCAGGCAAGACCCTCCACCAGCAAAAAGAATATGCTTTTCTGAAGGATCTTTTTAGCAATAGAGTATTTTTAATGAAGGAATATACATTGTTTTTTAGATATAATGCTATTATTGCATACTTAACAGTATGCAATAGTGTGAACATAACTTAAATGCACTGGCAAACCAAAAAATTTGTGTAATAAAATTATGTTAATAAGCAAATAAATATCACTTAATTACAATATTCACTTTATTTCAGTGGTCTAGAAGCAAACCCACAATATCTATGAGGCATGCCTATATAAATTATGGCTGACTTCTTATCTAAGACATCAGATGCTACAAGACAATGGAAAAATATCTTTCAAGAAAAAATTGACTTAGAAATCTATATCCAGGGAGAATGTCCTTCAAAAAATGATGAAAGAAATACATTATTAGACAATGAAAGTCTGAAGTAATTCCTTGCCAGATGACTTATACTGAAATGAAATGCTAAAGGAAGTTTTTTATGTTGAAGAATAATGATGCCAAATGGAAATTCAGATCTATAGGAAGGAATAAAGAAGAGAAGAAATGGTATATATGTGAATAAATATAAGACTATTTTCTCTCCTCTTAATTTCTTTAAAGGCAACTGACCTGTTTAAAACAAAAAAAGGTATAATATTATTTTTAAATAGTCTGTGCAAAGTTATGGATGCATATTATTATTCCTAGAGCAATCAGAATAAAAATAGCAAAAGGCATATAATTAAGAAAATAATGTAGCAATTAAAATGAAATACTAGAAAGTATTTGAAAAAAGGGAAGAAGTTACTAAGGAATACATATAAGATGGACCTATTAATAAGATAGCAGACGTAAACTCAAACATATATATGAGTACATGAAATGCGAATTGGCAAAACATTCTAATTAAAAAGCAGAGATTGTCAGACTAGATTAAAATAGCAAGGTACTACTATAGACTATCTATAAGGGACAGACTTTAAATATAATTTCATAGAAAGCAAAAGAGGTGAGTGAATCTAAGTAAACAGTAAACAGAAGCTGGTATTGGCTATATTAATGTCAAACAACATAAAGATATGATATCATGTCAGAGAAAAAGAAACATTTCCTAATGATAAAGGAGGCAATTTTTCAGAAATGCATTACAATAATCAAGTATATTTCAAAATACATGAAAAGAAAACAGGAAGAATTAAAGGGAGAACCCCCTCCCCCAAAGTTAGAAATTCTTAATACTTCTCTCTACCTGATTGAACAAGTAGACAAAAAATTAGTAAGGATATCCATGATTTAAACAACTTTATCAACCAATCTGATCTAATTTATATGTATAGAACACTACACACAATTATAAAATACACAGTCTTTCCAAGTACACGAGAAATATTCACCTAGACCATGTACTGAGTCAAAAACTAACTCTTATTAAATTTCAGAACACCACGATAGAATTAAAGTAGAAATCAATGACAATAAGATATCTAGAGAATCTTCATATATTTGAAAATAAAACAACATATTTCTAAATAATCCATTGATCAAAGAGAAAGTCACAAAGATATGAAATATTTCAAACTGAATGATACAAAAAACACAATATATTAAGGTTTTGCAGTGAAGTGAAAGCAGTGCTTTGGAGGAAATTTACAACTTTAAATGCATATTATTTTTAAACATTAGAAAACTTTAAAACTAGAAACTGACTTCTGGAGGCTGCTTAGGATTTAATGTATTAGAAAGAGCATTGCTTTCACTCTTGCAACAATATAAAAACATTGCTGAATGGTGGGTAAATTTACAACTTTTCTTGAACCCCTCAAAAAGCTGTGGTTACAGGGCAACTCCCTAATCCAAAATTTAAAGTACTCCTGAAGAAAGATGGAAGATGAGCACTAGCTTTCTTGAGGAATTCTAGCAAGGAATATTTAGTTAAAATTTTAACCAATTGGTGAAGGTTGAGGGTGTAAGAGAATATAGAATCTCAGGAAAGATATAAGGGATATAAAGGCATAAAGGAATTTTATACCCACCCAGTCTTTTCTCATTGACCTCAGCAGGTACTCCCCAAAAAACATTGGTGACAGTCCTGAGAAGGCACCATGTATGGCATAGATGTGGGAAAGGAAGTGGCAGCCAAAGCAAGAAAAGCACAAAACCATGCCCAAATCATTTTCCCCTTATCTCCCTTGTGGAACAAAAAACTTAAATTATTGGGCTAAGGACCATGATCACTGTTACCCTTAGGGTACTGGTAAAAAGACATTATCTGGGAAAAAGAAACAGATTTTGTTCCATTGGTTTATGTCTCTATTTTTGTATGAATACCATGCTCTTTGGGTTACTACAGTCTTGTAATACAGTTTGAAGTGTGGTAATGTGATGCCTCTAGATTTTTTTCATTAAGATTGTTTTATCTACTTGGCCTCTTTCCTGGTTCCAAATACAGTGTAGAAGTATGGTCTGTGAAGTATGACATTGATATTTTGATAGGGTCTACATTAAACCTGTAAATCACTTTGGGTAGTATGGACATTTTAACACTGTTGATTCTACCGATCTATGACCCTAATGTTTTTCCATTTGTTGGTGTCCTCTGTGATTTCTTTCCCCATGTATCATAGTTCTCCTTGTAGAGAACTTTCACTTCCTTGATTAAGTATATTCCTATGTATTTTATTTTCTTTGTAGCTATTGTGAATGGTATTGAGTTTTTGATTTGACTCTAAGCTTGAATGTTATTGATATATAGAAATGCTACTGATTTGTGTATATTGATTTTGTATCCTGGGACCTTGCTGAATTTATTTATCAATTCCAGGAGTCTCTTGGCGTAGACTTTGGGGTCTTCTAGATACAAGATCATGTCACCAGTGAAGAGTGATAGTTCAACCTCCTTTTTCTCAATTTGGATACCCTTTATTTCTTTCTCTTGCCTGATTGCTCTGGCTAGACCTTCCAGCACTATGTTGAATAGAAGTGGTGACAGTGGGTACCCTTGTCTTGTTCTCAGGAAGAATGTTTTCAACTTTTCCCCATTTGGCATCATGTGGCTGTGGGTTTGTCATATATGGATTTTATAATTTTAAGATATGTTTCTTCTATGCCTAGTTTGTTGAGGGTTTTCATAAGAGGGTGATGGATTTTGCTGAATACTTTTTCTGCAACTATTGAAATGAGATGATATGGTCTTTGTTTTTCCTTCTGTTTATGTGGTGAATCACATTTATTGATTTGTGTATGTTGAACCAGTTATAAAACCACCTGCCACAGCCAACTGATCTTTGACAAAGCAGACGACAATGTACACTTGGGAAAAGAAGCCCTATTCAATACATGGTGCTGGGAAAATTGGACAGCCACATGCAGAAGAATGAAACAGGACCCCTATCTCTCACCCCTTATAAAAATTAACTCAACATGGATAAAATATTTAAATGTAAGACACAAAACCATAAGAATCCTAGAGGAAAATAGAGGAAAAACTCTCCTAGATATCAGCCTAGGCAAAGAATTTATGAATAAGACCCCAATGACATTCACAGCAACCACAAAAATAAATAAATGGAATTTGACTAAACTAAAAAGCTTCTGCACAGCTAAAGAAACAATCAACAAACCAATTAGACAACCTATAGAATGGTAAAAAATACGTGTAAGCTATATATCTGATAAAGGGCTAATAACCAGAATCTACAAAGAACTCAAGCAAATCAACAAGAAAACAAACAAACAACCCCATTAAAAAGTGGACAAAAGACATGAACAGATAGATAGAAGATAGACTAATAGCCAATAAACACATGAAAAAATGCTCAATGTCATTAATCATCAAGGACATGAAATTAAAATCATAATATGATATCACCTTACCCGTTAGAATGGATTTTATTAAAAAGCCCAAAACCAATAGATGCTAGCATGGATGCAGAGAGAAATGAATGCTTACACACAGTTGATGGAACTGCAAATTAGTAAACTTCTACGGAAAACAGTACGGAGATTCCTCACTGAACTAAAAGTAGACCTACATTTGGTCCAGTAATCTCACTACTGGGTATCCTCTCAAAGGAAAAGAAGTCTTTCTGTCAAAAAACACCTGCACTTGAATGTTTATAGCAGCATAATGCACAATTGCAAAGATGATGAATCAATCCAAGTGTCCATCAATTCATGAGTAGATTAATAAAATATGGTGTATGTATGCCATGGAGCACTATTCAGCCATAAAAAAGGATGAATTAATGCCTTTTGCAACGATTGGTTGGAACTGGAGACCATTCTCCTAAATGAGGTATCTCAAAATTGGGAAAACAAAGACCATATGTATTCATTATTAAATTGGAAATAACTGATGAGGACACATGTGCACAGAGGGAAGTAAAACTCAATGGAAATAAAGTAGGAGTGAGGGGGGAGAAGGGGAGGAGTAAAAACCTACCTAATAGGTATAATGAACACTATTTGGGTGATGGGCACACCTATAGCCACAACTTAAGCATTACAAAAGTGATCCATGTAACCAAAAACATTTGTACCTCTTTAATATTTTGAAATATAAAAAGAGAAAGAAACAGATTTTAAAAACTTTACTACTAGCAAAAATACATGCTGGAACCAGACCTAAACTTGAAGGTTTTAGAGAACTGAAAAGGCCTCATTCCTGAGAACCTGGGACATCATGTGTGACTAAGATTGAGGCCTAATCAGGACAACATATGATGTATTTTCCATCTCAGAACACCAGGCTAAAAAGCTTTAAGTAACAAGTAACAGGGTTCTATTAATTAGAGAGCAGCAAGAGAGTTGAAAGATATCGTCTTTGAGGAACAAAGGTAAGATTTAAAGCTGAGGAAGGCTCAGAATTGAGAAAAACCCCTTCTCTGTCCCCATCCTAAAGACTAGGTAATGTAAAAAGGATTTGAAGCCTTTTCTGGTACACTGATGGTAACCAGATCAACAATAAATCTAACACTAGTTTAATTGCTAAACAAACTGAATCAATACCCTCCCCTCTCCCTTGTTCTCTCCTCTAACTCCCACACTACAGGCCTACCACCTGGACATTTTTTCTATTTCTGGGCATAAAAACTATTTGCCTATGTCTCACTGACCTACATAAGATCTCCAGCATCAACCAAAAAGTTATAAAACATACCAAAACACAAAGAAAACCAAAAAACCCAAGGGATAAAACCCCAACACACTGTCAAGAGGAAAAATAATCAATATAACCAGTCTGATATGATAAAGATGTTACATTTGTCAGATAAAGAATTTTAAAGAACTATGAGTAATATATTAAAGGTTCTAGTGGAATGGTGAAGAATATATTATACAAGATCAGATGGGCATTTTCAACAGATAGATGGAAATTACAAGACAGCATCAAATGGAATGTGTGAAGTGAAAAACACAGTAATAGAAATAAAGACTGCCTTTGACAAGCTCATCAGTAGACTTTATGGAGCAAAAGAAAGAATCAAAGAACTTGAAGATAGGTCAATAGAAACTGCCCAAATTGAAGCATAGAGATTTTTTTTTTTAAGTAAAACAAAACAAATGCAACAATAGAGCATCCAAGAACTATGGGGCAATATCAAATGGTCTAACACATAAGTGATTAAAATTCCAGAAGGAGAAGAGAGGGCAATTGAATAGCAGAAATATATGAAGAAATAAAGGCTGAGAATTTTCCAACATTAATGACAGATTGAAGAAGCTCAATGAACAAGGACCATAAATACCAAACACACATACACCTATGCATATCATATTTAAATTTCTTAAAACCAAGGACAGGCCAGGCGTGGTGGTTCATGCCTGTAATTACTACTCTGGGAGGCCAAGACAGGTGGATCGCTCAAGGTCAGGAGTTCGAAACCAGCCTGAGCAAGAGCAAGACCCCCGTCTCTACTAAAAATAGAAAGAAATTAATTGGTCAACTAAAAATATATAGAAAAAAAATTAGCCGGGCATGGTGGTGCATGCCTGTAGTCCCAGCTACTTGGGAGGCTAAGGTAGTAGGATTGCTTGAGCCCAGGAGTTTGAGGTTGCTGTGAGCTAGGCTGACGCCACGGCACTTTAGCCGGGGCAACAAAGTGAGACTCTGTCTCAAAAACAAACAAACAGAAAAAACAAGGACAAAAGGAAAATCTTGAAGATAGGCAGAGAATAAAAGACATATTACATACAGAGGAACAAAGATTATAATTCTTGCAAGCTTCTAGTCATAAACGATACAAGCCAGAAAACAACAGACCTGTTTAAAGAGCTGAATGACAAAATCTGTCAACCAGAAATTTATGCTTACCAAAAACATTTTTTTAAATATTTAAAAATATTTCTGAGGCAAATAAACTGAGAGAAATCATTTTCAGTACAAGAATATTAAAATAAAAAGGTTTTTAGGCAGAAGTAATGTGCTGCTACCAGACAGAAACTTGGATACACAAAGAAATGAATGCTAGAAATGAGATAAACAAAAGTAAAGGTAAAGTTTATTTTTCTTATTTTTAATTAATCTAAAAGATAGCTTTCTAAAGAAAAATAACAATGTTTTGAGTTTTTATGGCACATTAAAAAGTAAAATGTTTGAAAACTATAGAACAAATGAAGGGAGGAAGGAATTGGGAATATATGTTTTAAAGGTCCTCACATTATACATGAAGTGGAAAAGGATTATTTGACAGTTGAGTCTTCTAAATTAAAGATGTATATTGAAAAACCTAGCAACCATGCAAAAATTTAAAAACAGGTAAAAAAAACAAAAAAATAAAAACAGGTACACATGTAAGCCAATAGTGGGGATAAAATGGAATAGTAATTTATACTCATATTAATGTCAAAGAAGGCAGAAAAATGAAAAAGAAAATAACAGATAGAACAAAGCTATCAAGATGGTAGCTATTAATCTAACCATATCAATAATTATATTTAACATGATAATTAAAAGTAATAGATTTCCAGATTATATAAAAAAGCATACCTCAACTATATGCTGTCTACCCCCACAAAATTAAAAAAAATTTAAATATGAAACATAGGTTAAAATTAAAATGATGGAATAAAGATATAAGTACTATGAAAATATGAATCAAAAGAAAGCTAAGGCAGGTTACTCATGTAAATATTTGAAATTAAATTTTAAAAATCAGAGTTACTACTTCTTTCACTCCAGTTGTTTAAAAATATGTATGTGAATATATGTTTTCTAGAATTGGTTACTATTCAGGAAACAATCCCTGTGAATTTGTTTGTCTTGCTGGACCCTTAAATAAAATACACATGCTCCCTGGAAGTTATCTTTAACATCTGAAAACACTCTAAGATATTGAACTCTGATGATGCACTTGTGTAGGAGCCCCATACTTCCTCACATTGGTGCTTCAGGAGCAGGACAATTTTGAATATAGGCGGAGACATCTACGTTTGACTATTAGCACACTATCATAAAAGCAGACATAATATTTTGCATTAATAAAGCTATCAAAGTACAAAGTGCAAATATGGATCTTAAGTGTTAAGAACACTTTCCTGAGATATAATCTTAGATGGTTTTTTGCAATGTGGGGCATTTTTTTCCCTTTTAAAGATGACAGCCTCAAGAAATGCATCAAACAGGCATGAAATTAAAAGAAAAACATCTGAATGAGTGCAATGTGAGTTGTAGATGGAGAGGGAAGAGTAGTTGCAGAGCACTCCACTGGATTTATCTTTATAAATTGATGTGAAGCATAATTCATTCTAAATATAACGCTCCATTTTAATGGCCAACATGATGTTTTACTTTAAAGTAACTTTGCATAAACTTCAGTACACCTTCAAAAATATAATAAGTGCTAAATCAATATTTGGATCAATATGTAACCAAACATCTTTCTGAGGACAGGGACTTCCTGGTAAATTTCTAGTATAAACAGCAAAACAAATATAACTAAGAGATTAACCCAGGTACCAAATTATATTTTACAGCTACATGTTTCATAATGTGCCCACCATCTTCAGCTAGATAAACTACAGTATCTTCCTTGGAGTCTGGATAAATGGGTTCCATTTCTAGGCCTGTTGGAATATATACTGGCTCAGGATAAGGAGTCCAATCTGGAAAAAAAAAAGGGAGGGGGGTAACATTATTTGAAAATACTTCAAAATAAAACAGGAAAATTTTGTGGTATATTTTCAAATTATTCATTAATAAATCTAGGCTAAAATAAGTGTTTTATGGTGGGGCTGAATTTTACAAGAGTTCATTGGCACCCTGTTCTAAATTGAGTGGTTCATTATTATTTTGTGTTCATTATAGATTTTATACTAAAATTTCTATTTCTCCTAAGGCCTTAATGCCATTCTATCCTACCTTTGGGAATCTTGCTTCACCTTTTATTCTTTCTTCTCTGCATCTTCAGCCTCTTGCTTGATAAGAGTTGTCAAGTTAAAAACTTATAAACATGTTCAAGTTTCTTCTATCTCCCCAAAGGAAGGTTATCCTTAGACAGTTCCCTCCCTCACTCCTTTTTTAACTACTAGCTTTCCTACTCTTCATCTCTTCATTTTTTTTTTTTTTTTTGAGACAGAGTCTCGCTTTGTTGCCCAGGCTAGCGTGAGTGCCGTGGCGTCAGCCTAGCTCACAGCAACCTCAAACTCCGGGGCTCAAGCAATCCTCCTACCTCAGCCTCCCGAGTAGCTGGGACTACAGGCACGAGCCACTATGCCCGGCTAATTTTATATATATATTAGTTGGCCAATTAATTTCTTTCTATTTATAGTAGAGACGGGGTCTCGCTCTTGCTCAGGCTGGTTTCGAACTCCTGACCTCGAGCAATCCGCCCGCCTCAGCCTCCCAGAGTGCTAGGATTACAGGCGTGAGCCACCGCGCCCGGCTGCTACTCTTCATTTTTTTAAGGACCAAATTCTTAACAGTTGTCTATACCATGCTGAAATCTTTCTGACCATGATCTATTTGATGGAAGAAAAAAATTACTTCACAATCTAACTACCCTAGTTATTTGTACTTTTTAGTGGAATAAGGATTTGGTGGTAAGAAACAAGTATTCCTGGACAAACATTTTGGAGATTATGTGTACATCTGTTTTAGTAACAAAGCTGTATTTGACATGATGAATAGGGGTCAAATCTAGCTACAGAATAAACATAGACTACCATATTGATGCAAATAGGCATCAATGTGCATTGTAGAATTAACTGAACAAGAGCCAAATAAATGGATGATAAAGATAAGGAATAAAGAAAGTTATAATTAAAGTTTTAAATTCTTATTATTTAAAATTTTCTCATTAGTTGAAAGCCTTAATCAACTCAATTCAAAGCTAGTCATGAACTGATAACATTACTGTTGTTAAAACTTTCGGAATTTCAGCGATTTGCTTTTGTGTATGTTGATTGTCAAATGTTGCATGACACCCAGACTTCCATTAAAGAAATAATTATAGATTTTATTAATTTCTGCTTATGTTCTTCTTTATTAATAAATAGTCCTTACAGTAAAGAAAAATGAAACTGATAATAACTGGAGAAATAACTTGTATAAATGGGTCAAGATTGCAGCTTATCAGAATATCCTTACTGAGGACCATATTTTGAGAATCAGGCTTAACCCATTTCAATCTAGCTTTTGCTATTTTTAGTCTCGTACCCACTGTTCCACTAAAACTGCTCTTTGCATTGTATTTGAAACAGGGTAAGCACTCAGTTAAATGTCTATAGATTATATGGGTGTATGAACAGATGGATGGATGAAGAGATGAATGGGCAAATGGATGGGTGGTTAAACAATCCAGTTGGGGTCCTTATCCACATACTCCTTAAATTTAAATGATATATTAAATCATGCAGACCTATTGCCATAAGTGCTTTATGTCTGGCAATATCTTCATTGCTGTAAAGCTACTCTAGAGCTAGAACTTTTAAGCAGATGAGATTTAGGCTGGAAATGGAAGCATTTCCAGACTTCCTGAATCAATTCCACATTAAGGAATTTCATCTGTAAGGGGCTTTAACATTAATATGGATTCCTGATATAGACACTTCTTGACTGTTATCCAGTGACAGATTTTTACAGGTGTTTTTATGTCAAGTAGCCTGGAAAATTCTGTATTCATCTTTCTTTCATCAGAATCTTTTACCAGCCTTCTTTATGTTTGCTGTCCAAAAACTATTTGAAGGTAGTAGTTATCACTGTCCCAAGAGAACTTATGTCTGTGCATAACAAATGTGCTGTTTTCCAGTTCTCTCAAACCTGCAGACTCTTGAGATGCCAAAACAACATAGCATTCTTTTGAGTTCTCCTTGGGTCAAAGTCATGTCCCCAGAAGAAGAATAGAGACTGTCTTTAACATTTACCAAATTATATGAACACTCAACCTGTGCTATTTATGCCATCATGTCTTGTGGATCACAGTGTGAAGTTATTTTACTTGGTCTTCAGCTCCTTTCTCCATAGGCCCTAGGAGACTGGCTGAGACAAAACCATCCCCTTAGTCTTGCACCATATACTTTATTTTCTTTTAAGAAAGAAAACAAAGAACTCTAATGCAAAAGAATACTCCTTGAGGTCCTAACTACCAGTATAGCAGACAGGTCTAGACATGTCTGAAATAGCTTATATTTAAGGTAGAACTTCTATACAAAAATAAGTTTAGAATGCTGCTCTTACAAGAATAGCAAATATTTTGTTTTAAAGCTTTCTGTTTGTGTGGTATTCTCCTTCCTCCCAATCCTTTATTTGATTAGTTCACGTTGAGTTCCACTTTTGTAAATAATGTTGTTCTTGATAAGAACAGAATATTGATTTCTCAGAAAGTCAATAAATACATATTTAGAAAGGGTCTTCATGATGGTAAGTCCAAATTTGTGGTATAAATTTATTTGTACTGTATCTGTCATCATTTCATGGAAGAAAAACAAAATAAAAATTAACAGTTCCAGAACTTATTGAACCTTATACAGCACTGATTTAAAAGCCTAAGTAGGTGGCAAGGATATTCCATTTTTTATATCTTTTTTTTCACTTGGATACTGTAGGAATTTTTGTTATTTGCTCTCAAGTTTACTTTTGGTTGATTCATTTTTTGATCATTGATATGTGGCATATGCAAGTGATTGTATAAAAGGGATGTCCAAGAGTCATGAAAAATTCCAGGAGTAGTAAAGTTTCTGAATTAAGGATGATTAATTTTGAATGCTTTTGATAAGTAATATTTTTATCAAACATGTTTATTGTATAAAAAACTATAGCTTAGGCAAAAAGAAAAGGAATTATCCATAATCTCATTACATAGAGAAATACTGACATTTTGGTTTTTCTCTTTTTAAGGCTTCTTTGTTTCAACCATCTACTTTAGGTGCTTTTGGCTACAAATAACAAATTTTCTCAATGCAAGCTGGTTTGAACAATAAGAAAATTTATTGCTTCACATATCTAGAAATCCTGAAGCAGAGAGCATTCAGGCTATGGTACAGTAAGTGGCTCAGTGGTCATTCCAAGTTTAGTTTTTTTGTCTCTCCACTTTGTCATCCTTTGCTTGGAGGTCACCCTAAGGCTTATGGTTGTAAAATGGAAACAATGTGGCTGTCAGAAGTAGAGTGTTTTGTACTAACTGATGCAGACTAATCAGCTGAGGTGGAATGGATACTTGGGAGTCTACAATGTCCTTTTCATCATTGTATATATACTGATAATCAATTTGTTTTTTCAGCCCACTTAGTTAAATCTTAGAGATTTTTCTTTAATATACATGTATCTCCCTCATTTTTTAACAGCTGTTAGTGTTCTCTAATATGGGTTGCCAAAATTTGATAATTGATGGACATTATAATTATGTCTTTATTGATGGACATTTTGGTTGTTTCTAACAGTTTATTTATATGGCAATGAACATCTTTATAATATGCCTCTATTTATGTGTGTAAATACCCTTAGGCTAGACACCTAGAAGTAGAAATATTGAATCAAAGAACATGAACATTTAAAATCTTGACATATAAAGATATATAATACAAGTATATAAATAATATAAATACAAATATACCTATGTCTGTCCGGAAAGTATCCAGCCACGTACTATGAAAAATAGAGACATTTATTGAAAAAGATACAAGATATAAGAAACATTATACATAGGACAATGAGACCTCAGTCCCCTTCAAAGTAGGCACCTTGGGACCTCACACAGTTCTCCCAGCATCTCTTACCCTAATCCATACATGTTCAACATTGTCAGGTGTTCTGCTAGCTGCAGGCCTTCCAGAATGTGGATCACTTTCAACAGATTCTTGACTATCTTTGAAGCATTTGTGCCACACTTTTATTTGTGTTGCACTCATTGCATCATCCCCGAAAGCCTTCTGAATCATCCAATAGTTTCTACAGAAAAATGTTCTAGCTTAACGCCAAATTTGATGCAGATTCATTGCTCTACTTGCTCAGGCATTTTGAATGCAACAGCCACAGTCAGTGCACATGCTCATTCAATGGTGTCTAGTACTCCTCCTCCCCGCCCCCCGACTAGTACTGTGAAGTCGTCATTGTTCAGGTATATGCATTACAGTCCCCTCTCCTTGGCTGTCAGGTTACATTGATATCACTCAAACCGTTCTCAATATATTAACAATGGCTGGATACTTTCCAGACAGCCCTCATATAGCGATCTCACTTATATTTTCATGCAGTTTGTTTGAGGGTAGCCGCTATCATTTATATTACAAATTTATGTCATTTCTCTCTCTTAAAACCAAAGGAAGCCTCTTTGTGTCTAAGAGGAATTAATCTAATGTCTGTGTACAAATAGAAAATCATTGGCTGTCCCAATTATTAGCCTGTTTTCTGTTGCTTATAACAGAATACCTGAAACTGGGTAATTTATAAGAAAACCAAAACTTCTTTCTTACAATTCTGGAGGCTGGGATTCTTGATGTCCAAGGTTGAGGGAGCACATCTGGTGAGAGCCTTCCTGCTGGTGAGGACTCTCTGAAGAGTCCCAAGATGCAAGGTATTGCATAGTGAGAGGCTGAGCATACTAACATGCTAGCTCAGGTCTCTCTTCATCTTCTTATAAAGCCACTATTTTCCCTCCCATGATAATCCATTAATCTATTAGTCCATTGATACATTAATTCATGAATGGATTAATCCATTTTTGAGGGCAGAGTTCTCATGATCCAATCACCTCTTAAAGGCCCCACCCCTCAATACTGCCACATGGGGATTAAGTTTTAAGGTGAGTTTTGGAGGAGATAAATATTCAAACCATAGCACCCTGTAAACTTCATCTGGGACTACTTTAGAAAATCTGTTGACAACCTCCTATATTTATTAATAAAAATACGTCTGGCATTGACTGTAAAAGGTGTTCCTTTCATAAGATTAATTTATTTTCCCCTTCTTAAAGATGAATAAAAGGTTCAAAATTGGTGATGGACCAAATTTTGCCCATGGGAAAATTACTACAAAGCCTTAACTTCTAGCCATTCTGGTATATGTATTAATTAGATTTTGCTACCTAACAACCCCCTCAAAATTTAGTGACATAAAACAATAATCACTTATTTATCTCAGCTAGGTGCTGTGGTATTGATTAGGCTCACTCATGTATCTTGTAGGTTTGGCGTAGGACTGGACAGACTTCATTTATCTCTGTTTCACTCTCATTATCTAGCAAGCTATGGATTGTTCCATGGTGACTGGACAGAGTTTAAGAGAAAATAGAAGTGTACAAAGCCTTTTAAGGCCTAGGAGAACACTGGCATGTGTTAAAAATTAAATTGAGACACATTAAATAACTTTAAATAATTTATTTGAGCAAATATGATTCATAAATCAGGCTAACTGTGGCTTGTGGTTGGGGCTCTATTGGAGGGGCTTTAAGGAAGGGCTTCAAGGAAGGGCTTCTATAAGATGAATGAAGAATCAAAGTAAATAATTGGTTAATGTTATGTAGTTGTCTTATTTGGACTATGCAGTGGCAAGTTTCCAGTCATGTAAATAGAAGTTCGTTGGCAGATTCTGATTGGTTAAACTTAAGATTCATTTCCCTCTAAGTCATTTACAATAAATGTATTTGAGTTAGGTTTTGGTTATTATGTAGGCACCCCAAGGCAATGGAGCTATCTCAGTCTAATGGCCTCCTATTTAACTATTTTAACACATTATCACTTTCAACACACTCTATTTGACTAAAGCATGTCACAAGTTCATCCCAGATTCAAGGGCCAGGAAAATAAAGCCCCACTACCTCTTGCTGGAAAGAGATGCAAGATGACACTTCAAAGGGCAAGAACATATGGATGGAGAACTGTGGCCACTTTTTAAATTGACTAAAATTTACATATTACATATGTGATATATAGATCTTAATTTTATGATTCAGCAAGCTTTGACAAATAAGTATAATCATGTAACCAACATCCCTTTTAAGATGTAGAACATTCTCATCATCCAGGAAAGTTTTCTCTTGCCCTTTCCCAGTCAGTCCCCACCACCTGCCTCAGAAACCACCCTTCTGATTTCTGTTACCATACACCAGTTTTGCCTGTTCTTCAAGTTCATATAGTTGGAATCCTATAGCATGTAGTCTTCTGTGTTTGGATCTCTTACACAGTGTAATGGTGGCTTTGAAATTCATCCATGTCGTGTGTTTCAGTTCCCCCAATCCTTCTTTTGCTGATATGTTATTCTACTGTATAGCTATAGAATAGTTTGTTATCCATTACTCTATTAATGGACACTAGTTTCTGGTTTTGGATATTGTGAGTAAATATAAAAATGAAAATTCATGTGCAAGTATTTTTGAGAACATATATTTTAATTTATGTAATATAAATACCTAAGAGAGGAACTGCTGTTCAGGAAATAAATGTATATTTTCCTTTATTAAAAAACAAAACTGCCAAACCTTTTTTCAAAGTGATTGCACAATTTTTCATTCCTATCAACAATGTATCAGAGTTAAAGTTGTTCTGCACTCAAATATTTGGTTGTTAGTCTTTGGTGGCTATAAGGTGGTATCTCATCATGGTTCTAATTTTCATTTCCCACATTGAGCACTTTTTCATATGTTTATCGGTCATTATAATCTTCCTTTGAGAAATGTCTATCTTCATGATTGTACCACACTGTCTAAATTACTGTTTGTAGTAAGTTTTGAAATCACAAAGTGTGATTTCTCAAATTTGCTCTTTTTCAATATATTTATTTTTTTTGGCAATTCTGGGTTCCTTGAGTTTCTATATGAATTTTAAGATCAGCTTGTTTCTACAAAGCAAAAAGTTGGTATTTTCATGGGAATTGCATTAAGTCTGTAGATCAATTTGGGGAAGATTGCCATCATAATAGTAAATCTTCTGATCCAAGAACATGGGATGTCTATTTATTTAGATCTTTTTTATTTTCTTTCAGCAATGGTTTATAGTTTTCAGGGTATATGGGTTTTATACTCTTTTCTTAAATTTATTCCTATTTTATTCTTTTGATGCTCTTATAAATGGAATTATTTTACTAAGTTCATTTTAGGGTTGTTATGTTAAACATTTAGAAATATAATTAGTTTTTATATACTATCTTGTATTCTGCCATTGGGTTGAACTTATTTATTAGTTGTAAAAGTTTTTTTCCCCCAGTGGATTCTTTAGGATTTTCTACATACAAGATTATGTATGTAGAAAATTCTCATGTCATGTATTCTCCATTGGTGAATAGTGATAGTTTTACTTCTTTCTTTCCAATCTGGATGCTTATTTCTTTTTTTGCCCTTTTGCTCTGGCTAGAACCTCCATTACAATGTCGTATAGGAGGGGCAAAAGCCAATATTCTTGTCTTGCACTTGATCTTATGGGGAAAGCAGCTAGTCTTTCACCATTGAGTAGATATTAACTGTGGGATTTTCACAGATGTATTTTACCACATTGAAGATGCTCCCTTCTCTTCCTAATTTGTTGACTGCTTTTTGTCATGAAAGGGTGGTGGATTTTTTAAAAAGTGTCTTTTTTATAGCTACAGAGATGATCTAGTGGTTTTTGTTTTTATTCTACTGATATGCTGTATCACATTAATCGAGTTTTGTTAAACCAACCTTGCCTTCTGGATAAATTCCATTCATTCATGGCACACAATTCTTTTTATTTGCTGTCAGATTCAGTTTTCTAGTGTTTTGCTGATGAATTCTGCCTCTATATTCATAAGCAACATCTAATTTAAGTTTACAGTTATAATAAATATAAACACTTTCCAATTTTATTCACCAAGGTAGGCAATAATGTATGTGTATGTGCTATCAACTAAAGGTGGAAAGCAGTGGCGGTGAGAATGTGGTCAACAGTGGGAATGTTTCTATCTTGCCTGTGTGTGGACTGGAGAGATAAAGCTATAAACTTTATCTGGGAGAGCAAAAAATAAATTTGGGGATGCACACATACAGAAATAAAAATACACAGTAAAATATGAATTTTTCAGTTCCATAAATGTGCATTAAAGGAAAGAAGTAGAAAGTGAGAAAGGAAAAGAAAAAACAAAGGAGCATGAAGAGATAGAAAATGAAAGAGGAACAGAAATGGAAAAAGGGCATAAAGAGGCAAAAGATGATAAAGCTATACTAAACAGAAGACACACATACAAAGGGGAGACAAGCAGCAAAAAGGAGCAGGAATACAGTTCAAAGACATTCCAGCATCGCCTCTGTGACTTCATCTATGGCTGAATTTGACTGTAACTGGAACATCGTCATGCTGTTTGGAATTGTTTAGAATTACTAAAGCTTTAGGAGGTATATACATGCTTTAAGACCCTCTGTTTAAGCACATGTGGCTACTGAACACTTGAAATGTGGCTGATCTGAATTGAGATGTCTGGAAGTATAAAGGTACATCAGATTCTGAAATTCAGAAGAAAGAATGTGAAATATTTTGGATATAGTTGGGTTAAAATAAATTTTTAAAATTAATTTCACTTTTTTATCTTTACCTTTTTAAAATGTGGCCATTAGCAAATTTAAAATTACATATATGCCTCAAGTTATATTTCTCTTGTAATACATTATTCTAATACCAAGAGTCTCCTCATTGAAATCAAGGTTGGCAAAGTAGTTTGCTAATGTCTGAATCGCCCAAACTGCTAAAAACATACCAATATGCTCGACTTTTTCATCAATGACCTCACAGTGGTATGGCCACCGTGTTGGGCTCAGTGGACCAGAAGAAGAGACACCATATAAATCTCGTGGTTCACGAAGACGTGGCACCCATCTTCCTAGCTGATATTCCAATAGTATCTGTGTAGTCCGGGGGAAGATTGCATCACCAATAGAGTCAGCTAGAAAGAAGATTCAAACATACTCATGAGTGATAAGAAGGAAAACCCCAATTTCTATAATTTTTTATATAGTTCCTTTTTTCCTTCTAACACTCTTCAATTTGTGGCTATCATTATAAATATTTTATGATTCATGGAATTTTTAAAAATAAAAACAACAATGAAATCTATGACAATTGATCTTCACAATAGCTAAGTAGTATTTGTTGACTTTATATACTATTAATTTATGCTAAATTCTCATCACTAAAAATATTTGTTTCTTCCAGCTTGTCTAACAAATCACCTATTTTTGACTCTTCTTAATCACACTGTTTGTCTAATGGGTTAAATATGCTTAATGACTATAGTTCCTCACCACTTACTGGAATTATATTCTCAAAGGTTGCTAGTGGACTCAGTTACAACTTTTTCTCAGTTCTCATTCTAGGGCCTCTGTGTGACACAAATCAGGAACATGATCCTCACAGAATATAAGGGGGCTGCCCCAAACAGCAGTGCAGTGGGCCTCTTTCAGCATGATGACTGTGTGGCATCAATTTGATGCTGATGATCACCCCTCCTTAAGTGCATTTCCCTTTGGTGATAATACCTTTCCTGGTTTTCTCCCTACCTTTCACATACTTGGTTCTCCATTTGTCTCACCGACTCCTTTTGCTTGTCTACCTCTGAAATGTGGCTTTTTGTCTAGATTTAGTTTTTGGCCATTTTAGTACAATAGCAGATATGGCAATGGAACTACAAGTCACATAACTATTCTACCATTTTATTTTTGTATGATTTCATTTAGGCAAGACAGCCTCTTTGAACATAAATCTTACTCTATGTAAATAATTAATGTTATCACCTTCCCTAGCTACTTCTCAGGATTGTTATATAGAATCATCCATTCTACAGAGAGTTATCATGCATCTACTATATGCATAAACAATAAACAGACACTGACTATACAGAGGTGGAAAAAAATAGACAAAGTCCCTGCCATCATGAGCTTACACTGTAGTAGGACACACAATAAAAAGGGAAACAAGATAATTTCAGTGATGATAAATGCTACAAAAGAAATAAAACAGAGAAATAATAAATGAAAATGAGAAATGGAAATGGGTGGGAATGATACTTTAGATAGTGTGGTCAGATAAGACTTCTCTGAAGTGGTAACATGTGTGCTGAGATCTGAAGAATGAACTCAATCCTGGAGTAAATACCACTCTGGACATGCCCTAAAAAAGCTGAAAAGGAAGTCTGGAAGTATAGAAACTTATCCATAAGCAATATAACTGCTTATCAGGACAAAGTCCAATATTCTTTAATAGAATGCAATGAAATCCAGCAATCAACATGTAAAATTCACAAGCCTGTCATTCACTCATAGGTTAACAGGTGAGAGTTACAGTCCCACTATGGCAGCATAAGTCTTATATAGGCCTTCTTTCCCACTGATTACAAGTATAGATACAACACAAAAACATAACTATCGGAAGGGTCTGAAAGTAAACTAGAGCAAGCAGATTGTGCAGTCAAAATGTAGAGAAGCACTCTCTGCAAGGAGGTGAGTCCACCTCCTTTTGTTTTCTTTTCCTGCTTTTCCCTGAAGGCAGGCCCCACTCACAGACCATAGCAGTGGTGCAAATGGCTAAATCTCAGATAAAAACCCAGTCTTTCTTAACAGAGGACCAGCAACAGGGGCCCTCACAATGTGGAGGGAATCTAAAGGGAAGAAAGAGATCAGAGAAAGCTATCTCCTAATTCTGTGTGTGAACCCACACAAGTTTCAACCTAAAACCTGAGCTATACAAGCACACACTCTCAGACTATGAAAACTGAACTAAAACTTTAACCACACATACAAGTATCTCAGCTTAACCCTTGAATTACACATGGGCAGGATAGTTAATGAACAAACAAAGGAAAAGCTTAAGAGAACTAACAGAGATTTGAACCAAATATGTTTCAGAACCTCTGAACCACACAGGTATGGGAGAGCACCAGATCAGCACAGCAAAGGTTTAGAGATCTGAACTGAGATTTGAAATACTACCCACAGAAGGGGAGACAGAATTTTTGTCTGAAACTAACTGGGTTGATTGCCTGCCAGAAGAAAAACATTGACATTTCCAGAAGGACCCCGTCTCAACATCAAAAAAACTAGATATTGAATCTATCACACGAGTACTTTAAGAAGTGATTACAATTATGTTCCATGAAATAAGGGGAAAAACATAGTTGAAATTTATGAAAATATAGTAATTCTTGGCCAAGAAATAGACACATTGCTGGTGGGAATGCAAAATGATTTAGTCGCTTAGCAGTTTCTTACAAAGTATACATTTAGCATATGACCCAAGAGTTCCATTCCTAGAGATTTACTCAAGAAAAATGAAAACATGTTACAAAAGGTCTTGTACACAAATGTTCATAGGAGCTTTACTTGTAATGGCCCCAAACTGGAAACAATTTAAAAGTGCATCAACAGATGAATGTGGTCTATTCACAGAATGGACTACTACTCAGCAAAAAAAAAAAAAAAAAAAAAAAGGATGAACTACTGTTATATGATATATGCAACACCATGGATAAATCTCAAAAGCATTATGCTAAGTGAAAGAAGACACAACAAAACATAAAATGTATGACTCTGCTTTATGAAATTCTAGAAGGGCTAAATATAGTGCAGAGAAAGCAAATCACTGATTGCCAGGAGCTAGGGGTGAAGGATAGAAGAAGAGCTACAAAGAACATTTGGGAGTGATGTAAATGTTCTCTAGTTTGAGTTTGGTGATGTTCTAAACAATGGAAGCAACATAAACAATGTTAAAGGATAAGTATGGGCAGTTGATACCAAGAGAGAATATGAGTAGATATATGCCTATCAAATAATTTTCAATTTTTGCTAGTTAAAACACGGAGTTACCTCCTGTCTTCTAATAGATAAGCAAAATTTTACTAATAAAAAGAAAAACAGGCTGTGGGCAAAAGTCCACAAAACAGTACTGCAAAATTTCTATCAGTTTGGGTATAGATGTATAAAGGCAAAGAAAAGGTCTAGAAAGATACACACCAAACTGAGAAAGATGGTCATTTCAAAAGTTAGGATGGTGGTAAAAAAAGACAATTGATCAATAAAAAGATAAATGCCTTAACTTCAATTTCAGAAGATCTGTAGTACATCCATGTAACAAAAACATCTGTACCCTCTTAATATCTTCAAATAAAAAAATCTGTCGTAGATATGTAAATATTTGGTAGAAATATTTAAGTATGTGAAAGTAGGATTCTTAATGTATAAATGTTTAAAAATCAAGTTTATATCAAGATGACCATAAACATGTACACCTGCAAATGAATGACTTTATTAAGGAAACTCTTTATACAAGCAAACTTCATTTAAATGAAGATGTACTTCCAACACATGATTATAAATGCATTTAAAAAGCAAGTTATTTAGAGAAGTAACAAAGTAAATATTTGTTAAATAAAGTCCTTTATAAACTAATCACCACTTTCATTTATTATTTTGAAATATAAATCAGGTTCACCTAAAAAGAACCTGAATTCTAAAAGTGGCTACATTTCTTTCTCCTTATCCATCAGAATAATCATGCCCTATATTACTCAATCTGACTTTTTATTTTTTATCCACTCAGGTCTTATGATAAAGGGAAGGAAAAATATATAGATAAGTTCAAACCTGTTAAAAGTGCACACTGATGAATATCTTCACTTACAAATTTCATGAATGTATCCTCATCCTAAAACAAGAGAATTTTCAAATATTTGTTTAAAAAACAAGTTTCCAAATCCAGAAATTTTTTAGTGTTTGGGATTGAGTACATGTCTTTAATCTTTAATAAATTAAAAAATTAATGATTATAGGCCATTCGTCTCAAAGCTCCGAACACTTAAAATATCCTGAAACCTTGAAGTTTGCATCTTTCATTCCTCCTCTCCTACTGGATATGGTTATAATAAAGACTGCATGGAAGGTATAAAATTTAAGATTCTTGGGACAACAATAACAATTTAAATCAAGAATAAAATTAACAAAGAAACACAGAAAGCCATAGATTTAAAGGGTTATGTACATCATTTTAGAGAGCTTATTTTGGGACCTTAATTTATATATCTAATAATTTATACATCAATATAAAGGAAATCCCTCAGAAATATGTACTAGAACCAGATAAAATATTTTTAAACACTACATTTCTCTCCTTTTTTCTTCTTCCATGTCCCCTTTTTTGTGACTTCAGAGCCACACTAAAACTATTATGGTGATACACAATAAGGTTGGAACATAGGTGGTTTTAGTATTATACATATTGTGATGTAACACAATATAATTAGTACATATAAGAAAATAAGTGGACATGAATTATAAAAATAAAACCCTAATAATGATTTCATACACACATTTTAATAAAATCCAGAAGAATCTTAGCCAAAATATTTTCTTAAGAAAACAATATAGTTCCTCTTTTTACATAGGGCATGCTGCATGCAGTAACAGCTTAGCTTTTTCTCTCAAATTATTTCCCAACTTTAATGACAGTGATTTAAACATATAATTTTTATATCCAATTGATTTATAATATTTTAACTGAGGATTTATAACAAATATTTTCTCAAGTAAAATAAAGAGGAGAAGAACATACTGATTCATCTTCTTCACTGATTGTTCTGTCTGAATAATCTTCCTTTTCCGAATCTTCTGACATCTCTTCCAGTGTTTCGCTTGCAATTTCTTTTATTATATGGATAGGCTGTAAAACAATTTCTAAGGAACTTATTTGACAGCTTCTTTTTATGCTGAAGGTGTTTATTGCATTAAATGAGTACCAAGAATATATTCAATTGTATTTAACAATGACAAGAGTTCTCCTTAAAAACTAAATTAATTAGAATGCAGTTTATTAAACTTTCAAAGACCCGAAGAAATTTTTCATTACTATAAGAAACAAAAATCACAATAAAATCAATAATTTAATTGAGAAAGGAATTTTCAGAGCACACAGCCAAATAATTTACATTCTGCATTTACAATTAAATATTACATAGCGGTAGTAAATTCAGAATGATCCTGAGGCATTAAATATAATGAATCAAAGAAAAAAACTTACTCTGTCAGTGAAATGTAGCAATATAGTTTAAAAGTTTTCTCTTTAACTTTCAATTGACCAAAAGTTCAAAGGACTACAATAGACTTTTCTCTTTGTATTTTGATTAACATTATTCCGTAGATATTGTCTCTAATATGCAATTATATTTTTCTTACTGAAATGGCAATAGCTAACAGAAGGTTGTCTTGGCAACGACCATTACTCCTCCTATGCAAGTACCTTCCCACGTGGTTATTAGACAAGGGAATAATCGAAATTCCTTGTCAAGATCCTGGTTTTCAAGAGACCAAAGGAATTTACCAATTTCAAACCTATTGGTTTATGCTCTTCTCTTCAAAAAGCGTATTTTGGAGCGTGGACTGCATACAAGTGCAAGCTCCATAGCAAAGAACCACAAGTGCAGCAGAGCAAACTGTCTCAGAGGCGACACTTTCAGTACGGAGACTGACGTTTGGGTCTGGGGATCACAACTCCAAATCTGGAAAAGTGGATTGGCATAAATCTTGATTCTGTTTCCTTACACGCGGTGGTGTACACGAGGCACACTACCGTGCTGACCTGCTGTGGAATACAAGTTTAGCTTCAGGAAAGCCACACACACAGATACTTAGTGGTCGCTCCGTGGGTGTCTTCCGCGTCTAAAGAAGGGACGAAAGCAGGCGCGCCAGGAGAGGTCTGCGGTCAGGCCCGATCACGCCACGATGCGGGCTGGCAAGGTCTTCCTCCCACACTCACTTCTGGACAGGGCAGCCTGAGGAGGAGCTCATTCTCCGGGACGCGCCCGCTTCCCGCAGGGGGCGCCCCGCCTCCCCTCTCCCCTTCCTTTTCGGCACTTCCACCGTCCCGCCTGGGCCAGCCCCTCACTTCCACCCCGAGTCCTCGGGCCAGGCCAGTCGTTCCTTCCGTCCGGGTACACTATCCCGGAAGTCTCCCCGAGTCACCCAGGGTTCCGGCCGCTTGAAGGAAAGCCGCTGCAGTTTAGTTACGGTCTCAAGCAGGCCCTTTCCCACGCGTTGCCAGGGCAACCTGCCCACCCTCGCGAGACTTTCTTTGGGCAGTCCTCGGGAATCACCTAGCGACCAGCGCGGAGAAAATGAGCCTGCGCGGGGTTTTGGCCAGAGGGAAGGGAGCCCAGAGGATGTCGGGAGTTGAGGGAAGCGTCGCAAAGCGAGTGAGGGTTGGTGAGAGGGGAAATCCCGGGGAGATTAGCAAATTGGGGTAGGGCAGGAGAATTTAGGAGTGCAGTCCGGACCCGGATTCATTCCTAGTGTTCTGCGTGTGGGTTTGCCAGGCCCTTTCTTTGAGGAAGCTGTAAAGCATGCAGGTTAAGATTTGTGCTTTGGAGCCCACCTGACCTTTAACGATGTGACTTTGGACAAATTAGTTTTCTGGACTTCAGTTTCTTCATCCGTAAAATGGATACAATAATTGCAACTACTACTTGCAGTGGTTAGATTAAAAGTATATTGGTCTTTATTTATACACACACTGAGTTCCACTCCGTGTAATTGTGTGACTAATGATGTTTATTTGATTCTGGAAAATGAGACTTTTCTCCTTAAATGCTGGACGGAGGAGTCATAGATAACTCTAGGGTGAGCATTCAAAATTATCAGCGCAGAGATTCTTTAAATATAATAATTGTTAGCTAACGTACTGAAGACTTAAATATTTTCCTGGTCATTGCAAATCACTTTTTATGTGTTACATATGATCTTCCCATAACAGACTTAAGACATTATTTGCGTAATTTCATCTGGATTGTTCCTTGATCTTTAGCTTTGGTGGGTGATTTGGAACAATTTTCCAAGTATAGCTGGAAGAAAAGTCTAGATGTTTGGTGCCATGAGATTTGTGACCTTGTAGAAATGGAGATAATGATAGCGAGTTTGAAAGTAGAATAAAGGTTAAAGCACTATGGCTTACGAATGGAAAATGGGTTAATGGGTTAATATCATCTCTTTAGATTTTGTAAGTTTCTGAAAATAACATTTCTCAGGTCAGCAGTTTAGAAGTTTGGACCTTCCCAGTTAGACCTTGGCCTGAGGAAATAGAGTATATCTGAGCTCTTGAAAAATAGTTACCCCTTATAAGTTATACCTTGTTTTATGCCATACATACATCACTAAAGGTGAAATGCAGAGAGAATCTTTATATTAATATCTGGATTCTATTTTTCTGTTGGATTTTAGTCATAGTTGTAATACATAGGATTTTAGATGCATAAGGTGAAGCTCTGAGAAATTATCTAACCAGGTTATACAAAGAAGTTAGTGGCAGAGCTGGGACTTAAGTCTCATGATTTTTAGTCCAAATATTTATATTATATGTCAAGTAATCTTTGCAAAGAAAAATTATTTAATATTTTAGTGCATAATAAAATACTTAGGAATTCAACAAAACTTTGAAAATCATATTCGTTTATTTCATTAATTCAACAAATCTTTATTGGATGTCTACTATATGTGAGGGACTGTTCCCAGTGTAAGTTTATTGCAGGGAACAAAACAGACATTCCTTATGGAGGTTAATGTTCCAGTGGAAGAAAACAAACCAACCAATAATAATATAAACCACTCAGGTGATAACTACTATGGAGAGAAATCAAGCAGGGAAAAATGAAGAGAATGAGGAGTGCTGGGGGTGGTGGGCCTTGGTAGGGTTGATCTTTTAGATGGAGTGGCCAGGGAAGGCTGCTCTGACCAGGAGACATTTTAGCAGAGGAATGAACCATAGGATGTCTAGTGGAAGACCCTACCAGGAAGCGGAAGCAGCAAGTACAAAGTTTCTGAGAAGATGAAATACAATTGACCCTTGAACAAGGGGGAGGTTAGGGCCACTGACCCCCACACAGTTGGAAATCCACATATAACTTTTGACTCAACCAAAACTTAACTACTAATTGCCTGCTGTTGGTGGGAAGCCTTAACAATAACATAAACAGTTGATTAGCACATATTTTGTATGTTATATGTATTATGTACTATATTCTTACAATAAAGTAAGCTAGAGAAAAGAAACCATTATTAAGAAAATCATAAGGAAGAGAAAATATATTTACTATTCATTAAATGAAGTGAGTCATAATAAAGTTTTTTATCCTCATCTTCACATTGAAATAGGCTGAGGAGGAGGAGGAAGAAGAGGAGAGATTGCTTTCTCATTGGTGGCAGAGGTGTAAGAAAATGTGTGTAAGTCGACCCACGAAGTTCAAGCCCCATGCTATTCAAGGGTCAGCTGTATACTGGGCAATACTATTTAGCCAAAGCTTAACTGGAGTCAGTATTATTTTAAGGAAAGATTTCATAAGGACTTCTTTCTTCCCCAAGTAAATTTAAAATGGTTTTCTTAAGCACTTCTTTTTTAATTCTTTCTTTCCCTTCCTTCTTCCCTCTTTCTTCTTTTTCTCTCTCCTTCCTTGCTTCCTTCCTTCTTTCTTTCCTTTTCCCTCCTTTGTTCATTTTTTTTCTTCCTTTCTTTTTTCTCTCTCCCCTTCCTTTCTCTTCTTTTTCTTTTTCTTCTTCTCCTTCCTTCCTTCCTTCCTTCCTTCCTTCCTTCCTTCCTTCCTTCCTTCCTTCCTTCCTTCCTTCCTTCCTTCCTTCCTTCCTTCCTTCCTTCTTTTCTCTCTCTCTCTCTCCTTCCTTCCTTCCTTTCCTTCTTTCTTCTTTTCTTCCTTTCTTTCTTTCACTTACTCTTCTATTCCAGATAGGAGTATATATTGGAAATGAAAGTTTTGCCTTTAAGTGAAAGTGGAAGTAAGGCCTGGGGTAAACTTCCTCCAAGGACTAGAAAAGTTGGAATTTTTGTTCCCATTTCCTATGATCTCATCAGAGAAGGTGACTGGACAGTCTCCTTCTGTAGCCAGCTTCTCCCTTTTGAGAAGGCAGCTTTATCCCTTCAGTGACTTTTCCTCCTCTGCTTTTATTGTGAATGTGCTCCATGACTTCAGTCCAAAAGGCAATATTGTAAAGGTAGAGTAAGAAAAGAGGGAAAGACAACCAAGACTATAACCCAGAAAGCACAGTTATTGTGGGAATCAGGAGGAAATGTCATTTTAACAACGTGGCCAAATGTAAGTTGTATTAGGAATATACTTTATTTTGTGTAATTACATCATTTTGAGTTTACTGAGGGGGACTTCAATGAGAGTAGGAAGTGACCAGGACAGTCAGTTATTTATGACATCATAGAAGTTAGTGGTTACATAGACTCAGAGGTCTTGTTACAATTTGGCTAAGGAAGATATGGTAGGGCCTGGGAGCCCTGAGATAGTTTAGTAGTTGTCTTGGCTTTCCTTGGACTGTCTGGGTCTAGATGACCTACTCTAGGGCCAAACCTCTTAAACTATTTCCAACCTCAAGTCTTGAGACCTGTCCCAACCAACTAAGACTCAGCTCATCCCATGGTGACATCTTTCCTAATTATGCTATCAGAGGTAGAATTCATTGTCTGTATTTAGGGACTACATTGAAGCAATCATTCCTCTGAGCACTTGGAAATTAGGTGGTAAGAATGCTCCCTGCCTGCCTAACAAATAACTGATGGATAAGTCACCCCCAAAGAATAAAAATTCCCAGGCTCAGTGTGAAGTCTCTTGGCAACATGAAATTGTTTTTTTAAAATTCCCCAATGACTTTCCCTGAACTGTGCAATGGTGAAATCCTCCTTCCTGCTGAGGACATGTTGGCCAGATACCATAATTTTTCAGCCACATCCAGCTACTAGAACAATGTCGTTTTGGTGTATAAGTTTTCCTTCTGGTATTAGATTTGACATTAAGAAGTTCATTTTATAGCACTCTGGGAGGCCGAGGCGGGCGGATTGCTCGAGGTTGGGAGTTCGAAACCATCCTGAGCGAGACCCCGTCTCTACTAAAAATAGAAAGAAATTAATTGACCAACTAAAAATATATATACAAAAAACTAGCCGGGCATGGTGGCACATGCCTGTAGTCCCAGCTACTTGGGAGGCTGAGGCAGGAGGATCGTTTGAGCCCAGGAGTTTGAGGTTGCTGTGAGCTAGGCTGACGCCATGGCACTCACTCTAGCCTGGGCAACAAAAGTGAGACTCTGTCTCAAAAAAAAAAAAAAAAAATAAATAAATAAATAAATAAATAAATAAATAAATAAATAAAAAAAAAAAAAGAAGTTCATTTTAAATTTCAATTTCAAACTCCATTCAAAGCGCTCTTTCTTCCCATTTCCCAGGGCACCCTAGCTGTGTCCCTAGCTCTGGTGGCTTGGGAGATGGGAGGGAGGTTGGTGTTTTGCCATTTACATTCATCTCTTGTTCCCTCTAGGTTCTAGTTCTTTGCTGTGTTAGGGTGAGCAGGCCTGGGGAGCCACAAGGGGAAAGGTCTCCTTAACTGGGCCAGGTTACAGTCCATATGGCTGGTCTCCAGTGCTCTTCTTGTTTTGTCTATGGACTTTATGGGGAGAGCAGTGGCTTCCACCTGCCCCCTGACAAGGGGCTTTCTTCAAGGTGCACTCCTAGGCAATAATCTCTTGTGACAGATGGCAGGCAATAGTGGTTAGAAGTGTAGGCTCAGGAGCTGACTGCCTGGGCCAGATATTCTGCCACCTAACAGCTGTATGATCATAGGCATTTTGAGACTTCTCTGTGTTTCAATGTATTTACCTGTGCCGTGGGGATAATACAGTAGTGCCGTATCTTATAGCGTTGTTGTGAAGATTAGATGAGCGAATGACATGGAAAGTGCTTAGAACAGTGCTTGGAACATGGTAAAGGTCCAGTGAATTTTAACTGTTGTTATCATTTGACCAGTTCACCTGCAGTTGGTGGCGTTGATACCATACCCCTCTGAGACCTGGGCGCCTACTCACCTTGCTGTGGCGATTCCCGTGTGACTATAGACTCCCCAGTGTCACCTTCAGGTCCAGCTCTAGGACTGGTGGCATGTGCCAGATCTGTCTTCTCAGCACTGGCAGAGGCTCTCCTGCCTGGCTGGCTTTGTTCACTTCCCTTTCCTGTGTGCTCAGGAAGCAGAGAGACAAACCAGCCAACTCCTGGCCAGGCAGACGCCCAACAGGGAGCAAAATGCCAGCCTTTCCTTCAGAGGGAACAGAGTGAAACAGAGTGGAACAAAGGGAACAGAGTGATTCTCTTGGAAGCTCCTTCTCTTAGAAGCAGCCCCTTAGTCCACAGGAAAATAACATGCTGCTCATGGGAACCCAGGATTCTAATGAGGGCAATTTCTCATTGCAAACGAATGCACTGGCATTCTGACTTGACAGGGCTAGATTGGTCTTCTGAGCTTGTTCATTTACTGGCACAGCCATGAAAGAAAGAATAGATCCCTTCACTGGATGCCAACCAAGTGAAGCTTTTCAGGCATTAAAGCTAAATAACTTAAGACCTTGGACTAAGCCAAGTTAATGCCCCCGGGTCAGGCTGCTTAGGGGCTGGCCACCTGCGCCCAGAACGATCCCTCTTATATTTCTTTAGACAACTCTCCTTGTTATGCCACTTTACCTACCCTTGTCATAGCATCAGTTAACACTTTATTGCTCTTAGTCTATTCATATCTGTCCCCTGCTGTTTAACTTCAAACCCCCTTCAGGGCAGGAACTTGGTCTTATTTAATCTTCGCATTTCTAGCCCCTAACTTGCACTGACATTTGCAGGCCATTAGTAAATATCTATAAGGAATGATCAATTCTAAAAAAATGCTGAGTGTTTAGTATGTAAAAGGTACAGTGCTAAGAACCAAGGGTACAAGGAGGTGTATGATCTGGCTATTGCCAGCGAGGAAAGCACTCTCTGGTTGAACAGGCAGGACCCATTTTGAGTTGGCTACTCTTTTGCTGTGCATCTGTAACTCTTGATGTGAATCTCTGTTTAGGACTCGCCAAACAGTAAGGTCAATATCTGGTCTTTTCTAATAGTTTCTGGGCCTTTGGAGGGAAAGGCCTGAACTTCCCCTTTGCATTCTGATAGCCCAGTTCAGTGCCTAATGTTCACGATGATGTAGCAGGTGCTCACTACACGTGTGCTAAATGACTGAACAAAACTGAAGGTTCCAACAAGTATGTGTGCTGGGTCTTTTTAGGTGAGGTGGGACTCAAACTTAGTTTCAATGAATTTAGGAAGAGAAAGAAATAGGGCTGCTCAGGTAAGGAAAAACATGAGCACAGATCATGTATCTTCCGGAGTGATTTGGGTGAACATACCCAGCAAGTATAGTTAGAAATACAGGACTGGTGGTCAAGAGAGATGTCAGTTTCCAAGAGGTATTCTTAAAAAAAAAAAAAAAAAAAAGGAAAGTTAATAGCTGTATAACTGTGAGCAAGTTTTAAAATTCTCTGTGCTTCTATGTATTTACCTGTAAAGCGGGGATAATACAGTAGTACCTATTAAGTAGGGTTGTTGTGAAGATTAAATGAATGAATAACAAGTAAAGATGTGAGCACTTAGGTGTCACTCATAAAACATGAAGGGGCAGGTGGGAGTCACCATTCTCCTCATGGCATAGGGCAGTGGTTTCCTAAGTCTGGACAGTGGGACCAGCAGCATTAGCATCATGTGAGAAATGCAAATTCTCAGGCTCTACTCCAAACCTCCTGAATCAGAAAATGGAGTGGGGCCATCTGTCTTTTAACAAGCACTCCAGGTGATTGATGCACCATAAATTTTGAGAACCACTGGCACAAAGGATTAAGAATGTGGACTCCGGAACTAGAATACTTAGCATGCACGTGGCTAGGATGCTATTGAAATGCAGAAATACCAGTGATTATGAAAGCACTCCAGTTAAAACTTAAAGATAATCAGACTGGATTAAAACCCAAACCCAAACCATATATTTTTTTTTAAAAGACACACATCTAAACTAAAGGATATACAAAAGTTGAAGGTTATGGGATAGAAAAAGTTATATGATGCAAGTCCTAACCAAAAAAACAAGCCACTGTAGCAATAATAAGAATAGAAAAAAGAAAAACTTTAAGCCTTTGCACTCGCTTGCTTTTTTCTCGATTTCTTTATTCTACTCAGGATTTAATTTTTTAAATACCTCAGATTTTACAAAGCACTGCAGTAGAATAAAAAACTGGAGTTTCTTTTCATACAAACTTATTTATTTGGATTTTTTTATATTTCAAATTATTGATACATTCAAAGAGTAATTTTAATCTCTATAATTTTTCATGGTGTGATATTTTTTGAAACCTTCACCCACATGAAGACCTGGTTTACATTCACATGTTTCGCAAATATAAATCGTCTCTCTTCTTCCTCCTTTGATTTTTCTGTTAGAACAAACAACACAATCTTTGTGTTTTTTTGTTAGGGTGAGGTGTGATTATATGGAGCTTTCCATCTAAACGTTGCTCTAAGTTAGTGGATAATAATCTACCCCTGGAAGTTAGTGTACCATCTCTGCATTTACATTTTACTTGTCCTTTCATGCTAATGAAAACAAGAAAAGATACTGGAAAAATAGACAAAAATCCCCCTTGCCCCCATGGTGAAACTACGTGTCAAGTGTGGCTCAAAATATGAGCTGCTACTGATGCTAACTGTGTCGAGTCACACTCGACATCCGAGTGCAAAGGGTTAAGGGACAAATCTTTGCTGCAAATAGAGGGCCACTTCATAATGATAAAACATTCAATTTACTAGGAAGATATAATGATTCTAGATCTTTATGCACTTAAAACATCACCTTAATATATGGAAAGTTAAATTAACAGAATTACAAGAAGTAGACAAATCCATAACAACAGTGGGAGATGTTTCACATTCCTTTCTCAGTAACAGAACAAAAGAAAAAAAATCAGTAGGATATAGAATGTTTGGAAATTATTCATAAACTTGACACAAATGGACACTGCGCTCAAATCAGGACTTTGTTAGTCATCTAAGTCCTGTGGAAGAACACACCTTTAAGATTGTGAGATCTTTTTTCTTATCCTTTATCCTACTTGGAGCATACATGCAAGCAAGGGTAGGAAAAAATCCTACCACACAGACCTGTTTCCACATCATGCGAGAGACTATTATGTTTTCAAGTGCATATCCTGAATATGCATTTTGTAAAATTAATTTTCATTCACCCTTAATCTTACCAGTTTGGGACTAGTACTACAGATTTATTTTTTTGTTGCTTAATTTAGATGACAGCTACCTTATTGTCTACACTTATCACCCTTCTTGTTAAGATGTAGAGGTAAAAATACTAATTATTTTTTTTAGTAACTTAATTGTGTCAATCTTATGAGCAGGATTGAGGGGACTGTTCGGGAGCTCTGGACCCATAACTTGAAACCTTTATGAGAACCTCAGATTTTAGACCAATTAGTTCTACATAGATATGCAAAATTACTATGAAAAAATATCTTTGGATTCAAATGTAATCGTCAGTGCCTTGCAAGTAGTAACTATTCTACAAATGAATGGTATATATTAAATGGAAGTTTCCACTATAAGAGACAGTACCTTGAGGAAAACAGTACTGTCCATATTAGGAGTGAGAGCTGATGTTTGATAACACTGGCAATGAGAGGGAGATGAAGGGACATTTGATAGTTTTTTTGAAGAATTTTTTAACTCCCTCTTTTCAACCTTTTCTATACATGTTTGGTCCGTTGTCCACATGAGAACAATTTTCAATATTTTATTTAGAAAATTATCTGTAATAAGAAGCATTTAAAGATATAAAAATTGCTTTTCTTCTTTAAAAAGACTGAATCTGAAATATAGGTTTGCTATGCCATCATCTTTATTACAATAGACATACCTCTTGCAATCAATATAGTACATAAAAATAAGTGAAGTGAAGACATTTGGAGGAATTCCATTTATTGTGGATGCGTTTTCATGATATATTTTTATTGCAGCGATCAATTATCAGTGAAACGTATCAAGTGTTTATAAAATTTTTAGGAATGGCAGATTCACAAACATGCGAGTCAGCTTGCAGTTTTACCTCTTAAAGATAACAGACAACGGTAATAGAACAAGTAAACAAGGAATTTAATTTTCAAAAGAGTAAATCCAAACTGAATAAAATTCCACCCTAAAACTTATTCCATCCAAATACTGGAATAAAAGTCAGGATTGATACACTCTCTTCTCAACTTTTGGCTTTTTAGAAAAATATATAATAGCGATCAGGAGAAGCTCTTCTTCAAAAGTGCAACAATGCACTGTAATCTTAAACTTTGATCTATTTCACGCCAATGATGGGAGTCAATGCTAAACACGGCACTTCTATTGTAAAATCTAGTTAAGTTTATTGTAGTCTCGTGCATGTCTACTCTGTGATGAGTAGATGACTTTTACCATCTTGGTGGCTTTCCTTTCTTTGGTCCAGGTTTGCTAAAAGCTAGAGGATCTGGCTACTCTTTAGTGATTTATAAAGACAATAGACTTTGTGAGGCAATGATCACTCCTCACGCCAGCCCTGCCTTGGCTAGCTCTTCTGGGGAAATATCATAGATAAGAAAACAGTTATTCAGGGGACTTCCTCAGTGCGGTAGGAATTGAGACTAAGACAATTTTATGAAGTCAACTGAGGTATAAGTTTATATAACTATACTCTATGTATGTGTCTATACTAGAACATTCTGCCAAGAGTACATTCTGCCACTGGAGTACTCTTTTATCATCTACTGTGAAGAATAAAGACTTACAGGCTACAATAAGATCTGGGTTGTATGTGTAAAAATGGTGAGTCAATAAAGACTTGGGAACAGTAAAATGGGCAAAAGTTACATATATTTTTGAGATTTCAACACATTATCAACATATGACAAGTACCAATGACTCAATCAGGTAGTAAAGTTTAATTTAAAAAAAATTTTCAGAGTATATAAAGATGAAAGTACTACCATGGCTCCTAAATACCAGATTTGGTTCACTTTACTACTCTGCTTCTAGGCATTTGCCGAAGTCAGTCTTTGTTTAGACCCATAAATGAAATTTCAGTTTGTACAATACTGTCACTAAAATTCTTGTCTTTAAAGTTTAGAGACGGAAGAGAACTTAGATATCAGTTAGGCCAACCTATTGTGAACTTTATTATTACAAATAAGCAGGCTTTCAGCTTGATGGTACAGTTAACAAAATTCATGTTGGACTTCAAGATTGCCTTTAACTATAAACTAAATACTATGTCTTATAGAAAATTTCAACTCATTTTGACACCTCTTAACTCTCTTTTTTTCAATACTTTTTTCTTACAGGTCATCAGGCATTGAAAACATATCAATACCTATCTGCCATGTTTCTATTGGCAAACATGAAATATTAATATAATATTGTGATTTTTAATTTTTAAAAAGCTGTGATATTGGCTAGTTACAAGGACATACTACTAAATATAATAATCTAGCACCTAAAAAAGCGTTCTACCATTAGTGTGTTTGTATATGTGTATGCACATACATACATAATCAGGTTATCTAAAATGTGGTTCAGGCTACGATCACTACCAAAGAAATCCACAAAGCAACCAACCTAAAAAAAAATCAGTACCACTGTCAACTAACATTATAATCTAATTTAGCATGAAAAAAAGTAATACCTTAACAGTACATCTTCTTTTTTCTTAAAAAAAAAAAACAACAGACAATCATTATTGCAGTATATCAAATCTGAAATGGGTTACTTTCAGAAAGTGTTACAATTGCCTACTAAGATAATTTCTTCCATGCTTTATTATAAAGTGCAGAAACAATATGACTTCTGTATTTAAAAAAAACAAAAACTACGGTTCATTTTTCTAGATACTGCACACATTCTGCAGGCAATTTTAAACTCAAATCTCTTCTTACTGACTTCTGATGTGGTTGGTATCACTGTTCAGACATAGAGTTATGATGATCAGTAGAAAAGTCTCTATTTCACAGCATGGGTTTCTTTAGAAACAGGCTCCTGTGCAAAGGCAGTACTTTTATCATGAACATCTCTAGACTGTGATTATTAAATATAGTGATAATATACATGGGTTTACTGGGATATTGAAAAATAAAACAAAACAAAATGAACCCACTTTAGTAAATTGACATAAATATAAAACAGAGCAAATTAGGCCTCTACAACTGAGCTGGTCCGGCGTCTTGAGCTTGGGTTCTTTCTGGAACTGTCTCAAACCTGCTAAGAGAAGAGAACTTTAAATCCCTAGCCTATAGTATTTCAGCCAGGAGATTTTGTCAGAAGAAGAAGTAGAAGGAAAAAAAAAAAAAAAGGAATAATTGCATGGCAGGAATTTATGAAAGAGAGGATTATTGTTGGCATTCTATTCAAATGTGATCTTTTATTCTACCCTTTCTTCTGTTGGTTTTTTCACTTCCCTTTTCCTTCCTCTTTCCTTTATGTTCCCTTTTCCTACCTTGACCTTTGGCCTTACTCAAGGCATTCAGAGTCAAGTAAGGTTTTTTTTTTGTTTTTTTTAAAACTCCACTGTAAGGGCCACATATCTATAATATGTATTCCAAGACAGGCATACATGGACACATCAATACACAACAGTAAAGTAGGATATGTTTATCTTTAGTTTTTTTCCTATTTTTTCATTGTTTACTTAGCAATCTCTGTTTTTTCCCTCTTTTCTTCCACCCCTGTTCATGGGACTTGCCTGACCCATCATCCTACTCTTAAACCATTTTCCTCTACATTTCAGCTAGCTGCTAAAAGTCCTTGCTTAGGTATTAACAAATATTAAAGTGTTCTGAATTTGATTTTCAAATGTGTTATGTATTTTCATTTCAAAGGAATGACTGAATGACAAGTAGTGAGTTTGCCATTTTGGAGCAAAGGAGCTACCTAATCTGCTATCTCATAAACTCAGCTTTATGTCTATATTATTATTACTAGTGTAGAAAGAGTTTAGTGGTGTAGACCAGGGAGGAGGGGGTGGTGTGTGTGAAAACTCACTCTGTCACCCTTCTACCTTGTACATACCACCCTGTTGTACAATTCCAGAGAGTACCACTGACATTATATGGTATGTGAATGCTGTTCTCTGAGTCCTACCATTCCAGATCGTCTTTGCTCTACTTTCTAGAGCTCTGGCTAAGAGAAATATTTTCCAGAAGGAAAATAGCCCCAGAAGGGCTATTTATGTTGTATGACTGACAGGCCTATAATGGCAAGGCTCTGCGAACTTTTCCTTTCACTGTGCTGTACACAGGTCTTTTAGAAATTGATGGGCATGCAGGCAACGATCTGTGGGTCAGTGATAATTCTCATCTGACCCTGGGATATTTCATTGCAGGATCCACCAGGAAAAAAAATCTCCCAGTAGATTACCTTAGTGGGAGAAGTGACTTTATCCACAGACTGCTTTTCCCAGAGGTTCCGCTTGCTGGATACATCTCCTGGCCTCAAGTCCTAAAGAAGAGAAAGCAGAAAAAATAGATATGTGGCTGTTTATATTTTCTGGCCAGGTCTAAATAAACTGCCACATTTGTGGCTTTTCTGTTTAACCGAATCAATTTGTTGTTGAATACACTTTACCCCAGTGATCCGAAATGGATGGAATTGAAAGGATCATCAGCTGTTGTTCAATTTTATACAGACAATTGTCTTTATTGTCTGACAATAAGAGAATGGGCTGGAACTACAGTATTGGGGTCCTCGTCCTTCACCAGGAATTTACTGTTTATTGATCAGTAAAATTGGAATATAAGCATATTTACCATAATGTAGCCTATTTTTAGCTTTCTGTGCTCTTGGAAGTGAATAAAGCATAGGTTATTTAAAAATAATTCATGTGGGGTTTGATAAGCATTTCCCCGCTTGCAGATTAACTTTCTTTTGGTACCCTACCCATGGAGGCAGGCTGGAAGTCCCAAGAGTTAACATTCCCAGGAGCAGTCCTCAAATTGCTGAGTGCTGAGTATTGGTGCAATAATGTTTCTGTGGCTCGCTCATGCCTCAGGTAGGATAACTCTGAAGGATGTGTTCGACAGTGGCTTCCAGGATTTACCCCGTGGGATTGAATTTTCATATTAACTGCTCATGTATTGATATGCTTAATAACATTCTTCATCGGCTGCCTTCTTCTCCCCATCTCACTCCCTGTAGTGTTTTCTTCGCCTCCCAAGTAAATTACTTGCATTGGGATCACTGTGTCAGGGTCTGCTTCTGCATATCTCCAACTAAGTCACTTTTCTAACTGTACTTTCGTCACCCTAAAATCATTTTGTGTTTCCTGAGCAGCAAGTGAGTAATTCAGAAGTGGATCAGTAGAACCTAGCCCCACAAATATAAACATTTATCCCAAATTGAACCCATAAGAGGAACTGACAGTCGATGATGTATGTAAGAACATGTGGAAATCTTGGGCAGGAAACACTAAAAATATGATGGATAACAGTTATATAGCTTTGAGCCTTTATTTACTACCTCATAATTAATTTCGTTTGGATAAGGATCCAAATTTCTGTTTCAAGTTACTTTTCTTCCAGCATTTGCTTATATTAGTACTTGGCAAAAGGCAGTTTGCAGAAAATAAATGTGTTTTACTGAAATAGTAATGCTTATTTTGGCAAACCCTTTTCTCACGAAGAAGGCAAAACTAATAGCAATTGCATTTATCCATGGACACCAATCTGAATGGACATATTTCTGATAGATAGTATTGAGATCTCAACACTGAAAATGCACAGTTAAATGGTACCATGTGAAGCATTTCAGAGTTGCCTTAATCTTACTGAGTTTCTGGATTTCCTCTGTGGCAAGAATTCCTGATATTCTATTAGAGAGTTACACCTATTTAACTTGGAACCATTAAGCAACAAATCAGATTATTTTTGAAGAATTCCACTACATTTGCCAGTGTAGGTAGAAGCTGCCAAGTTGTCTGGAAGACTGTTTTAAAATTTTGGAAACTATAATTAGGACCATGATGATGGAAGCTCTGGAAAGTGGCTATTATGGCTTTATTTATTTGATTCATATGAGACAAATATTTTTCTTTCACATGCATGTTCTTCTACCTAAAAAAAATGGATTGCATTTCCCATAAATCCTGCCGATGAATCTTAAGAGATCACTTAAAGAGTTTAAAGAGTTCTTAAGAAAATATTAACATCCAAATTGTAAGCTGGCATTTTAAAATCAAAGGGGAAATATAAATGGAATTACCTGACCAGACTACATTTTAGACAAAGAACCACTCCGGAAGAAGAGGGAGAAATGAAGGCAGGAGAAGCAGGTTTCCAATCAACCAGAGACCAAAGAGTGAAGAACAGAAGTCAGCTAAGAAAGACATTGTTGGGGTTTTTTTAAACAAAAAGAAAGACAAATTAGCTTTTTAATTGCTGTACAACATGCAGATTAGACACAAAGAATAGACAAACCAGCTAAAATAGACATACTCGGAACTGAATTCCAGTTACAAAGTTGCACTGAAGTCCTGTAAATTCAACCCACAAATGTGCAACAGATGTTCCAGCAGGAATCTGGTATAGAGTAATGTTTAATTCTGAATAAATTAATTTTCAGGGACCCCCAAATAATATTGATGTGACCAACTATTTTGAGCATTTTTACTTCTTAGCATATATTAAAATCATTACATAACTACTGGTAAAGGGGTGAGTTCTAGAACTCAACTCTTTAATCCTATGAATTACTCTTTTTCTTCTTGGGGTTTTTCTGGGTGAGAACCATTTTGTCGAATGAACTTCCCCATGAGTTTTAGAATTTTATTTAAAACATTTTTTAATTGATATATTATAGCTATACTGATTTCATCTTAGCAGCCACATGCCATACATCTGCAAACACAAACCTAAGCTTTCTCCTCCACCCATCCCTATCAAGGCTTATAAGCAAAGGACTGACAATAAATTGTCTCTGGTCCAAAATTAGACATTTTGGGGGGTGGTGGTGAGGGAGTCCTATTTTCTGTTGTCTTTAGGCAAACCTTTGACATCCTGGGCTCCGGGTCAGCCTGGCCAGAGTCTCAAGGGTGTCAAACTCAGATTACTGCGGTGAAGGGCCAAACTGGAAACGCAAGTGCCTGAAGAGGCTTGGTGTAAGAAAATAAGGAAAAGAGGAAAATAGCAATTCAAGGGTGCCTGCCTCCATTCCTCAAAAATGTGTTCAAGCTATAATTTAAAAAAGGAAAATAAAGCACAGCGGTGAGGGCCAGGCTACCCAGATCTTAGCTGCAGATCTCCCACCAGTGTGAGACCCTGTGGACAAGACCTAGGATCCTTGTTTGATATGACTTTCCACGCTGCTTTCCCTGGATTCAACTTCTTTCCTGCCAACCTTTATGCACCTGCAGGATCCTTCCAGCCCTTTCTGCATCGCTGAAACTTCACCTCTTTTCTGCTGAACTCGCAGTATCTGTGAACTACCCTCCCACCATTCTGTGCAGACTCCCAAGTTGCTACCACACTTTGCCATGGGCCTGGCTCGAAAATATAAGTTACTACTACCACTGGAGGGTACACGAACCTTCAAGTTGCTTAGTAAGTATACTCAAACTAGTGTTGTATTTACAACATCAATTTCATATTGTTGGTTCTCATTCCAGAAGCCAGACTAGTTGACAAAAATCCCATGGGAAGACAGAGATCACTAAAATCTATACTAAGTGTCACATTCTTCTTTCCTTTTCCTCTCCACCCTCTAGGGGGTGGTCTAGCAAATCACTTACTAAATAGCAGGTAAAGCAGGCAATGATTTTGTAATTTCTCTGTAATACCTGTATCGCCTGCCATTTTTAGGAAGCTGTCAATAACCCCCGAATATGTTTTATTTATTTATTTATTTATTTTTGGGTAGAAACCTTGAAACAGTTATACCTGCTATAATAAAAACTGAATTTAATCTTTATAACCTTCCCATTGAGATGACATACAGATGGTGGAAAGCTAATCAGTAAAGCACCGACAAAAGAGTAGGGGGGAGTCCTGGACCAAATTTATAAGTATAACCTGGTACAGAAATAAAATAGATTCAAATATTATAAACATGAAAAAATTATCATCCTCTAGCAATGTGCCATACTCGTCAAAGAGTAAAATACATCTTTTTCTCCTTATCCTTGCTATCTTGAGAGTTCTTCGATGGGTCCCTGAACTCCTTGAACTTGTCTTTTGTGCATGTTGTTGGGGAAAAGGTCCTTAGATTTGATTATCTTCTCCCAGGGGTCCATAACTCAAAAAGGTTGATCATCACTAGTCTGGAACCAGAAAACTTACATAAATTACCATGTTTTGTTGTTGCTGTATTTTTTTTGTTTTTTAAATAATTGCTACTCTTTATGTCACCATAGGTGCTGGGGAAACTTGAGGCACTACAGAGCACATACATTTAGGTATGGTCCCTTGCCTCCTTTTATAGATCCCTTTCTTATAGCTACTGAGAGAGGGAAAAAGGTTTTTTTTTTTTTTTTTCAAATATAAAGATTTTTCAATTGCAAATTTGGTTTATATTAGTTTATGCCTCCTGTGAGCCCTTATGCAAAGAATCTCAGGCTGAACATTAATTAAATGGCTCAAGGAGTTGCACCCAAGAAGAATGTGCAAACATTTCCATTTCTTCTTTTTTCTTTTTAATTTTTATTTACTTAATTTTTTTTTAGAGACAGTGTCTTACTGTGTTGCCCAGGCTGGCATCCAACTCCTGGGCTCAAACAATCCTACCCACCTCAGACTCCCAAGTTACTGGATCTTTTTTCTTTTCAAATTGGAAAGCGACAAAATTTGGCGATTTTGGAAATTACATATGGAGCCAATGGATGGAATTAAATGCTGTTGTGGCTCAACAGCACAAAAGCCTGGGATTTGGAAAGTTTTTCTTTCTTCCTCTAGGATGTAGGGTTATGACAGTTGACTCTTAGCTACCTTGGGCACCAAAAAGTCCATAAAAGCTAACTTAACAGAGAAAGCTCAGCAGTATACAGTGGGGAGCATAATGAGGTGTTTTATTATAGCAATAAATGCAAGGCAGTTATTGTAATTCAATGAAAAGGTTAAAAGAAATTTTTTTAAATAATATAGCTACACCTAATAAATAAGAAAATTTTAGATTTTCAAAAACAGCATTCATAACCAGTTTTTCTAGTTTCCAGTTTTATGACTTTCTCTGGAGGTGCTGCAACAAAATTATAGCAATTATTCAACAACTACCCAAGAACTGTATTTTTGTGCCAAGTTATAGAGATTAGGCAAATTAGAACACAGGGCCAAGATACACATTCTTTTGGGAATAAGTCTAGGGGTGCTCTTGACAAAGAAGTAGCCAAAATAATTTGACCTTTCATTTTGAAATTCCTATGCATAATTTATAGACTAGAAGCTAAAGAAGAATAGTAAAGGGTCTAAATTTGAACTGGCTAACTCCTCTCAGTTAGGGTGGAGAGGTGATTATTTGGTTCCATTCTACCCTCTGGGTAATTGCGGTATGATGCTCAGGACTGTTCTAAACGTGAACACCTCCTTGTCTGTCATTCAGTGACAACAAAGAACAGGAGCACTGTCTTTCCTAAGTAAACGGACCAACTGTTTTCCTCTGCTACTGGAAGCCGAGAGATCAAAGGAACTCACAAAAACCTGAAGCTACTTACAGAAGGTTTGGGAGCCGGTGACTTGTTTCCATCCGGGGTTTTAGTTAGCCATTCATTGATGCGGCTGGAAACCCCTACTTTCAGGCCGGCAGTTTCCTATAAAGAGTCAACCATCCAAAATATTCAAGAAAAAAGTCAACTTTACCTGGGAAGGAATCATCAAAGCAACCTCAAAATACTATTACGCATCACTTCACATGGCCATCAACTTTAGACTTGATATTTAAAGAGCATGTTGTCTGGTTTTCTTACCCCTGCACCTCGCCCCATGCCCACCCCAAGGTTGACAGCTAACCTTGGGCACTTTGGAGTACAGTGGCCAGAGCAGGGTACATAGTGCAGCCACATGCACACATTCTCGCTGAGCTTGCTTTTGTGGTCATTGCAAAACAAAGTACAAACTGCACCTTCTTCGCTGCTTTTATTATAAACTTAGTTTGATTCCTAATAGAAAATAAAAAAATAAAAAAAGAAATCTACCCCTGTACAATTAAAAGACAAACATCGCAGGCTCACCTTGTTTGGAGTGCCGGCTGCGGTGGGGGATGAGAACACGTTGCCTTTCTCCCACATGCTCTTGATGTTACGCACCCCCTCCGCGGGGACGGGAAGATCCGACGCTGCTGGCTTCGGGGGTTTTGCAGTTTTCGTTCCCTGAAATGTGTGGATTATTTTTAGGATTGGTGCTGAGACGTTTGTCCTCAAAAAATTATAGCGAGCTTGTCTCCCTCAACATGAAAAAGTTCACCCACCAAAAATGGGAGTCATAATTTCTGTTACGAAACTGCATTCTGATGACACGCAGCCCTCAAAATAAACCGTAAGAGCTGGACCAGAGGACTTTTCAAAAATGAAATATGCTTTTTGTTGGGACACCAAGAAAAATATCAACTTAAATTTATTGCTAAGGTGATATTCTACTTTCTTTCTTCAACAGACACTTCTTGAGAATTAAACTCAGGTTGGCTAACATCTTTTGTATTACTCTATACTACGACTTGTTTGATAATAAAAGGTTTTGTAAACAAAAGAGGATTAAGCAAGATTGTAAGGAACCTATTTAAACCACATATGGGAACCCATTTTATAAGGAATTAAGGGTATTAAAGATATACTTGTGAACACATAAATAATATTGTTAAATACCAATAATCCCATTTATTAAAAGAATAGCTGCTTCATTAAAGCATATTCAGGCTAAAGGTAGTAAACAATAATTTGTTTAAAACTCTTCTATCATTTATTACTGCACTTCTCTTTAACTAGTTCAAAGTGTAATAAAGCATCACTAATGTTGTAACACTACTGTAGCTACGGGACTTGATTCTTGTCCCATGTGCTTTTATGATTTTCTGTGCAGTCAGAGCCTATTTCCGTGCGATGGGACCATAACGATGAGGGCGGTTCTCACCTCAATGGCGCTGGTGTACTGCTCCAGTCTGCTGTCAATCTTGGAGACTACTGCTGCTTGGTGAGTTGATTTGACACCACTGCTAAACAGACACATACATGCAAACATAAAAATATGGGAGAGAATCTTCCCGGACATACGATAGCTGATTATTCTCAATTGAACCATCAACCATATTTACCTTTTCTGTGCAGACTTATTCAAAAATTCTGCTCGCTCTTCTATCTAGGAATTGAAAAAGAAAATAAACCCAGTCAGTATTTTAAGCTTATAAAACAGTGTCTCTCAGCTCACGCCCCTGTCATCCCCAAATCTGGTGAATGGAAACACCAAAGAGCGTGTAAGGTTATTAGGGTAGTGTGCACAGCAGTTCTGCTAGAGAGGAACCTTATGGTCTCTGATAGGGAGATTTGAGGGATGAAGGTAGGATTGGCAAGAGGATAGAAAAAAATGCATGGAGAAATATAAAGTTTTGGAGGCAAATTAATGACCACATTGATGCGGAACAAAAATGCCTCTGAAATAATATAAACCAGGGGCAAAGTAATTAAAGAAAATTTAAGATAATTTAAAAAAATTTAAGACTAACACAATAATTTTTTCAAAAATATATCTAGTTACCCTCTGGGACAGATGATGACTATAGACATACCATGCTACTTGATTAACAAAATTTTCCCGCAATGTTTTAACTCTCTATCTGGTATGCAACAGGATTGAATTTCAAGAATGATAACCAGGAAATGTGAACTAGTCTCTTATTTCTTAGCCTGATTTACTAACTTGATAGCGATGATTCAAGCCTATTATTGATCTTAATTTGCCCTGAAATGGAAAAGATGTGGGGGTGGAATGAGGATGGGGCACGGCTCACCAGCAGTGGCTGAAGTTTCCCAGGAAGCCCCTTTTAGCTCAAATGGGAAATGAAGAAACAAGCCCAGAGAAACTGTGATGGCTATACGCTAAACAGGCAGTTCTGTGGTTTTTGATGGATTAATATTTTTTTTAAGCTACGAACTTCTTTTTGATATAACTAAAGCTGCTAAATCAAACATTATATTTTACTAAAACTCTATCACTTAAATTTAGATGTGACAATAAGTCAGCAAATATTTGTTGACTCCGTGTGATACCCAACTCCAGGCTAGAAATAGTCTATGCTGCCATCACCTATCAACGTCAGCAAGTGCCGTGTTTCCTCAAAAATAAGAACTACCCATAAAGTAAGCCCTAGCGGGATTTCTAAGCATTTGCGTAATGTAAGCCCTACCCCCAAAATAAGACCTAGTGATGGGTGTGGCTACTCAGCGTATCTGCACAACCCATGCATTTGGTCGCAGAGTGGTAAAGAAGACGAGCAGCCCTTCTCATCTGCCCCATGAGAGCTCTATTGCTCGACATGAGAGATTGGGGCCAACGGTTCTAAAGGAAATAGAGTTGCAAGAAGTTCAGGATGGAATTCGGGGTTTGGAGAGTTATGATGATGTTCCAGAAGAAGACGTCTTAACTATATTTGAATAAATGTAGATTGTTGTACTGTACTTAAAAAAAATTAACACATACCCTGAAAATAAGCCCTAGGGTGTCTTCTTGAGGAAAAATAAATATAAGACCCTGCCTTATTTTCGGGAAAACACGGTAGTAAAACCCTCTTTGCACGTGACTGCATGTGCCAAAACACATGCATGCTGAGCAGTTTCATTTTCTTCCCTGTTCAGGGCAGCCAATCTGTAATCTACCAGATTACAGTTAGTCTAGGCTAGTATGGTTGAGTGTCCCCTGGTCTCAGTTCAGGCTAATGTAAGAAATTACCATAGACTGGGGAGCTTAAATAACAGACATTATTTCTCAAAGTTGTGGAGGCTGGAAAGTCTGAGATGAGGTTGCCAGCGTGTCTGGGTTCTGGTGAAGGCCCTCTTCCTGGTTTGTAGATGGTCACCTTCTAGCTGTGTCCTCACACAGTGGAGAGCACAGGGGGAGCAAGTAAGCTCCTGTGTCTCTTCATAGAAGGGCACTAATCCCATTCACAAGGGTTCCACCCTCATGACCTAATTACCTCCTAAAAGCCTCACCTCCTAATGCGGTCACATTGAGGGTTAGGTTTCCAACATACGAATTTTGAGGGGACACAAATATTCAGTTTATAACACTCCTACAGTCTTCCAAGATGTGAGAGGTTCTTTCTGAGCTGTTCTGGCCTGAGATTCATGAACAATTTCTAAATACCACAGTGTTTCTAGAGAACATGCTTTGCTGCTCATATCAATGGAATAACACTTTTATAGATGATAATAAGGGCACTTCATTCTTTCCAAATGATTTCTTACACAGAGAAAAGTAAACCCTTCCTTAAAAAGTACCATAGGTAGCCCTGAGTTTATGGGATATAAAAGGTCTTTGACATAAATGTTATGTTTCTGATTTTAATTATAAACTGAGAAGTATATGTATATATATTTTTTATTTCAGGATATAAACAGGGGTATAAACAGTTTGGTTACATATTATGACTTTGCCATAATATGGCAAAGTCATATTTGAGGCGTGCCCTTCCTCCCTACAATGCTTACCGCCTCTATTAGTTGTGAGTTTACCCACCCTTGCAGAAAAAGTTCTGAGGTGAATAAGGTGAAATAGCTTAGAACCATGCAATGCAGGAACACTTTTAATACTGCCATCTATCCACCTGTCCATCCTACTGTTAATCCTGCCCACCAACCAATACATTATATATTGAGGACCTTCTAAAAAAGTTAACACACAGCAATGAATAAAACAGTACTATCGGCCGGGCGAGGTGGCTCATGCCTGTAATCCTAGCACTCTGGGAAGCCGAGGTGGGCGGATCGCTCGAGGTCAGGAGTTTGAAACCAGCCTGAGCAAGAGTGAGACCCCGTCTCTACTATAAATAGAAAAGAAATTGATTGGCCAACTAATATATATAGAAAAAATTATCTGGGCATGGTGGCACATGCCTGTAGTCCCAGCTACTCGGGAGGCTGAGGCAGCAGGATTGCTTGAGCCCAGGAGTTTGAGGTTGCTGTGAGCTAGGCTGACGCCACAGCACTCACTCTAGCCTGGGCAACAGAGTGAGACTCTGTCTCAAAAAAAAAAACAAAAACAAAAACAAAAAAAACAGTACTATGGATTGGATTATGTCCCTTCTAAAATTCGTATGTTGAAACCCTAACCCCCAATATGGCTGCATTTGGAGATGGGCCCTCTAAAGAAATAATTAAGGTTAAATGAGATCACAAGATCATGATCCAGTGGGATTAGTACTCGTACAAGAAGAGACCCCAGAAAGCTCGCTTGCTCTACTTCCACCACATGAGGACAGAGTGAGAAGGCCATGCAGGCCATCTGCAGGCCACGAGGAGGGCTCTCATCAGAAGATAAATCTGCTGGCACCTTGATCTGGGACTTCCCAGCCTCCAGAGCTGTGAGCAATAAATGGCTGTTGTTTACAGATCACCCAGTGGAAGGTATTTTGCCATAGCAGACTAACGCAGAAGGATAGCAAGGAGATACGTGGAGGACAGGTCCTGAATAATCAACGACTAAATAAGGGGCTAAAATAGAATTTCTAGTATAATAGAGGTATTATAAGAAGGTGTTCTGGGGAAAAGATACCTTGAGAGATGAACCTTTAGGAGTGAAACACTTGAATGGCTTCTTGTCATCCGCCAAGCCGTCCTCTGGCATCTTCTGGCGTTTCTCGGCAGCTTCTGCCCTTCGCCTTTCAATCTCTTCCTTTAGTCTCCTCTTCTCTTCCTACGAGAGAAAGGACAAATAACGGGGACATCGGTATCAGCTTCGGGACTGCGGAGAAGAGTGCTGGAGCACGGTCGGAGAGGCAGCGGACTCGGGCCCTAGACTGGACACCACCCCTGCTAGGTCTAACCAGAGGCTCAGCCATCTGCAGTCTGGCGCTGCCACTTCCCGACTGGGCAACCTTGGCCGTGTTATTGAGCTGCTCTGTGACTCAGTTTCTTCAACTGTAAAACAGGGATAACAACAGTAGCCACTGCATAGGGCTTTCATGAGGGCTAAATGGGAAAGCACATGTAAAATGCTCAGACAAAAGCTCGGTGTGATGATCTCCATAAGGGTGGTCAGTATCACCACTATCCTGTAAGTTATTCAATACCGGCCTTCATTTCTGTGTATGAAAAATGAATATGTCTGCCTTCCACTTACTTCCTAGGAGAGTGGAGACAAAGGAGATAGTGTACATGAAACTTTATATAAATCTATGGCCCTACATATACATATATAAATATATGGCCAAATGTACAAGAGATGATTTTATGGTTGCCTTCCCCAACCTTAACTGAATAGATTATTTTAGATGGTTTGACACACTTGCAATGATGTGGATACTGCACCATAGCGGTGACATCACGGATGTGTACAATGTGCTCTTTAACCCCTCAGTGCCTTCATTCCTGGCCTAAAATACCCTGCCCTGTCTTTTCCATCAGGCAAAATATTTGGAGCTCTGATCAAGTGACACACCCTCTATGAATGATTTTCTGAGAGATTTATGCAGGCTTTTGTATTTTTTTAAAACTGTTGAGATCATTTTCAATGGATATTTTCAAGCAGAGACTAGATGTGCATCTTTCAGAGGATGCTGCAGAAGGATGCTGTGCTTGGAAGAATAAATAATCTCCTAGGTCTGACATAGTAGCTTTAAGAGTTCACGATTTTCCTTCTGCCTTCCCTGGTACACTCTTCCCTTAAATAATAATAATAGCAATGAGGACAATAATGGCAACTACCACTTTCTGAGCTCCCATTATGTGCCGGGCACTGTGAATACAATGATCTATTTCATCATCAGAACAATCCCTCAAAGTAGATATCATTTTACAGATATGGAAAAGCAGGCATGGAGTCCAGTAACTCTTCCTAGGCTCAGCGTGTTAAGAGTCAGAGTTGGGCTACAAACCCAGGAATGTCTGACTCTAAAACTCTATCAACCCAATCACTTTCCAACCAAAGTTCACTGTCTTATTGAAAGTTGGAGTTGGAGCTACCGTGCAATAACATATCCAAATTTTCCACATAAAGTGCAGGGAAATTTTGTATAAGATCCATGTCAGAAAGTCATCAGAAGTCTTTCTTGGCATATTTTCAATGACAGGAGATGACTGCCAGAAGCTCTCAGCTCAGAGTTGTAAAAGCTGGGTCCCAATACTGATTCTATGATGGACTACCATGTTTCCCCGAAAATAAGACCTACCCATAAAATAAGCCCTTGCAGGATTTCTAAGCATTTGCGCAATATAAGCCCTACCCCGAAAATAAGACCTAGTGACGGGTGTGGCTACGCAGCGTATCTGCACAACCCATGCATTTCATGGAGCAGCGGTAAAGAAGAGGAACAGCCCTTCTCATCTGCCCCATGACAGCTCTATAGCTGGACAGGAGAGATTGGGGCCAATGGTTCTAAAGGAAATGGAGTCGCAAGAAATTCAGGATGGAATTCGGGGTTTGGAGAGTTATGATGATGTTCCAGAAGAAGGCGACTTAACTATACTTGAATAAATGTAGATTGTTGTACTGTACTTAAAAAAAACACACCCCCTGAAAATAAGCCCTAGGGTGTCTTCTTGAGGAAAAATAAATATAAGACCCTGTCTTATTTTCTGGGAAACACGGTAGTCAAGAGTCTCCAACCAAGTCACTCAAACTATTTGATTCCTGGTTTCTCTGCCCCTAAAATGAGAATCATAATGCGCCTCAGGAAGAAAGGAAAGAATGGACTTTGTAAACTGTAGTAATGTAAGTTGTAGTTGGTTCAATGTTTTTTCATATGCTGAGCCAAAATTTCCCTCCTTGTAACTTAAACCTGTAGTTTTTAGTTCTGTCTTAAAAGATGGGACAAATTCATCTGTTCCTAATGATGGAGCTCCTGCCTGCACCGCGAGGCACCGTGTGGGGTCCTGGGTATGTGGCGGAAAGCAGATGCTTCCCTGACTGTTTCCATTCTAACCCACTTTTAGAAAAAAAACACCAAAAACGATTTAAATAAATCCTCTCCGTAAAAACTCTTCAAATATTAGAAAATAACTATCATGTAACTTAGTTCTCATAACTAATGTGCCGACCTTCCATCCTTTTCAGCTTTCTAACTTTTCCTTTTTGAGAGGCAGTGGAGGGTCATGGGTTAAGACCAATTTTCCCAAGGAAAATTACAAAACCTCTACGTGCCTCCGTTTGCTCATCTGTAAAATGGGCATAAGCACCTACACCAGAGAGTTCTTACCAGCACCCAATACATTCACGTCTACAGGTTTTAGAACCGTGCCTAGCACGCTGTCGGTTTATTATCCTTAACGTATATTTTCAAGAGCCCGTGGCGCCGGGGCGGGGGTGATTCTCCGAGCGGGAAGGGTCACCAGGACACGATTTCAGGGGCTGCGCGGCGCCCCCTTACCTCCTCTCGGGCTTTCCGATCGGCTTCCTCCTGCTTCCTCCTCTGCTCCTCCTCCTCCAGGACCTTCCTTCGCTCCTCCCGCTTTTTCTTCAGCTCCTCCAGCTCCAGGGCTGCCTCCTGCTGCTTCTGTTTGAGCTTCTCGAACTCCTCGCTCTCCGTCTCCCCGCGGCGGCGGCGGAGCTCCTCCAGCCGCTTGCCGGCCTCCACCTGCGGCGCGCCCTCGGCCTCCTTGGCGTCCGCGCCCGCCCTGCCTCCCGCGCGGCTGTGGGCGACGGCAAGAGCTGACGCTTCTGCCCCGCAGCCTCCCCTGGAGGGCGGGGAGGGCCGTCTGCAGGCCCAGACCGGACCTCGCTGCCCGTCGTCGCCCCGCGCCGCCCGACACCCCGCGCCGCCCGTCACCCCGCGCCGCCCGTCACCCCCGCCGCCCGACACCCCGCGCCGCCCGACACCCCGCACTGCCAGTCGTCACCCTGCACTACCCGACACCCTGCACTACCCGACACCCTGCACTGCCCGTCGTCACCCTGCACTGCCCGTCGTCACCCTGCACTGCCCGACACCCTGCACTACCCGACACCCTGCACTGCCCGTCGTCACCCTGCACTGCCCGACACCCTGCACTACCCGACACCCTGCACTGCCCGACACCCTGCACTACCCGACACCCTGCACTGCCCGACACCCTGCACTGCCCGACACCCTGCACTGCCCATCATCACCCTGCACTGCCCGTGGTCACCCTGCACTGCCCGTGGTCACCCTGCACTGCCCGTGGTCACCCTGCACTGCCCGTCGTCACCCTGCACTGCCCATCGTCCCCTGCACTGCCCGTGGTCCCCCTGCACTGCCCGTCGTCCCCTGCACTGCCCATCGTCACCCTGCACTGCCCGTGGTCACCCTGCACTGCCCGTGGTCACCCTGCACTGCCCGTGGTCACCCTGCACTGCCCATCACCGGTCCTTGCACCAGCCCGAGGGGCAGGTTGGGTCTGCCTGGACTCACAAGTCCTGAACACGAGCCCCTGCTCTGCCACTTGCCCTTGGTTTCCTTGGCTGTAAAATGGGGCAAATACACACTGCGGGGTGGTGTGTGTGTGTGGGGACCTGTAAAATGGTGCAGCTGCTACAGAAAACCCTGTGGAGATTCCCCCCCAAATTAAAAATAGAACTACCACATGATCCAGCAACCCCACTTCTGGTGTACATGCAAAAGAACTGAAGGCAGGGTCTGGGAGAGATCTCTCTATACCCACGTTCCTAGCAGCACTGGTCACAATAGCCCAAGAGATGGAAGCAACCCAAGTGCCCATAATGGGACGAAAAGGCAAAATGTGGTATATCTGTACAAGATATTATCCTGCCCTAAAAAGGAAGGAAATCCTGTTACATGCTACAACACGGATGGACCTTGCAGAAACAAGCCAGACACAAAAAAACAAATACTCTAGGATTCCACTCCCATGAGGGATCTAACATAGTCAAACACATAGAGACAGAAGGTAGAATGGTAGTTTCCAGGGGAGGGGGGGCAGGGAGGGAGAGTAGAAAATAAGTTGTTCAATGGATGTCGAATTTCAGTTTTGCAGGATGAAAAGAGTTTTGGAGATCTGTTGCACAGCCATGCGAATATATCAAATACTTCACATGCTGAACTGTATATTTAAAAATGGTTAAGATGATAAATTTTATGTTATGTGTTTTTTTTTTACCACAATTTAAAAAAGAACCATGATACATGCCGTAACATGGAAAACATGGGCAAATACTATTTATTCTATTTACCTCAGTGGGTCACATAGGATTATATATATCAATGTTAATTTATATATCATCTACAGTATAAATATTAGTTGCTATGAGAAAGGAAGGCATTTAGTCCAAAACATTACTGTTAGAATGAGTTCTGAAATCTACGAGTGGCCCTACTGGTCCTCTCCCACAAGTTACTGGTTAGCTGTATCTGGATCTGTTTGCAGTCATGGCACAGGAGGGAAGCCAGAAAAGCTCAGGCACTGGGAATGGGAAACGGTGGCTGAACTACAGGTAGGCACTGAAATAAATCCATGTCTGTCCACAACGTTGCCTTCAGCTTGACTCTAGCAGATCTCTGGCAGCTGAAATTACTCATTGCCTCTTGATTAAGAGCTACACACAGTAATACATATATATCTATTCTTACTGTTCCAGGAAAATTCTTAATGGTTGTGCTTTAACCTATGGCTTCAATTTGTGTATTTTTAACCCAACACAACTGGAATACTGCTTGAGGACTTAAAATTACTAAGTTAGCTTGAAATGATGTGGTTAGGGTTGTTACTTAGATGTCATTCTTTATGCTTTATGAACCCTTTTCATATTCACTATCTCATTTAATAGTCACAATAACTTGGAAGTTGGTGGGTTAGGTTTATTATCCCATCTTATCAATAAGGGAACCATAGGGGAGAGAAAATAATTTACCCAAACTTTTGATAGCTAGAAAGTGGTTGACCCATGACCAGATTCTAATGCTTCTCTACCAAGTGTACTCTTCCTGTCACTACAGAGGAAAAATTTTATAATGAATATTTTGTAAATAAAGGTATATTTAGCTACAATTTCGTATTTTCCCTATATATGGTGACTTTGGGGACACCCTGTGCTATGATTATACCTGAAATTAAATATGATTTGTTATAAAGTAATGAATCAATTGAAACAGAATATGGCAGCCACCTTCCTATCTCTCACTTCAAACCTTGATGACTGAGAGTCTGTGAAAAAATGCTTCCTACTTCTAGTTCTCTAGAATTTCTACAGTCTAGGTCTAGCTACCTTCCTGCTGGAGTGGAAGCAGAGCTTCATCAGATAGCAGAGCTTATAAAACAGGAAGAAATGGGTAAGTTTTTTATAAGTAGGAACTAAAATTGAAATGATGTTGAATTTACTTTTGTGATTATGGAGGGCCCACAGAAATTTTATTGCAGAATTTGGAAAACGTTCTGACTAAAGACAGAATGCTATCCCGAGTCCTTATGTTATAAATGTATACCATAACTGGTATTATTATTTTATACAAATCATATAAAAAGATGGCAAGATATCATTAGTACCTACTGACCCCTTAAGATCCTTTAATAAATTTGCCATTAATAAAGTTAGAACATTGATAATTTCAAAACATGTTGTTACTCAAAATAGAACTTCAGTAGAACACTACGTTTTTCACTAAAGCAGAATTCATGTGAGTTGGATTCTCCTGGGACTTTAGGAGAATTTAGTGGTGTGCTCAAAGGGCCTTGTTATATAAGTAGTCTTTAGGAGTATTTAGCTTGTTGTTATTTATTAATAAATACTTACTATCAAATAAGTATTTATGTGATAGTAAGTATTTATGAGGTCATTCTTTACCAGATCTGAATGTAGGTAGCCCATTCCTGACACTATTGTCTATGGGACAAATGAATTATCACTCTCCAATATCATTTGTTCCATGTAAAGAACGGCACAGTATTTCTAGCTATGGAGCAAGAGGAATAAAAAGAATGGGTTCAAGATATACATCATATAATATTGACTTTATAGTGTATATATCATGCTTTCTAAACACTGAAGAATTTCTGAATATACTGTTTCCTCCAGGACGATGATTTTCAAGCTATAGGTGAGAAAATCAATTTAGTGGATTGTAACTAGCACTTAAAAAAATGAAATAGAAACAGCAGGGTGCATTCCATAGAGCAAAAGAAAGTACCATTTGTTGACCCACTGGTTTTGGTTATTAATATATATGTAGGTATGTACTGGGTCATGATGTAAAATTTATTTTTTACTAAGGACTGAGGTTACAAAGTTTTAAAATACTGTTCTAAGCTCTTGACAGTTAAAGATGAATTCTTTTATTTTGAACTCAAAGTTGAGGGTCACTTTAAACTTCATGTTTTTTTTCCTCAGGGTGTTAAAAGTTCACAGGCCTGTGACTCCTCTATCAGTTAATTTAAGGTCTTTCTGGTCAAAAACAAATTTGCTCTTTGTATTCATCCTAATGTAGAAGAGCTGGAATGGCAAAACACAGGCCCATAGAACACATCTCTAGATTCCACTAGGTGTCGCTCAGGCTTCAATTAGGACAATCAAAATTCCTGTCAGGGATTGGTTAAATAAGTCATAGTATATCTATTCAGTGGAATACTCTCACATCATTAATTGTAGGATTATATTTATTGGTGTAGAAATCTAGCTATTATATATTGTTATGCATGGTTCAAGAATCAATTAAAAATGTATACTTATAATTACACCCACATATATACATAATCCATATATATATGAATGTGTGTCTATCTTGAATATTATATATACACATCTGGAAAAAAATGTTACTTGTGGTTATCTTTAGGTGATGGGTGCTTATTTTTATCCTATTTTATGAATGTTTTTATAAGGAGTACTTTTTTTTCTATAATCAGAAAAAATTTTTTAATTCCTACCTTAAAAAAATAAAAACCTTCATTTTGTACTTTCTATAACACCCTTGATATAATCTGCTATCTCTACAACTGTCTCATCAAATTGATATTTTTATGTCATATTTCAGAGGAAACAATCTAGTTACAAGAAAACAGGAATATCAAAGGGGGCAGTAATTAAATCACTCATCAAAAGCTATACTCAAAACAGGAGCAAGAGTTTTGTCCACATTACCTCTGCCTATATTGGCAGGCATGCCCTCAGCATTAGGGGCCACTTCATATGGAAATTTCTTCCATAAAGTTTTCTCTCCCCATCCTTGGCTTTTTTAGGTTTAAGTCAAGATGAACATCAGGCCTTTGACCATTAAGAACACAGCTTGTTTATAGTTAAGCTCGTAGTGCTATATCTAAATAGAGGCTCATCCTTCCTTTCTTTCTCATTTTATAAGTACATGGAGGAAAACCATGCTTCTCTGTTTCTATAAGCATGAACTTCTAATTGAAACTGCAATTCACATATATTGGTGGCTAACCCAAAATGAATACTATGGTAGCAGCTTGTTCTTGGTTTTGTTTTTCTGACCAAAGATGGAAGAATTAAGGCTAGAATCACATGCGTGGGTTCTCAGTGCTCAACTTGTTGCCATCTCTTGGGACTCTTCTTCTCTTTGAATTCCCAGCTCTTTGAATTTCTACACAATAGGCATGTTAATTATTAATGTGAGCTTTGACTGAGGTTTGTTGGCAGGTTTGCTAATTGTTAACCAAAATTTTTTCTACTGACGGATTTTTTTAACATTATTTCTCTTAACAGAAATAAAGCTTATGCCTATAAAACATTTTAAGCTATCAGTAAAAAAAATAGTAGCATTAGATAATATTCATTGAACATTTTTCCATGAACCTGACACTATTCCAGGGCTTTAAAATATTAAACTATAGGCACTTCAGCAAGCTTTGGACTCAGCCTATCAACCTAAATCAACCTACTTTGTAGATTTTCTATGCATTTCCAATAAACTCTTAATTTTCCTACCTAATCTCTTGCCAATCCCAAGTAATATCTACGGATTCTACCTTTCTTACTCGTTCACAGTTGCATTTAGACCTTTTAGCCACACCTTTTCTTCTGTATACTTTAGGCTTTCCTTTGGATAAATATGACTCAGTTTCTTTTCAAAGTTTTGTATAGAAAAATTGTTTTAGGGGAACTATATTTATCCATCTTAGCCTTTTAGATGAGCCTGGAATGTCCATTCCTGCTAGCTCTACTTGCTTCTATGTGCTACAAATGCTTTGGTGTAAGGACCATGCCAGACTTCTACATCATATCTGCCTGGTGACTTTCTTATTTGAAGAGTTCAGAAAAACAGGGTCTACAGGCAAGGCTTTGCCCAGAGAACAACTCCATGGACTCCACACTGCAGAAACCCAGGACTCTCTTCCAGTACATCAGATATAGAGACCAGTGACATAACAGAAGTTGGGATTTGGCACCAACTGGTGGTTGGAAGGAGTGTTTGTGGGGATGGGGGCACAGAGAATCATATGGCTTGATGGAAGGCCTCTGCACCTTAAATTCTTCTACAAAACTGGTGGAGAGCTCTCAGTATCCATCTTCATCTAGAAATGAGAATTTGCCTGCATATCCTGGTCTAGTCTATCTTACAGCTAATTGCCCGGATTTTCCATAGGTGTGGAGGGGGACGCTGATGATATACCAGAGGGTTTTCTAAACTGTATGGAAGGGAGCCTTAATTCCACGCCTTCTCCTTCCCTCTTAGAGATTCCCAATGCAAATTAACTTCAAGGGCTCTCAAAGTCTCGTGATAACCTAATGTCTCCCAAGTATTTGGCACAGAACCATCTTAGCTTTATGCAACATTTATTTACAACATTCAGAAGATGCATTCTTGAAAATGCTACTGAGAAGGGCACCTCCTATGAAGGTGGTCACACCATATATAAAGAATGAATCAATGATACTAACCCCAGTCACGATGTTTTCTAATACATTGATCTCACATGAGCTTATTAGGTCAGTGAATAAAAACATGGACACCAAGTAAGATCTGCCTCTCAGAATAATGGGAAAAGCAGATTAAGCCCTGTCTAAGCAGTGACTGCTGGTCTTCTGTTAGTGATGCGAGTGCCGGACCTGCTGACTGAGTATCTCTAAGACAATGGCTAATGACCTCACAACACAAGCATGCTGCCTGTTTAGCACATTTCTGTCTGGAGGCACAGGATAGGGAGACTGATTTTTTTTCCCCCCACATGTGAACACAGTCACTGTTAACTAGTCACTACTTCTTACCTGAAAGTGTTCTCAGCATGTTTAAGTTTGTGGGTCATGAATTCCCCATTCTGTGACTTCACTTCTGTAAATCCTTTCTTTCGATCCATGAAGCTCTTAATTTCTTCTTTGGGCTCTTTGTCCTTTTTAATCTTCTCATCTTTGATCTAACCAACAGTACACATCAGGAAGAAACATAACGATAAAAATCTTATTAGATTTTGGTTGGTGTCACCAAATAAGACCCAAAATGGTTAGGAAGGCAGAACACTCAGAAGTCAAACAAACCACCCAGTGGGGTAGAGCTGGGGCAGAGAAAATTCTTACGGCGTGAGCTATGGTCCTTTAGCCTGTGAATAAAGACCTTAACCACAATTTCAGGAAGGCAAGGTCATTAGGAAGGCAAGATCATCCCTGATCTCACTGGGGTTTTTATTTTTATTTTTCAGAGCAGTAGGAGTGTTACAGTTTGGAAATTATTGAGTTCTGGGAACTTCATGTACTCTGTTTGCGGTTCCCTCAGGGAAGAGTAATTATTATTAGAGTGGCTTTGATGTTAGAGTGGCCACGTTGCTTGGACTGTCTCTTGGCTGGAGGGAGAATCTTTGAGAGGGACACAAATGAGGAGGAAAGAAGAGGAAACCTACCAGGTTAGCTAAATCTGCCCAGCCAATTCTGGTGAAGACCACCCTTGTATTTTAATCGAATGAGTAATTAGTTCCCAAGGGTGGAACACATAATAATCCTACCTTTAGGAGGAGGATGCAAGATATCTGGGATCTGTGGGACCATGTTTGCAGTCATCTAAACATTAAAGTTAGAATGGAATAGGAAATATTCCACAGTTTATCTTGACTTCCATTGCCAGTAAATCTTTAGTTCTCTGGAAGTGGTTTTGTGATTGTTATGGGAGACAGAGGACGTATAGGGCAGGTGGTAGCTTTAATATTTTGTGGGTTTTGTGTTATAAGTTCCTCACAGTAAATAAGACAGATTTTTCCAAAGCAAACTGAATTTATATAGCTTTTTGAAAGGGGGGTGGTGGTGGAGGGAAAGGAGTTCAAATCACTTCACCTATATCATCTCACCCATTCTTAAAAGATGAGTGTGAAAACAGGTGAGGTTCATTATTGTTCTTTTCAAGACAAACAGTTACAAAGCACTATTGTTCTAAGGAAACCTGCAGAGGAAGGGGAGGCCATAAGAACTTAGGGCTTTGGGTAGTGTGGTCTAGAATGTTCTCTCATGGCCTGATCCCTCAACCTCTTTCAAATACTCTTTGAACTCCTAAAGTGCATGTTTAACAACACAGAGTCCACTGTTTTTGCTCTTTTCTGATGAGCCTTCAACAGTCCTTTGACTGTCTTCTGTGGGTGTGCTTTGGTTACATTACTATGGACGAAGTATTCACTACTATGTTGCCCTAATTAAGACTTTAATCTTTCTCTAGGAGTTATATACCTAGCATGCACCTCGGACAAGCTGGAGAGGGGGGCTATGTTTTGCATTCTCTCCAAGACCTCTGTCTGCAAGTTGGCAAACCTGACTTTTGGTTCCAGTGCTGTCAACAAACTAGCTGTGTTACTTGAACAAGTCTCCTCATTTCTCTGGGATGCTGGTCTCATGTGTGTAAAAAGACAGGATTGGACTAGAGGATCCTTCCTAATCTTTCATCCTGTCATTGCCCTCTTGGCTCCTGGTTGGTTGTGAGAGGCTACAGCAAAGAGAAGGGTGCTCGTGGCCTGTACTACAGCTTGACTGTGGCTCCTTGGTGGCTGTCCTTGCCAAAGAATAAAGCAGTATTCATTCATTGGACAGGCAGGAGGAAGCAGAGTCTATTCTCGTTTGGGCTGCCATTGTTAGATTTAGCCCCAGAAACCATGGCCTGGAGTTTATATTATGGTTAAGAAGCATCTGGGGATACAAATTTGGAGGTGACGGGATCCCATTTCAGGGATACCCATGAAACAAATTCGGAGTCAAATCTCACGGCTTGTGGAACACTGTGTAGAGAAATTCCCTTTACTCATTTCTCCTATTTTGCAGCTAGAAATGTTTCCATCCTCCCAAAATGTATGACCTGATTTACTGGCCAAAAAAGTCTTTAAACTAGATTTGAAAAATCTACATGTCTAACAGAAGAAAAATCCTCCCCCCTTTGTTTTCAAGCTCTGTCTTTACTGGCAAATGTTATAGTGGATGGTAGGCTTATATTCCTGTTGGAAAACTTTCTTAGAAACGTTCTCCATGTAATAATGATAATTTGAGTTTGACTGAAAACTATTTTCTCTTTCTGGGAAATAAATAAAGTAATTCCATAGAAACTTTAAATTTTATTTTTGGATTCTGTGGCAGATTCAACCCAAATCCATGGGATTCTGTGCTCCTTGGTAAAGGCATTAGACCTTCCAGGTCAGAATGTTACCATGAAGAAACTCTGTGCAGAAGTATTAATAGGTAGCCAAGTATCCTGAAAGAGTTAATGTGCTTCATACACGGATGACATTAGCATACTCTTAAGAAAGGCTCTCACCAAATGCGATCACTTGGATTTTAGAACTCTGGATATGTGGAATATCCAATGGAATAACACGTGAGTGTGTGTGTGGAGGGGGTAGGAATTCAAGTGACATGCCCTTGTGCCAGAGAAATACTCAAAAAGTTAAGTGAGCAAGTTGAAAAGGATTGAGATGTGAGTCTAGAGTGTATTGCATTATTTGATTCCAGAATAGTAATAAGAACTGGGTGCAAGCTACAGTTTTTCCAGACTAGGTTTAATGGGCTTTTGTTGGTTTCAGAAGCCCCAAGTCCTTTTCTGGGTCCAATTTATAGCGCAGGGATGTTTTCTGGACTCGTTGCTACTGCAAGACTGGTCCATGGACAACAGAGACCTCACTGAATCAGATTCTGCATTTAATAAGCTTCCCAGGTGATTAGCAGGCATGCTAACATTGGGAAAGAGTTGAGCTGGACAGTTTTTAATACCATACAAGCAGCTCTGTTAGAAACTTTGTTTTTCTGTTAGAGGCAGGGGGAAAAAATAGCTACTGGGTGTAGAACTAAAAAGAAGCTTTTTATAATTGGAGAGGAGTGAAAGAAAGCTAAATTAAGTTTCAAGGTTGGTGATCCTCTGAGACCTGTCGCCACAAACAGAGTTAAACTGCAGTGGAGAAAGACAGGTTTTATACTTCTGTTTGTTTGTTTGCAGACCTTGGAGTGATATCTGGAAATGCTTTCCTCTAAGAAGGCTCGCGTGATGTTTGTGTTTCGCTGTGGCTCACCTATTCTGCCCATGTTGTATAGGTCCTTGAAAGGAAAGGTTGTAGTTTGCTTTTTGGGTTTTACTTTTTTCTGAACGAAAAGGAAAATAAAAAAGGAAGAGGTTGTTTTAAATGGTTGCCTCATGTAAACATGATTTAAAGCTGTCTACATAAAGTAACAACCCAACTAGCTGGAAAGGGGAAAGCTTAGTCTTTCAACCAGTGGTTTATGTACGCAATGTTAAAAGGGGAATACAGTGGGGTTTTTTTCCCCCAAGCTTGTGTTGAGGAGCTTATCTGGCCTTGTGTAAAAAAAAGGGTCAAAAGTTTTGGGAGACTGGAATGTGCTGTGGGGCACACTGGGAAAGGGGTAGGCCTCAAACCATTCCCTGGAATGTCTGATGGAACCATGGACACTGTTGAACTGGGGCCTTCTCTGAAAAGAGGCAGAAGGGTGATCCGGGTGAGCACTGTGACCCTGTCTAGCTCTCAGACACCATGTGCAGGAACAGAATGCTTTGGTGTCACTAAAAACAAATTCAATCTTAGTGAGTTGAATGAAATTTTAAATATAGAACCCAAGCAGTGTTTTCTACAGCCCCCCTTCCCCATGTTTAATCGAGGAGTCATCATTTCATGCCCACTTCCTTCTGTAGTCAAATATATTCACCCTGAAACACTAGCTTTCTAGAAGAGTCCATGTGGGATATTTCTGTCTGAATTTAGCTCCAAGGTGACTTTCACGTTTTTTTTTTTTTTTGGTAGATGACGTTGTAAGCTGTTTTTCTGTCCCCAGATGAAAGCAGTATTTCCCAACATGTTCAACTATGTTCTTAGCTACCTCTCGAGAGCTAAATTCAGTTTCCCAGTTCTTAGCATTTACACTTTCTCCTTCCTTTATTTTTTTTTCTTTCTTTTTTTTTTTTTCTCTCTTTTTTTTTTTCTCCTCCTTCCTTTAGATGGCCGGTGCTCACAATGCAATTCTCACTCCCAAACCACCACAAGTTCTATCAGAAACAGAGAGGAACATGGATATTAACATAAATATAATATATAACATGAACTAAAGGTTCTTAGTTTTCACATGGATTTTATGAAAAATATTTAAGAAAATAACCCAGCCCCTATTTAATCTGGTCATCTGTTTTCTAAATATGGATTTTTCTGTTTAAAATTTTGAGTTTTCTTAATAGATGCCAGAAATAGGCAGAAAAATATAGCAAGAGTCCATTTGGGTTGGTGCTTACTGGCTACACTTCACTGGTCCTGTAGGCAAAGCAATTCAAGTCTTCCTACCTCTGATAATTCAGTTCTACCATATTTAAGTACTGTGAACTTACTAGATATAGTCACAATTTTTAGAATTATTTGGGACTAATGTAAGTGTGATGGTTAAAATGAGGTCAGGTGTTCTGATGTGACATTCTGATTACATCGGAGGGCCATGACATTGTGTCGGCAGCAACCTTGGTCCACGGCCCGTTCACTTACCTACAGTCAAACACCCTGGCACCTGTTTCCGTGTGTGCCTCAGAAATGCAATGCAGAACATTTGGCCAAACGTTTTTTTTGGAAACCAAATATCATCTTCCGTTCACCAAATTTCCTACTGAGATGTATGAGGGTGTTTTTCCTTTGAAAAGTTAAAGCGTTAATCAAGGCCAGTTGGAAATATTTCATAATTGAAGTGAAAGTAGGATGGCTCAAGGGAAAATATTAGCATTCAGAAGAGTAGAAAGCAGGACAGGTTGATTCCAGAATGCTTTGCAAGCCTTTTCGACTGTGACCCACAGCAAGAAAGACAATTTATATGACAATGCAATACTTACTCCCTACAATGTTCTTTGATACTTTCTATTCCATTTCACTTTTTTAAAATGCCGACTGACACCTTGAACTCATTTTGAGACACTCTAAGCTGATCTCACCATTCAGTGAATCACGAGTCGTGGCTTGAAAAACACTGGATTCGAGGTTACAATTTTGGGATTGTCGGAACTGAGATGCTGTGGAACTCTGCTCTCTGTTACTTTACGATCAGAACACACTGCTCAGTGATATTTACCTCTTGTTTTTTGAAGGCGGGCTTGTCTTCTTGGGACTTGTCTCTTATAGCTTGTACTTTAGCTCCCTTTTCTTCTTCCTTTTTATTTTCAAGAACGGTAAAGTCACTCGTGCAAAAGAAGCCCTTCCTAGCTTACGAGAGTGAGAGGTGCTCAGATCACTGTGCACGTGCCGCAGGATGGCTTCTTTCTGCTGTCTGAGTGCTCACCTTTCCCCCCTTGGTGCCCGTGGTTCTAAAGAGCAATGTGGGGTATCTTCTTCCCACATTGTCTCGTGTGCCTGCTATTGTGCGCTCTGAAATCTAGCAGGACGTAGCACTGCTTGTGTGTGTTTACAAACCTCGTGTGTGGTTCGGTGCGCTTTGTTCATGATCTTCTCAAAAAGAGCTGTGTTCATGAGCCCCTTGCACAGAAGCAGGAGTGAACGACAACTTCAGTGCAATGTGGACTTAGTGATAGAGTCTGCTCTAGAAAGGTGAGTATGCAAGCATCTCTGTTTTCATTTTCTTTTTTTGGGGGGAGGGAGTGGTGGTGGTGATGGTAGTGGTAGGTATAGAGCTTTTAATGCAGTCTTGCAGACAGAAAAAAAATCTTTTGTACCTTACAAACAACCTCCCGCCCCAACTATTTCCACCCTTCCTTGGACTACATACATGTGTGTCAATCGGATGGTAAAAGTAGCAAAATGTATGCTCTTAATTATCAGTTATAAAGCGATACTATCCAAGATGAATGGCTTTCTGCAAGTCTACATTAAACTCAGGTCTACATGATGGCAAAGCAGGGTTTTCACATGTTTAAATATAAGGCTCCAACCAGCTCCTTTCCCCATTTTATTACTAGTTAATTTCTGGGGATTTATTTTTGTCTTAAGATGAAATTGTCAGACCATTATTTTTTATACCAACTTCCCACCCCAACTTTATAATTTTTTTTTTTTTTTTTTTTTTGAGACAGAGTCTCACTTTCTTGCCTAGGCTAGAGTGAGTGCCGTGGCGTCAGCCTAGCTCACAGCAACCTCAAACTCCTGGGCTTTAAGCAATCCTACTGCCTCAGCCTCCCGAGTTGCTGGGACTACAGGCACGAGCCACCATGCCCGGCTAATTTTTATATATATATATATATATATATTAGATGGCCAATTAATTTCTTTCTATTTTTATAGTAGAGACGAGGTCTCGCTCAGGCTGGTTTTGAACTCCTGACCTTGAGCAATCCGCCCGCCTCGGCCTCCCAGAGTGCTAGGATTACAAGCGTGAGCCACCGCGCCCGGCCTATAATTTTTTTATTCAACGTCAAACACATGAGTCCATGAGCCTCTTGCCTCATGTAGACCTATGGATAGAGGAGAGGTGTTAAAAAGGATGAGTTTAGATGCAGGTGAAAAGAATCATAAGTCAACACAGCACCACCACATATATCATCTTTGTGTTAATTCATTTTTTTTGGTGTTCATAACAACCAAGCACAGAGCAATTAGTTTCTCTCTGGCTGTCCCAGTAAATTTGGTTGATTGAATATTTAGCCATCAACTGCTTGCTTCGTGCTTGCATATTGCTATGGCATGAAAAAATGAATAGCTTGCCAAAGGATCAAGCATGTGGGCTGTACGCATGTGGCCTCAGTCCCCAATTTCATGTGCATTACATTTCTCGTAAGTCACAGGCATCACACATTTGGTGCAAAATGTTTACTGTACCTGTTTCTTTAGGACAGGTGTCTGGAGTTTATCTTCTTGCGCTTTCTTTTCATTTACCTGTTTCCCTTCTATCTTTTCCCCTTGTACCTTTGTCTCTTGCATTGTGCGTCTTTTCTCTTCTAGCTGCTTGTTGAGTTTCTGCTCTTCTATCTTAGCCTTCTCCTCCTCTGCCTTTGCCCTCTGCCTCTCCTCTGCTGCCCTTTTCTCTTCCTGCTTTTTCCTTTCTCTCTCCTCTGTTTCCCTCCTTTTCTCTCTCCTCTGCCTCCCTCCTTTCTCTCTCCTCTGCCTCCCTCCTTTCTCTTTCTTGGAGAGCTGCTTTTTCTTCTGCTTCAATTCTTGCCTGCTCATCTGCTATCTTTTTCTCTTGCTCGGCTTTGATTCTTTCTCTTTCTTCTGCTTCCAACCTTGCCCTCTCAGCCTCAGCTCTTTCCCTGTCCTCATCTTCCGTCTTTTCGTTATGGGGAATCTCATCTGAACCTTGTTCCCTCTCCTCCTCTAGTTTAGGCTCTTCTGCACTGATTTGCCCATTTTTCAATGACATTACCACTGTTTCCTCTTGGCTTTCTGCTGTATTCTCTTCTACCATCGCCTCTACCTGATTGTCTCCAATGCTCCTTTGCTTTGGCTTCTCATCCTCCTCCTCCTCCTCCTCCTTTTCCTTTTCTTTCTTGTTCTCTTCAGCATCCCTCCAGTCATTCTTCTGGTAGGACTTGGTCACTATTTGTGTTTCCTCTATCTCGTATCTTTCTGGGCGACTTTCATTTTTCTCTTCCTTCTCTGCAGTTTCGTTTTCTGCCGTGTCATTTTGCATTCTTCTGCTGGGGAGCGACAGACTCGCATCTGTTACTGTTGGGTCGAACTCCTTCTGCCGCTCCAGAGCTTCCTGCAGGCGTTTCTGGCGTCTCTCCTCCCGCCGAGCCAGGCGCTCCAGCAAGGCAGCCTCGTCATCCCCTTCCACCTGAGCGTTTGTGGTGCTTGTCTTGGCCTCCTCGTCGGGCACACTGTACAACAGAGAGAGCGACACCAAAGACAGCTTGCTGATTCATAGTCAGCTGCATTCATACAGCCTGTGCTACCCAGGACTCCAGCAGATGCCCACATCCCCCGGGACGTTACCATTTTAGTACATGCCCTCGGTCTTTCTCTGGCCACTGGAGTCTATTCAACATGCCAGAAGTGCTTGGGTATTAATGTAAAAAAACAAAACAAAACAAAACAAAACAAAACTGATGAGCATTAGTGTATAAATGGATACATTAGTGTATACATGTATAAAGGTGCACCCCTCACCTTTTGAGTTGGATAAATCTGAGGTACATGTTCCACATGAGACCTTAGAGTTCCCCAGTGGAGTTAAGCTCCAGATACCCACAGTGGTGACCTGCTGGGTAATGCAACCTTTATTTGGTTGCCTTCCCTTCTCGGTCGCACTTCCCCACACCCCTACCAGTGTTTCCTGGGATCACATTACTAATAAACAGCTTGCACTCAAATCTTTGTTTAAGACCAGCTTCTTGGGGAATTCAAACTAAGACAAGGACCAAACTGAAATAATGAGTGAATTCCTCTAGTGTCATATAGTATTCTCACATGTCACCAAGTCTTTTAGAATTCCTGATCTGGATTGGTAAGACACAAGGTACTCTGAGAGAAAGGGAGTGAAAGTTACAGTTGTGGAGATTCTACACTCACCAATGAATGACCTTCATGGAAGAGACATCTAAGTGTCCATTGCAATTCCTGCTCCTCCTTGCATAGTCATGGGGGAGTGACTGCCAGTCAAGGATTGCATTTCCTACCCACTCCTCCTCCTTGCATCCAGGTGGGGCCAATGTGACCAATAATTGCCAATGAAATGTAAACAGAAGTGTCTAAACCAAGGCAATTAAGAGGCAGAGGTGCATTCTCTATCCTCTCTGTCTGCTGGGTGCTAGATCAGAAGACTAGGGGTTGGCAGTATTGCAAAATGAAAGAGGAGAGCTGATTGCTTCCACCTACTGACAGAAATACCCGCACTGGATTGGTATGTGTTACTGCATTAAATACTAAAATTTGGGGGCTGCTCTTTGGTATGGCCAGCATTACTCTAACTAGTGCATACACTATCTACCTTCTTTGTCAAGATCTCCATGAGTAAAGGGTTTCTTGCCCTTCTTTCTCCACAGTGGACAAAGGACAGTTAAATTTGATATTTATAAAAAAGGCAAAGAAAATCTCTAAAACCAAAGTCTTCCATGTCCAGCACCTCACTCACTATTGCAGGGTGCTGGACAAGTCAGTTGGTCTCTACTGGCAGAAAACAACCAGTCATGTGATACCAGAACTGTAACCAGAGTTGGAAGAATACATCTTGCAATGTTTAGAAACTCCATCAAGTTTCATGGTTCATATCGAACTTGGCCTTTTTGAAGTTCAAGTTCACTTAATTTTGGAAAAACACATTTCATATTTAACAACAAAAAATGGCAGAGTAAAGGCTAGATTTTAAACTTTCTTGGCCTTAGCTTTTGCTGCAGGATACTATCTACATGAATTAGACATATGAGGATCAAATGTCCCTAAAAATACAAAGAGTTTAGAATGTAAGGGCAAAAGTCTATATTTAAGTCATTTGGGTCAACTGAATTCTAATAATTTTAAAAATGTACCAAAATTCAAAGTGCTAGCCATATTAAAGTATTCTTAAGGTAAGAAACCAACAAACTGTATTGAACCTTTCTTTGCCTATTTATATATCATGACAACAATCATTAATAGATATTAAGTGCCAGTTATACCTGTTTAGCCCCAAGAAGACTTATTCCTTTTGCGGCTAATTAATATGTCAGAGATAAATCATGTATTCTCAGACTTGAATATGCTTTTCTAAACATAAAATAAAGAAAAATAAAATAAAAATAAAGAACAAAAATATTTTATCCTAAAAATAAAGAATTTTGGGTCAATCAACACCCATGAAATAACTAATAATAACAAAATGTGAAAACAGAAGAGAAACACAAGCAGAAGCAAGGTTTCAAAAGCAAGAAAACGACAGACCTCTAGTAATTTTTTAAGCCATTATTGGTCACTCTCTTATAACTAGATTCAGGAAAGACCTCAAAATGTCATTTTCCAAACCCATTCCATCCCTTCTCCTTTGGCTTAAAAATAGAAAAGGCAGTGAATGACTATGCTGCTCTCCTATAAGACTGCTAATAGTGAAAATTTATTGAGTGCTTACTGTGTTAAAGGCACTACACATTTTACATACATCATCACCTAAATTAAGTTTAACAACATTTTTAAGAGAAAAGTATAATTTTTATTTCCACTGAAGAGAAGAAACACAGTTAGTTAAAGGCCGAATTGGGATTCAAAGCCAGTTAGTGAACCCCAGAGATCATCCTTGCAACCTCTTTGCAATGTTTTCTCCCCACTTAGGAGCTACTTACCAAGGGACAACGTCTCTATCTCTTCACCTAACCAATAAGCTTCCTTGTTCAATTTATCCTGCCTGCCAGCATTTTAAGATTGCTTTCAGAAACCTTCTGATACAGCTTCCAAATTTGAGTTAAAGAGGGCAGGACCCTTTCCCTTTAGAATTTTCTAAATAGACTGAATTAGACAAAACAAACTAAAACCACAGCCACATGTGAGATCATATAGAGCAGGTCCATCATATTTAATCTGTCCATAGTTTTAAATTAAAATTATTTTTTCTCCATCCCCCCAAAATATCCTCATCCTTTCTAGACCTTGAGGTATATAAGTGACATATACTGACCATTAGCATAATGAACCCTGTGACTTTATTTCTGTTGTAAAATCTCTTTTTTGAAGAAGTTGAAACTATTAGGCATTCTTGACTTCCCTGATTTCTACTAGGGCCTGAGTAGGAAAAGATATAGTAATAGATCATTAAGCATGTTTGAATACTCACATTAAATGCAGGAATCTGCATCTTGCTGAATATTATAGTGATCAGAGAATATTGATTTAGGCTGAATATTAGGAAAAAGAAGACATCTGCCATTCATGCCTACTTTTAAAATTCATGGGTTACTGGTAGGCACAAAGGACTCTATTAAACTAATAACTCTTCAGTTCAAAACAGATAGCAATACTCTATAGAATGAACATAAATAGTTCTCCTTATTTAAAGATATAACTCACCATATTTAATACATTTAAAAATACTAGATTATGAAATACAATAAAAAATTTCAACTGAAGTATGTTTAGAAGATGGGAATGGGTTGGGTTGAGGGGTGACATAAATAGTGGTATCCTAATGTCTAAATCAGATTGATTGTCCAATCTGATTAGTTGTCCAAAAAATGACCATAAAATAATTGAACAAGTTAGATGAGCTAAAAAAGGGTTTATTGCGATGAGAATGGAATGCTTTGCCTGACAAATTCTGTCCAACACACAGGCTAAGACACAAGTTAGAAATTCATCATTTGAAAGAGGATGGTACCTGTTCTGGGCATTAACTTCCACCTGGTCGGTCACCTGTCCCAAGGATTCTTCCTCTTGCTTCTGCCGCAGCCTTTCCTGTCGGGCTCGGCGGCGCCGTTCCCGGGCCGCCTCTTCCTCATCATCGTCGTTCCTCTGGTAGGCAATTCTGCAACATTGCAAAGACAATCTACTGAGCATGTCACCTGCCAACTATCTCCACCAGCTTCTTGGTAGGAACAGCCCTGAGCCCTTCTCTGAACTTGACTACTTAAAGAACCACAGAGTTCTAAAAGGATGGTTCCTCAAGTTTTGAGACCCAATCAACTAGTTTTTAGACTTTTAAGTATTTGAAAAGCATTAATCCAATAACTAAAGAGGGTCATTTACAATGATCAAATAACGGCTTAAACTAAAAATATCCACACAAAAGCAGGTTGCCTTTGGAAATTGTGGGTTCGCATATTTAGATTTCCTTACTAAGCTAATTATCAGTATGTAAGATTTAGAAGCATAAATCCAAAGTATTGAACCAAAAATAATTGAAATACATATTATTAATAAAATGGATTCAGCAGGTTATGTGAATTATTTGCACAGACATGTCACAAAGATTAGAAAAGAATCAAGTTATGCTACCAAACAGGGTAGCATAAGCCAAAATTAATTGGTGTTAATAAGCCAAAATTGCTAATTACAATTGGGAACAGGGTATTTTTTTTTGTACTTTGCTTTTGTTTTTCTTTTCAGTTCCTTTTCACTGGAGGGACGGGGTGTTACAATTGGTAGGAGGCTTTAGAGTCAGTGTACTTTGAAGGGGCAGCAGCTTGCTCTAAGGCCTCCTCTTTTTGCTCTAAAACATGCTTTAGTATCACATCACCCACACACCGGGCATGTCACAGTAACCCACAGGTAGATATTTAGATAGAAGCCTCAGGGCTGAGGCAGATAGAAGAGACACAGAGAGCATCACCTATGTATACAATATTTAGGTTTTACAGTTTTATCTTAAGCAAATTATACAATCAGTATCACCGTGCTAGATATATGTCCCCTAATACTTATTCTCAAAGAATTAGGGCTGGGAAACTTCAGATGCTCCAACTCGAGAAGAAATGGCCTGCATGGTTGACTTGGCTCCTTTTGAAGGTTTAACATGTCCTGAGGTATAGAATGACAAGAAGGCATGGGTACTGCTGGCCAGTCTGGGGTGAGCTGGCCAGATGGGTCAGGGGGTTAGGGATGGGGATGGGGATAGGATTGGAGACTTAAAGTGTTTTTATTACAATGTTACTTTATTACATATTTACAACTAGAAATTATGATATATAAACCTTTCACATGAATAGTACTTTTTTTTATTGTGGTAAGAATACTTAACATGAGATCTAGCCTCTTAACAAAATTTTAAGTGTATGATATAGTATTGTTAACTAGAGGCATAATGTATAGCAGAGCTCTAGAACATGCTTATAATTCTTACATAACTACAAAGCCAAAATGATTTACAAATCAAACAAAACAGCGGAACCATACTATTTATACCAATAATATGAACCTAACGTGACTGATGATGGTTTGTTTATATTAGATTTATAAACTAGGTACTTTCAGGCTTAGATCCAGTACTTTATTTCATCTGTTTCATCTTCTCACTTTCATAATAAAATGCTATGAATGTTTTTTCACCAAGGTATCTTATAAAAAACAAGATTAGCAATTCTGAAGGTTCGTTGGTTTGTTCTTTGCTATTTGAGAAAATCTGACTTATTTACTAAAATCTGCTAGCGTGCAATGTTCAAATGCACAAAAAGTGTCACTTAGTAAATCTATAAAACTAACTGGTTTAGTTCCACAAATCTGGAGAGAAGGGCAGTGTGATATAGTTGATGATAGATGACTAGATGTCTAAACACCAGACAACCTGGTTTTAAAACTGGTCTCTTAACTAATTTGCAGCCCTTTGATTAACCTGAGTTAAATTTCCTTGTGAGCGACAATCAAATGAAATAATATTATGGCAAAATGTTCTTTACTGCAATGTCTTAGGAAAGTTCAGTTAAGGAGCTGCTTTGGGAGGAAAGATGAGTGTTCAATTTTAGACTTGTTGAGTTTGAGGTGACAACATGACATGATTTGCATGTTCCTTTCTAATTCAATCACATTGAAGTTTGTAGTCAAAAGTCCTTCCCAGTGGTTTGGCTTCACCCTTCAGATTCTTGGCCTAATATTCCTTTGGCTTAATTCTCAGTAGACAGCTTTAACCCTAGCAGGGAGAATGAGTCCTTAATGACTGCTTCCCAGGCTAATCAAACAGAAAGTCTTAATTTGCTTTTCTGTATTTCTGGATCAGCCATGAGGACATGGATATACTTGGGCCTTTCTCTTCCAAGATAAGCAAGAGGCATAAAAGCTCCACATAGGACATTCCTATGCTACAAGCAAAACTCCTCCCTCTCCTTAATAGAATTGAATTTTAAGCCTTTAATTTCCCCCTATACTTGAAAAATGTGAGATGTTACCGTCTTTCTCCTTCTACCTACTCAATATGCATCATGGCTAGATGTTGCTGGTCATTAGCTCTGACATGAACTAGATTTGTCACCGAGGGCATGTCACACTTAACCTTTCTTCATCCTCTATTTCTCATTGGAGAAGGGACCTGAACAACCAGATCATCTCCATTTTCTCTTCTAACTCTTCTTGCTTGGTACAGATTAAAATTTACAGGTAACCACTCTCCATTGGTAGCTCCTTTTCTAGGATACATGCTTACCAGAACTAGACTTTTAAGGATCTTTTACTACAACTAATAAAGGAACATTAAAATTGTTTACAAAGCTAAATACACACAAAAAAGCCAAAATGGTTTCATGGTATTTTCAACCACAACATGCCCAGTAGCTGGCTCAATAACATATTGGTTGACTTTATACTTTGCATGTGAAATCGTGCCCATGTCAAAGGACTTAACAGGTGTGGACATTCTTCAACTGTGAGACCCTCTTCAGTAGCCTTCAGCATGCAAAGCACACAGTACTTCCGTAGCTTTTAGACACCTCCCCAATGGCAACCTACCCTTCATACCAACACTACAGGTTTATTTTTTTCTTTCAAAATTGAAAAATAAACTTAATTGTTTATTCTTTTGGATTCTAAAGGCAACACATTATTTTTAAAAACCAGACAATACAAAATATATTAATATAAAGGAGAAAGTAAAAACCAGCTCCCTGGGATCATACCACCCAAATATGAATGTGATAATATTCGATATATTCTGATAATATTTGATATATTAATGTTTGATATATATCAGATATTTTCCTATGTTTTCATTTTTAATAAAGTAGGATCATGTTATACATATCACTTCATAAGCCATTTCTTTAATTTATCTTGTTTATGACTATTTTTAACATTAGTAAAATATAATTTCAATAGCAATACAATATTCTATGTATATGTATATACCTATATGTATATATTAATACATAGAATGTATATGTGTACACATAAATAATTCTACAGATGTACTATAATCTCTTTAACAAATTGTCTACTGACAGACATTTAAGGATTTTTCCAACTTCATGTTCTTAAAAACAATGCTGCAAAGGACATCATTATAGATATACTTTTTACCATTTGTTCAATTATTTACTTGGGAAAATTTCTCAGAAGTTAGATTTTTTGAGTTTAAGAGTATGTTCACTTTAAAGGTTTCTGATATGCATTGGCAATTTGCCATCCAGGAAGGTATATAACACCAGCAATGTATGAGTGGTAATTTCACAAATAAAGCAGAATTTGTCCAAAAATACAGGCAAGTGTATCTTTAATATATCCAAATGATAGCACAAGCTCTGCTTCATGCTTCCGTTAAAGACGAAATGTTAGCATTTCTGATTTTCCACACGCCAGACTGAAATGTATTTGAAATACTGCTGACTAGTAAAAAATCATACCTCACCAGCCACTGGGTTGTAATAAAAGCGTAACGATCCTTTTGTTCCTTCTGTGAAAATTCAGCAGACTCTGTATTAACTAGTCTGCCCATCTTCTACAGAACAAAGACAACTGATGTTCCCAGATGAGTCAGAAGCAGTGTGGGATGTGAAGTCCCTCTGAATCATCTGATAATGACTGGACTGTGTTTAATAGTGTTTTAACCAAATGCATTTTACTGCAATTTTTAAAAAATCCACACATGATCTGTAAAGCAACTTTTATGAATATTCATTAACACACATACACACACGCACACACACACACACACACACACACACACACACACACACACCCTAGATTGTCTCTATAAGCTGTTTCTGGTAAGCTGTTTTTCTGTTAGCTGGCCTTCCCACAGAAAGATCGATCATACCCTTCTCTAAGTATTCATGCCAAGAGATGAGCAAAGGCAGTTACCAAGAAACGAAGCAGAATACTCCAGAGTAAACTCTCTTCCAACCAGCATGGGTGGGAAACTCAAGAATTCTGATCGATCAGACATTTTATTTAATAGTGAGTGGCTTCACAGATCATTTGTGGATTTGAAAAAACAATCATAAAAGCCCACAATAATTACAGGATGTTCTTTGACGGTGTCAGTGGTATGTAAAAGTAGAAGAGGACTGGCTTTTCTTCCATTCCTAGAGCCATTGCTTAAAGGCCCTGGTGTTACACGTGATAAGAAAAAACAGATCCATGCAATGGGAAAACTCTCTTGTAATGCTGTGGCTTTTACACCAAAGACATCTTAAGTCTTTACCACCAGAGCTCTGCTGCCTCAGTATATTCAAGTAACAGGATAACCATGTTACATCCTGTGCCTTTTAGATAGAAAATTCAAATGAATAAAACTATTGCAGACACGGCAAATAAGGAAAATCAGTGAGGACTCTGTCTGTACATGTGGGTGAGCCAGGGTCTAAATGTACACCAGATGAGAGAGGGACTGGTGGAAGCTTCCCCAACAGGACACTGGAGCAAGGCACCAGTTGTCCTGCTGCTGTGCAGACCCCTCGCCCCAGCTTCTCCACCAAATATTTCTCAAAATGTGTGGAACACTGGAAAAATTCTTATTATAACCTTACCTAAAGTTCAGATTGTTTTGTTTTGTTTGTAGCCCATGTTCCCCAAAGTTTGAAGAGTGTTGCTCTGACTCCCTTT